CCCCCCCCCCAAACCATAACAAAATAATATATTGCCCCCCCCCCTAGCAAAAGTCCTAGTTGCGCCTCTGGTCTGTTAGTCACTGGCTTAAAGTCATATTCATTATGTATATAAAGTCCCCTATTACATTCTACACCAATTTTTGTGTAATTCATTAGCTAGGACCACTAGTCATATTTGTCCACTTTACACTATACTACAGGGTGTCCCACGAAACATGACAGAATGCGGGACGACTTGAATGTCGTCTTGATTTTTGATATAATTTGCTGCGTTTATTTGTCACTAGAGATAATAATCACAAAATTTCCCTTATCCTTAGCCATTTCCATTTACACTATACTATAATACTATGTATAATCATAGGTCTGTGCAGTCTTAAGCACTAAGTAGTTCCTGACAGTACTTGACTATATATTTCGTCTGTCTATAAGGAGTAATAGTCTTTTTCTGATCGAAATCTCTCTGTCCTTGTTTGCCAGTAAGGGGCTTACCAGCTGTTTTCCTCTGCAAAAGTTCTAATAGTTTGATATAATCCTTATTATATTTCTTGTTATAGTTAGATATGTACAGGTTTTTTAGAGAGGAATAATTAAGAATGATTTGACTTTCCTTCAGTCGAGAACGATCGAAGAGAGTTAAAAATTCTATCAGAAATTATGCGCGAAGCGCCAAAGAAAAATTGTAGTATTTTTTTTACATCGACAAAATTTGATGAAAGATGGTCCACAATCATGATCATGCTGAAGTCAAGTGAGGGGGGGGGGGCAGGAATTGCTGTAGTCTAGAAAGTCCAGCTTAAAGGGCTTCAATACCAGAATAATTTCCATACAATACATGTTCAGGTTCAGTATAGGATTGATTTCTCAGTATTTTTCATGATTGAATTTATATATGCTTAAAAAAGTAATGCACAATATTACACGGTATTTTCACGCTTCTCTAAAGGACTTCGACATAATTATTCGTTATTTAACTCCTTATGAAGAGATACGCTCGTTACGCAATATGAAGGAAACTTTCCGTCTATTATGATTTCGTATTTACAAGCCAAGGTATACTAGGGAGGGATGGGATGCCCGAGTGGTTTGTTTGGGATATTTGTCAGGTAGTCTAAACCTGTTCGGACATTTACCTGCGTGCAGACTAGTAGTAGACCCTTCATGCACCTGACCAGAAACCTGTTTCCCGCATTTTCAATGGTTTTGCCGGAAATCCGGCAGGTAAATGCAGCTGACGCCCTGTACCGCAAATAACCGCCTTACCCCGTGACTGGATATTTAGTCTTTGCGTAGTAATATTTGATGACAGGACAGATTAGCTTACAACTGAAAATAGTTCTTTCACAAATCTTAAAACATTCATTCAACGTAGACATATCAGTTATAAAACTTGTCTAGATATTCTAATTTTAGAGTAATCTAATTATCAAATGCATTTTTATATCGTCAATTTTCTAATTTTCTAGATAAAAATTGAAAACACCCACCGCTTCAGGAACTATTTTCAGTGCACGGTACGAAGTGGCTTGTGTCAAACTACAGCGGTGGAGAAAAAGGGGGAGTTAAACCACATACAGTCAGTTCTACCCCCCCTGGGATGTGTTAAACTCTTGTTAAAATAATTCCTGTGAATAGTTCTGTGATCAAATTTTAAAAATGGCGATTCTGCCGATTAAATTCCAGGAGCATCTGCAGGTACAATTCATTCATTGTGGATCAAATCAGATTTTGTTTTTCTTCTTAATTATTGTAATTATAAATCGTCTGAGTCATAAGATGACATAAAACATTTTAGATATAGTTATTATTGTGTTCTTTAATATAGCCGAAAACTACAACGTTTCAACAACATTGTGTGTTTTGTCTCAACATCATCTGGTGATTGTCATACGACCTTTCAATAATTTGAAAGTCATTGGTCATTGATTTAAAGTATACTTAGATGCCCTGACTTGCTTAGTATCATTTTCGTTTTGATAATATTTCGTTTTTTTAGTACTTTGTGCCTAGAGAGTTGTTTTTTCCCTATTTGTCGATTTTACATCCCGGTTTATATAGGATCCAAATATTACAGACAGAAGGATATACAGGGTGTCCCACATCAAATTAGACCGCGTCAATGGGTCTAAATTACGATTTAGGGGACAAATCAGAATATTTAAGAAGAATGAATGATTTTAAAAAATTTAATAAGGCTAAAAGAAATTTGTTTAGCAGAAAATGCTAGATTTTTCATCTATTATGTGCGTATTTTGGCGTTAAAGATTGAAGATAATCTAATATGATATGGGACGCTCTGTAAATCTAAAAGTTATCGATCAATCTTTGTCAAGAATTTAATCATTTATGAACTAAATTTGTAAGGCCATTCTTTGTTTTTAGATTTTTACCAAGAAGTATTTATTTATGTTGGTAAATTTTGTGGGAGTTATTATAGTCTTAGTCTGGCTAAAACTAAAATCTACATTTGGGATCTTTTTTTCAATCAATTTAAACGTAAACGTTATTTTTTTCTGAAATGTTAGAATTGCTGACTCTAAGGCAATAACATATGCTCTGCGGGAATAACAATTGGTATATTCCTAGTATACGATTTTTGGACCCCCTGGGGGGGGTCCAAAAATCGTATACTAGGACAGACCCACTTGTACTTGTCCGAGACATATAAAATCAATCAGCCCAGTCCCACATTGGATAAAATTGAGGGTATAATGTTTAACCATTATTTAATGTTAATTAATGTTAACTAAATAGCATCTAATAGGGTTTAAATCGAGTACTTTCCTTTGAGTTTTCTAGCACTTTAATTGTTTAAATCTTGAGGCTTTTTTATTTAAGTTTGTCAAATGTATTTTAGCATAAAGTTTGTTAGAATGAAATATAAATTACTGTAACCACGCACCTTGTCAATTAAAAAAATGAATGGAATGCCTGCGAACTGAAAGTACTTAACTATTGGAATGCTTGACAAATAATATTTTCAGCTGACAAATGTTGGGATTACAGCTGCCAACATTGGGTTCCAGTCCCTCACCATGGAGTCCGACAAGTTCATCTGTGTCAGGGAGAAGGTTGGAGACACCTCACAGGTATATATAACTCCAGACTATTTTAGAATTCTAAAGTCTAGATAATCTTAATTATTATGTCTAAATGCTCATCTTGTTCTATTTTCTGTACTAAGAAAGGGGATTAACACCAGACAGGATATTACACACCGAAAGACATTTCTTTCAGATAAGACATTAAGGACATTACACACAGAGAGAACAGTTAACACAGATAGGGCATTACATCTGAGTTGGAAATTTCACCCAAATAGGACATTTCACACAGAAAAGATATTTCAGACAGATCGGACATTTTACACAGATAGGTCATAACACACAGTTGAGACATTACACACAGATAGGAGATTACACATAGTTAAGACATTACATACAGATAGGACATTACACACTGATAGGACATTTCACACTGATAGGACATTTCACACTGATAGGACATCACACACTGATAGGACATTACACACTGATAGGACATTACACACAGATTGTATATTACACATAGAAAGGACATTTCACGCAGAAAGGACATTTCACTTAAATCGATCCACGTAGATAGGACAAAACACACAGAGAACATTTCACAGAGATCGGAAAATCTTTTTTGGTTTGGCGAGTTCTTTGTAATTTCTTGTTTGTTATCTGGAATTGAAATTATTAACAGATCAGAAAAACTAGAAAAAAATCCATGAATTTTATATTCCTAAAAAGTAACCCTTTCATTCAACCAGAAAGAATTTTGGTGAATTGCAAATTCAGGTTTGTAAAAAAATTAAAGGTAATTATTTATTTTTAGGTTGTCATCATCGATATGTCGGATTCGTCTAACCCTATTCGGCGGCCAATATCTGCTGATTCGGCGATTATGAACCCTGTTAGCAAAGTGATTGCATTGAAAGGTTGGTTAATTATTTATCAAAGTAGTAACGACCGTATAAAATATATATCTGTATTTTATTAATTTTAATTAAAATTATTTAATAAATTGATCAATGATTATAAAACGATTTGTTTTTATGATTTGGCTTCTTTGCCACCCTCATTAGTTCTCCCTATTAGTCATATATTAGCATAAATAATGTAGAAGATAACTTTAAACCATTGTCCATACAATTCCGATTTGATGAAATTCACTCTGCCAAAAAATACTGATTTAATTACATTTTAGCTAAATCATCCTTCTTGTGTTTTGAAAGAAATGTTAATTTTTCCAATAAGGTTATCCTCTCAAGTTAATCTTGCTATCAAATCCTGATAAAATTAAGACTAAAACTATGGGTGAAACTTTTTCATTGAAAATGTCAAATCCTTTTTGAGTTAACCGTATTAACGGTATTAAATTAGAAGCAACATTTATAAATGAAAAAAAAAATGAAAAAATCAAAGTTCATGAAAAAAAAACAACTAAAAAACAGGTCTTAAGGGAAGGTCGATTTTCCAATGTTAAGGGTTTCAAAAGATGTGCCTTGAACCGCTAAACACCGTCCATTTGTCCGTTATTCGATATTTCTAAAATTGTTGTATTCAATTAAGGCTAAAAAGCCCCTTTTTTTGGTACGTTTCAAGACGGACATTTTGATACCCATCTTTATTTATTTTGATGATTTTTTTTCTGGCTTTCTAAAGTAATTGTGTGTACACAAAAAGCTTAATATCTGTATACGCTTAAATTTTGGGAGAAACATTCTCATCTTTTAAAAACTGTATGAAAGAAATCAGAAAATGGTGCAAGTTAAAGTTGAGTATTCCCCCCCCCCCCAAAAAAAAAAAAATCAAATAGTTTCACAAATGCATGATATAAAAAGTGCTGAGTCATTGTATTAAAGTTCTGAGTCATGTTAAATATGTATTGAAAGTAACAATGTAATGTTTATTGTAAAAAGTTGTCTCGTTGAATAATTTAGTCACTGACTACTAGGGATGTTCATTTTCACTTTTGGTACAGAGATGCAAGGTTGCCCAAAAGTTGCAAAATGTTGCAAGATTCTCAAAAATAATTTTTTTAGGGTGCGCCAATTAATTAAAATTGAACTTTTTTTCGCTTTTTCCACAAAAATTGTACTATGCCCATCCCTAATTTAGTTAACATGTTTAACAGTTATTATAGAGATAAACATGTCTAAAGTACACACACAAAAATTAACCCTATCTTGACTGGAAAGGTGTGCGACACATGTGTTCTTGAACTACGCAAAAAAAAAAATTAAAATCGATCAGTCAAATAATATTTTTTAACATTTTTAGCGCAAGTACTTTTTTGTGTGTGATCAAGATAGACCATTTCGGATAATATACATGTGGACAGTTTCATCTCAACTTGTCCGGGGGGGGGGGGGGTCCACCCTCTTTTTAATAGTAATAGAAGAATTAAATCATAGAATAAACTTCTCACTCTAACAAAATCATTATCCTTCACATTCTATCAGCACTCATTTTTACACATTAACTTAATATCAGTACTCATTTTTAGTTGTGTTGTGTACTATGTACTAAAAGAAATGGTCTGGTTGTTTTATGATAACTAACCTAAGAAATGACCTTGTTATATTATGATTACTAACCTGCACAAGAAGAAATAGTACAGTTGTATTATGATTACTATCATGTACTAAAAGAAATAGTTAAGTTGTATTATGATTACTAATATGTGCAAGAAGAAATGGTCTAGTTGTATTATGATTACTAACCTGTACAAGAAGAAATAATTAGTTAGAAGGTTTGTAATCATAATAAAACTACTCCATTACTTCTAGTAAAGCTTAGTGATCATAATACATCTAGACTATTTTTGGCGACCTTGGTTCTCTGTACCAAAAGTGACCCTAAAAATGAACACCCCTAATGACTACACACTTCACAGGGATGGCAAATAAAATCTTCCTTTGCAAATCACTTTTAGGGCAAGGATATCTCACTCCTTCTGCCTTCAGAAGGAGTGAGATATCCTTGGCCTAAATGTGATAATGATATTCCTTCATGCTTATTTTCAACATGTCTTTTCAGATTACTTGTAGTTTTAGCATAATCACATTTAGGGCCAGGATATTTCACTTCTTCTTTTTTACTTTCAACATGAATCTTTCTAGGTTACTTTCCATAGTTGCAACATGTCTTTTCAGATTACTTGTCGTAGTTGTAGCATAATCACATTTAAGGCAAGAATATTTCACTCCTTCGTTTTTACTTTCAACATGAATCTTTAGGATACTTTCCATAGTTGCAAAATGTCTTTTCAGCTTACTTGTTGTTAAGTAATCTGAAGAGACATGCTAAAAATAAGCATGCAAAATATTCGCTTTAAGAACTGGATATTTGTTTTGATTCTTCCTCATTCTCTTTGGTTCAGATTGCAGAGGATCCAATTCCTATTCCAGGTTTTCTTTTTTTCCACTTTATTACGAATTGTATCTTCTGCAATGTATCTCTAAAAATCCAGAAGGACAAAGAAGAGGATTAAAGAAGACCGTGTATGCTCGGGTCTGGATATCCACAGGCTTTAGATTATTCTTCAGCAAATCACAGCCAGTAGATATTCAGATTTTGGCAGTACATTAACAACGACAGCATCATCAACCATGCCAAGAACAACATCAACCTCATCAACAAGAACAACATCATTTACAAGAACAACATCATCAACAAGAACAACATCATCAGCAGCAAAATTTTCAAACTGAATCTTGAGTCGTTAATGCTATTCTATTTCTTCATGCATTTTGAAATCAACAATATTTTTATTAAATAACTTAGAAAACTTTAAAAATTTTCTGTCAATGCACCTTAAAAAGAAAAACATCATTTATGATATGTTTGACAAAATGAATAGAGTTCAGATTAATTATGATTTTACTTTCCGTTCATATTTTAACAATAAAATTGGAATTTATTGTTATTTTTAGTGCTTTAAATCATTCTTTCCAAGTTCATAGTATTTTTAGAACAGTGGTCCATCTAGGTGAATCATTTTATTAACACCAACATAATGCAAATTTCAGACGTTTTCACAAATATTTACTTTTTTAGCAACTATTTAAACCACCGGTTTTTGTAAACTTTGTCATAAAACGGGCCAATTTTTAAACCACCGGTTTTTTTGTAAACTTTCTCATGAAACTGGCCAATTTATTAACCACCGGTTTTTTTGTAAACTTTGTCATAAAACGGGCAAATTTTTAAACCACCGTTTTTTTTGTAAACTTTGTCATAAAACGGGCAAATTTTTAAACCACCGGTTTTTTTTGTAAACTTTGTCATGAAACTGGCCAATTTTTAAACCACCGGTTTTTTTTGTAAACTTTGTCATGAAACGGGCCAATTTTTAAACCACCGGTTTTTTTTGTAAACTTTGTCATGAAACGGGCCAATTTTTAAACCACCGGTTTTTTTTTGTAAACTTTGTCATGAAACTGGCCAATTTTTAAACCATCGATTTTTTTGTAAACTTTGTATTGAAATGGGCCAATTTTTTAAAGTTATATTTTTTCTCTTAAAATAAAATCTCGCATAAATCTTGGATTTTTCGGGCATCCAAGTTCTCGAATTTTAATATCGACTATTGAGTAGCAAGTTGTTTTTCGAAAGGGGCGGTGCTGATTGCCTGGGGCCAGGAACGACCCCAGCAATCTTGTTAATAATATTAACTTACTGCCAGTCAAAAATCGAGATTTCTCACATATAAGGAATTATGTATTTTTATGAATTGTATTTTTTTATCAGTTTTATTCATTTAGTTCTGTTTCAGCTCAGAAGACTCTGCAGATATTTAATATTGAGATGAAAACTAAAATCAAGTCCTTCAGTATGCAGGAATAGTTTTCAAACCAACTGGTTTTTTTTAGTCTGAATTTACGGTCTCAAGAGACCCCAAGGGGACTTAACAACTCTAAGTAGAACTAATGGTTGAAAACTATGGTTGAAGGATGATGTGATATTCTGGAAGTGGATTAGCGAAAAGATGATCGGTAAATAATGTTTTTATTTTTTTACTTGAATCTACGATTTAAAAAAAATGGAACTTATTTTAAATAAATAATTTGTTGAACTTTATAATGAATGTTTTTAGCTCTGGTGACTGAGACTGTTGTTTACCACTGGTCAATGGATGGGGACGCACAACCTGTCAAAATGTTTGAGAGACATAGTAGTCTATCAGGGTGTCAGGTAAAAATATTTTAAATAACGTAATTTCAATTGGGCCTCTGCTATATAGAGCTACATTTCTATTTAAATGACAACATTCAAGCATTTTTCGGGGCTAAAACGAAGATGTTCTTAAATATTGACTTGCATAATTATACAAAGAAGGGATGAGCATAATTCACTAAAACGATGTTTTTTTTTAGTTTTTTTTTTATGTTGCCACGTTATTTAGATAATCAATTATTTTCTAATTATCTGTAAACTATTGAGATAATCAATTAAACTCTTAATTATCTGTAAACTGTTTAGATAATCAATTAAACTCTAATTATCTGAAACTATTTAGATAATCAATTAAACTCTAATTATCTGTAAACTATTTAGATAATCAATTAAACTTTAATTATCTGTAAACTGTTTAGATAATAAATTAAACTCTAATTATCTGAGACTGTTTAGATAATCAATTAAACTCTAATTATCTGAAACTATTTAGATAATCAATTAAACTCTAATTATCTGTAAACTGTTTAGATAATCAATTAAACTCTAATTATCTGTAAACTGTTTAGATAATCAATTATTTTCTAATTATCTGTAAACTATTTAGATAATCAATTAAACTCTAATTATCTGTAAACTGTTTAGATAATCAATTAAACTCTAATTATCTGTAAACTGTTTAGATAATCAATTAAACTCTAATTATCTGTAAACTATTTAGATAATCAATTACCGTTGTGACGCCGCAGCTAACTGGCTTCTACTCATTGGTATATCTGCCCAGCAGAATAGGGTTGTGGGAGCTATGCAACTGTACAGGTAAAGCATGGGTTAACACTTTCTACCTCCTTCCCTCCCCCCAATTTGAACTATGTTTCCCGCTAGCGATTATGAACATTTGAATTTTGAATAAGTGTTTATTTGGTAAACGGCATCGATTTTAACACCTTTTTTTGCTTATATAATTTTTCCCGCAAACATTTAGCAACCATACACCCTTTTCCCCCCATATTCCTCAAATGCTTACCTCTGAGGTAGTGTGTTCTAATTTAAATTATCTGCATAGAACGCATCGTAAAAGAAAGACACATTTAACGTTTGAGTGGTGTCATTAGATTTAAACTATAACCATATGAATGACCACTAGGCCACTGTTATAAGAAGAATTATTGTTCAGTGTTGAACGGAAAGTATCCCAACCTATTGAAGGACATGCAGCAGCATTTGTTCAGTTTAGAATGGAGGGAAACCAACAGGTTTGTGTTTTTATACTTCAGATTCCTCATGATTATGAGCTTTCATCCGCTCACCCTCATTAGCCTTCATCCGCCCACCCTCATTAGCCTTCATCCGCCCTGTTTCATGTACTTTCATACGCCTTCCTCATGATCATTCATCTAGAACGTTCCTTCTCCTAGCATCGTCATAGTCCTATCGCTCTCGATATCAGTTTGTAACTTTTTTTTGCTCTACCCGCTTTTAGTCACACCTTTTTCTTTCAAGTGTACGCCATCCATCATTCTCCTAAATAAATACTTCATTCGATCACGTCAGGAACCAACATTACTTCCTTTCCCCCTTCTCCACCCCCTTCCAACTGAACTTATTTAATCCTTTTATCTACATCCTAAGGAATTTGTATTTATTTGTTCGTAAATATGTTAATCCATAGATTTCTTCCAAAAGTAACTACTTATACTAATAATTCGACTCTGAATAATAGATATTTTTTCACTGTCTGTAGGATCAAAAACTAAACTTTTTCATAGTTGCGTTGCCGAGGGTACTCAAAGTTATTCCCGAATAAACAAAAAAAAAAGATTACAACTTTATCTATTGATATATATTCCTGTTCAGGATTCGAATTTGTTCATATTTGCTGTTCGTGGCGCTGCTGGGGGCAAACTCCATATCATTGAGGTGAGAAAGAAAATGTTTTCTAAAAATGATTTGTTAAAATAAGAGATGAAATTCTCAGGTTAGGTCAAATCATTGATTTACTCATGAATGTTTATAAGAAAATAAACCAATTCAGATAATCTGCAAAATGTTTTTAGATTTTTTTTACATAAAACATATTCAATCAGAATTGTTTTTTTTTTAAATAACGGTTTCTAGGTTGGAACTCCGCCTACTGGGAATACGCCCTTCCAGAAGAAAGCAGTTGATGTATTCTTTCCTCCAGAAGCTCAGAACGATTTTCCAGTTGCAATGCAGGTTTTAGATCTTCATCATAATTTGGATCCATTTTGTAAATGGATCAATTACTTTCGCCCTTCTAAGCACTGTTGTGGTATTACATTTTGTCCTGTAATTTTTGTTCTTTGATCAATTTTAGTTTTTATGTTTATTATCTGACCAGTTTCAGTGTTTGGCGTTTATTTTTGATCAATTTTAACATGTAAAGTTAATTATTTGATTAATTTTAGTATTTATGTTTTTTATCTTATCAATTTTAGTGTTTGGCGTTACTTATTATCAATTTTCATATTTTATCCATCTTTTCATTTTGTATTTACAATCTTGTCTCGGTCATACTTGTGGTTTACAATTAGTTTTATCTCACCCATTCTAACGATATGTTGACCTTGTCATGTCAAATCTTGTGGTATTTATATGGTCCCATCTATTCTCTTATTGTTTTCTCGTCAAATTGGTGTGTGTGGTATTTATAGGGTCCCATCTAATCTCTTAGTGTTTTCTCGTCAAATTGGTGTATGTGGTAGTTATATGGTCCCATCTATTCTCTTAGTGTTTTCTCGTCAAATTGGTGTATGTGGTATTTATATGGTCCCATCTATTCTCTTAGGGTTTTCTCGTCAAATTGGTGTGTGTGGTATTTATATGGTCCCATCTATTCTCTTAGTGTTTTCTCGTCAAATTGGTGTGCGTGGTATTTATATGGTCCCATCTATTCTCTTAGTGTTTTCTCGTCAAATTGGTGTGTGTGGTATTTATATGGTCCCATCTATTCTCTTAGTGTTTTCTCGTCAAATTGGTGTGTGTGGTATTTATATGGTCCCATCTATTCTCTTAGTGTTTTCTCGTCAAATTGGTGTGTGTGGTATTTATATGGTCCCATCTTTTCTCTTGGTGTTTTCTCGTCAAATTGGTGTGCGTGGTATTTGGTCTTATCACATTTTGTGTTACTCAATCTTTTCTTATCAATTCTTTTCTTATGGTAATTGAACTTGTCTTAATCTTCTTTTATCAGTTTCTCCTTTTTTTCATTTCAGGATCTCTTCCGATCTTTTTTGGTCTTATTCTTCTGCTTGGTCTTGGTCTTACTTATTCTTATGCTTTGTCTTGGTCTTACTTATTCTTCTGCTTTGTCTTGGTCTTACTTATTCTTATGCTTTGTCTTGGTCTTACTTATTCTTATGCTTTGTCTTGGTCTTACTTATTCTTATGCTTTGTCTTGGTCTTACTTATTCTTATGCTTTGTCTTGGTCTTACTTATTCTTATGCTTTGTCTTGGTCTTACTTATTCTTGTGCTTTGTCTTGGTCTTACTTATTCTTATTGTTATCTAGGTGTCCAAGAAGAACGCTATCGCGTATCTTATCACAAAGTACGGATATGTTCATTTATTCGACATTGAGAGCGGAGCCTGTATTTACACTAACAGAATCAGGTACCTTAAGTAAGATCAAGGATTTGACCAACCATGACTTAGACATTTTTGTTAAAAATCCTGGGATTAAACGACTCGACTTGTCTTGGTGGACAAGCCATGTTCACTTCTTAATTAGAAAATGTTCATGTTGGACTAATGTGAATAAAAAAAGTAAATATTTGCAAATTATCTTTTTCCTTTTCATATCAATTTCGATGGACTGACGACTGAAGAGGGTAAACCCAGACCGAAATATATTTTCAATAAATGTGGAACTAACATCTACTTATTTTTACTCTACAGAGGTTTGGTCCATCACCATCACCGAATTTTAAATGTGAATCACTTTTCTGTTCTGAATTATTTTGTCAGTTCCTTTCATTGATTTTGTTTAGTGCGGACACTATATTTGTGACAGCTCTGCATGAACCCAGCAATGGTATTATCGGAGTCAACAGGAAGGGACAGGTAATAGCTCCCCCCCCTTTATTCCACAGTCGACACCTACTGGAGTAACCCCCCCCCCCCTTATCAGTTCCTTGACAAATTTTAAAAAGCATCACCTTTGGCGTTTACTTCAAGGGCGGGTGGATTTTTTTTTTTTGTAGAAATTACACTTACTACAATTTTATTTTTATCTTTTGAAACTTATTTTTAAATGTAACCTGAACTTTTGGTGATTTATTAGAAATTCGAAAACAATTTTAACAATTTTAATAGTAACCTGTTCCTAGGTATTATCCGTGAGCATGGATGAGGAGACTGTAGTCCCCTATATTCAGCAGACCAATACTATTCCAAACAACGCGGATCTTGCTCTTAGAATGGGTAAATACAATATTAATAACTTATTTAATGTTGTTGTGTCCTTTACCTTCTTAAATGCGCACATATCTTTTAAATTGACCTCAAGGGGTCAGGTTTTAAAATTTTAAGACCTTTTTTCTGCGTAACCTGAAACTTTTTATTTCCAGCTGTGCGTAATAATCTGGGAGGAGCTGACCAGCTGTTTGTTGCCAAGTTCAATGACCTGTTCGGACGCGGAGCGTACAGTGAAGCAGCTAAGGTCGCCGCCAACGCCCCCAAGGGGATTCTGCGTACACCTCAGACTATAGCTAAGTTTCAACAGGTAATGTTTTTTACCTGAAGTCCAGCTGTAAGGTTGCTAGACGTTAATAATAGTTGATTCAAGGTTCACAGAAATTATAAAAAATGATGATAATTGATTAATCGACTCATTAGTTGACGCATTGAGTGACACTTAATTTGACTAAGTGATTGATTCGTAGATAGATTCTTTAACTGAATAAATGATTGATTCATTAATCGATCGTCGTAATTGACGGGTAAATTGACTCATTTTGAACAATTACCGTATCAATTGGCTCATTCATAGATTGTTTTATTGATCATCCCTTGGCTCAATTATTGACTTGACTCCATTGACTCATCAATTCACTAATTGGCTCATTAATCGACTAATTGTTTTTCTGACTTATTAACAGATTAATATAATTGATGGACTTAGTGTGAATCTGTGATGATTGATTATTGATTAATTAATTAATTGTTAAGGTGCCAACCCAGCCTGGACAGACCTCTCCCCTGCTCCAGTATTTTGGTATTCTGCTTGATCAGGGTCAGCTCAATAAATACGAGAGCCTGGAGCTGTGTAGACCCGTCCTAGCTCAGGGCAGGAAGCAACTACTAGAGAAATGGTTGAAGGTTCGATCTTTGTTTTTTTAAAGGGACTGTAAACACAATTTTAAATGAGTAAATTGAAAGAGTTACGTGTTTGATTCAAGATACCTAACTTATCTGATCATTTATTTTCAGAATATTATGAAACCAGAAACTTTGTTTGAAACAATGGGATAAAACTTTTGAATATTTTACTCTCTGAAAGTGTTCAAAAATACAAAGATAAATAGAGTAAATTTGATTGAGTCCATTAAAATAGTTTATTTTGCTATTTTTCATAAAAGTTCTTAAAGAATGACTTAATGGGCATTTTAAAAGTTGGTATGAAAATAAATAAATTTTCTTATCAAATCAAATTAAAGACTATCATCCTGACGTGAGAACTTGTTTAGAATCTTGAGATTTACCGTTTAAAGGTTAACGATACACATGTTCTAACCTTTTAATGCTGTTTGTGGATAATTAAGAAAATGAACATAAAAATATCTGTTTAGGAGGACAAGATGGAGTGCTCAGAGGAACTAGGCGACATGGTGAAGGCTGCAGACCCCACCCTTGCTCTCTCAGGTCAATACTGAAGTATCACAACTTTTAAAGTCATTTTAAAAAAGTACTCTTTTTTCAAAATTTATTTAAAGTCTTCAAAGAAACAATTGTTGGTTCAAAGTTCTTTCAGGTTCATTTTATTGCAATTTTAAAAAATGATTTTAATTAAGTCATACCTTTCCAGAAAAGTAGAAAAACTTATTGGTATAAAATTTGGTCACTAAAGAAATTTGTTTTCTGTTTCTTGGATCTAGGTGGTTTAATCTACACAGCGAAGTAGTAAAAACTACGTACAGATAGTTTAACTTCTTCTCTAGTGTTGCAGATAATACATTAGCTAAGAAGTTTAAAGCCATACCTAGTAAAATCACTTCTCGATGTTCATTGAATGGTACCTTTGATTTCCCAGCATATCCCCCGTAATAGACTTTACAGTCGAAGTTTAAGGGACTGTAGACATAATTAGACATAATTTACATGCAAAGATTTACAACGGTGTCCTTAAAAGCTTTCTCGGATAAGTTGTGTGCATGCATGCATGGTTTTATTTGCATTCGTGATTTCTGTGCAGTAGTTACTTGCGCATTTCTTGCATATAAGAAACAATAGAGAAATTCACAGACATAAACACTTGAACGTTATCGATCAGATTAGGGTTTCAAGGGCATTGCCATTCTTGTATGGAGGTTTACTTGAAATTGCAACAGTAGTCCCTTTTATACAATTTATTTCTAGTGTATCTGCGGGCCAATGTACCAAACAAGGTTATTCAATGCTTTGCTGAGACCGGACAATTTCAGAAGATTGTACTCTACGCCAAAAAGGTTGGTTTACTGACAATGGTTGCACTGATTCAGTACAGTTGTGAATTCTTAACTTTATTTTCTTAAAAGATTGAGAATGTGTCACAAAAAATAGTTGTAAATCAAATACTGTTAAATCATACAATACTACTAAATTATGTTTTACAAAAAACTAAAATTGAAAATAAATTGTTTAAAAGAATATTCCAGTAAATGATGACATAGGAAAGAATTACTTTTACTCATTCCAAAGTTTTTTGAACAATTTTTGTAAATCCTCTTTTTTTATTTTTCTCTAATTTTAAAAGATCCATCCATACGTTCTAAAAATGAATTTTAGTTAGAAGTAACGATTTTTGGATGGAAAAGAAATACATTTTTGTAAATATAAGAGAGAAAAAATAAAATGTGTAGCAGCTTCAGCTTATTTGATTAGCGTACTAATTGCCTGAGATTGTATGGGATAATTAAACAAGGGTTTTGTAATCTGATATAATTACTCGTGAAATCAGAAACCTGGGAGAACAACAGACTGCTGGGTTGCATAGAATAGAAATATTAAGTACACACGGGTCTATTTTTTATCTCTGTTTCTCAACCCCTTCAAGAAACTTTTTTTTCTCGGATATTGGTGATTTTTATGTTTTTTTATTATTTATTGGGCAAGTTTTAGGGAGGTTAAGCAAGTTTTTTTTCGCAAGAAGTAAAAGTAATGGGGGATAAATTTCTTAAATTTTTTACTTTTTCATCGAGCATCGAAAATTATCTCTTTGCTGTTATCTGAAATATTCACTTTCATTCGAAATCTTCATATATTTTCTTAGTTCAAAATATGTAAGGTATATGACGTTAAGTGTCAATCATATAGATTTTAGAAAACTAGTGGAGATAGTTATTAGTTTCTACATTTTTAAGTAAATATTGGAGATTTCCAATAAGGGTAAAAACCTCGTTTTCCTCAGATTTTATCTAAGTTTGGATTTGATGAACGAGGGGGGTTTGAACAATTCTGATATATGACACTAAACGTTAAAAAGTAGTTGTTATGGTTATGAATTACTATCTATGTTGTGTTCCAGGTTGGATACACCCCGGACTACGTGTTCCTTCTCAGGAACGTGATGAGGGTCAACCCGGATTCCGGGGCTCAATTCGCAGGTAAACTACATTTTCAGGGAAATATAACTTCTGGAACTTTAAAAAAAAAATGTGTAAAAAAATCACCGAGAGAAAAATGAACCCTCTCGAAAATTTTGTTTACTACGCTTTTGGAACCCGATTCAAAATTCTGTCCTTGTAGAAACGATTTAGATAAATTTTGAAAGGAGAAATGGCCTCTTTTTTGTCAGTTTGGAAATGTTCTCATTTTACTCCTACCCTTTTTGAAAAATAATTTTTATTTCAGGTGGTAAGTTAAATGTAGGGTTTTGTTAGGAAGGGGAGTGGGTTTATCCGCTGAAATTCGGGAAAATAGATAAATAGTTGGATGAAAGTATTTTTGCGGTCCCATGTCCCCTAATCATCAAAAATCATTCTTGGCATTTTATCTTTATGAACTTTCCGAAGTCAATAAATGAAGCAAACTAAGTATCTATATAAAAACCAGACATTCATATATATATTTGTTGCGTATGGGCGGCCAAACGGCTGAACCGATTGGGCTGAATTTTGTTGTGCACACTCATGGGTGCCCGTGGAGTGTTATAGGCTATAAAAAATCGAACATTTTTTGTTAAACATTTTTTAAAACATTTTTTTCACGGTCAACGCCGGGTCCTTCAGATAGTTACATCATTTTAACTTAAATAATTTATTTTGATTTTTTACAATATTTTTAAATTTCAATTTGATATCAGATGGAAACATTTTGAGTTACATCATGATTTGAGATTATTTTTGTAATTTAAAGGTTTTTTGCTAGGAATGTTGGTTCAAGATGATGAACCCTTGGCTGAAATAACTCAGATTGTTGATGTATTTATGGAACAGAACCTAGTACAGCAGTGTACTGCTTTCCTTCTTGATGCACTTAAAAACAACAGGTAATGGCGTCGTTTTTTTAAACTTGAAGATTGACAATGGTACCCTGAAAGCTTTAGTTTGAAATAAGTGAATCTGACAGTTTCGTCCATTAATTCTAAAGCATCTGGGCCAGAATTAAAAGAAAAAACACATTACAAAAAGAAGATGATGAATATTGAATATCTCTTGAAATCTAGATAATTTAAACCTTTAAAGGGTACCGTTGTGAAAAGACAATGGAGAGTCGCTTTGAATTTTGTTGATAGGCCCTTTAAGTGCATAACCAGTTCCTGTACAGTATATAGTGTGCACTGTCATTAACTTTTATGCTAGGAGGGCGCTCACAATTATTTTTAAAGCTAATTAGTTTTCAGATAATTTTGCTTAAAAATGTATCAAGTTTCACTGATATTTTTATTTTATAAATAAACATAAATGTCTAACAATTGGGAGTTTAGGGTGGTGGTGTCAACCATTTTTTTTTTGGTCCAAATTATAATAGGGGCTGCTTCTGAAAAATGCAGGGATATATATTTGTTTTTAAAAAATAATGTGGGGGAAATGATTTTCGTGAATTGGTGGTTAAGAGTTTCTAAAATCTAACCCTGTACTAAGTCACTAATAAAGATCTATTCCTTAGACCAGCAGAAGGTCCACTCCAAACAAGATTGCTTGAGATGAATCTGCTGGCTGCTCCTCAGGTATTATTTCGTTCCCTGCAAGATTTGATTTGATTCCATTTCATTCCATTCCATTTGATTTCCTTCGATTCCATTCGATTCCATTTGATTCCATTTGATTAATCAGCATTTAAAAGTTCACTTATCTCAAATTTTGATGCACAAAAAAATGTTAAAATGTTTTTATTTATTCGATTTTGTTAAAGGTTGCTGATGCTATCATGGGAAACCAGATGTTCAGTCATTACGACCGAGCACATATCGCCAGTTTGTGCGAGAAAGCGGGTCTATTGCAGCGCGCACTTGAGCACTACACCGATCTGTACGATATCAAACGTGCAGTGGTTCATACACATCTTCTTAACACAGGTTAAACAATTCTTTTTTTCAATAAGCTTTGGTTCAAGCTCAGCCTCTGGCTCAAAAGTTCCGCTTCGCTTCAATTCTTGGCATTTATTTGGAACTAGAGACAAAATTTAAAGTGATTTTTTACTTTTAGAAGAGCATGTCTCATTCAACCTTTGTCGTAAGCAAAAATGAATGAGATTATCCTCATTTTTTTATCTTACAAAGGAAGAAAGAAATTTGTAGAATTAACTTAAATCAGTTGCTCAGATAGATATACAAAGCCAACGTGTACCCTTATGAATCGAGTCTATAATGCTTAAATTGAGAGTTCACCTGAATTGATCAACAGTCCCTTTAGCAGCATTAAACCTGTCCTCACTGTATTAATGATGAAATCTATGCGTGTCATGTGAAAATATTAATGATCACAACTCTTGCATCCTGAACACACCCCATGCCTGTTCATCGGGGCTACAACAAAAAATAATTTTTTGTAAGAAGTATTTTTTAGATTGGTTGGTCAACTTCTTCGGAACCTTGTCTGTGGAGGACTCCATGGAGTGCTTGAAAGCCATGCTCCAGGCAAATATCAGACAGAACCTACAAGTTTGTGTCCAAGTTGCAACCAAGTATCATGAGCAGCTAACAACTAATACTCTCATCGATCTGTTCGAGTCCTTCAAGTCATTCGAGGGTCTCTTCTACTTCCTCGGCAGTATTGTCAACTTCAGTCAGGTAAATATTTCGCGCCTTTTTTATAATTTGGCGCCATTTTTAACTATTCGCGCCAATTCCTTTTTTCGCATTTTTTATTCTATGTTTGTCCTAGGATCCAGAGGTTCACTTCAAGTATATCGAGGCTGCGTGTAAGACCGGTCAGATAAAGGAGGTTGAGAGGATCTGCCGCGAGTCCAACTGCTACGCCCCTGAGCGTGTCAAGAACTTCCTGAAGGAGGCAAAGCTCACCGATCAGCTGCCGCTCATCATTGTCTGCGATCGATACGATTTTGTACACGATCTGGTTCTATACCTGTACAGGAACAATCTGCAGAAGTACATTGAGATCTATGTACAGAAGGTGAACCCTAGTCGTCTACCCGTGGTGGTCGGAGGTCTGCTGGACGTTGACTGTGGAGAGGATATCATCAAGAACTTGATCCTGGTAGTCAGGGGACAATTCAACACTGACGAGCTGGTCGAGGAGGTGGAGAAGAGAAACAGGTTAATATTCATTACATGAGAAATATTGTGAACCCAGCTTTGTCTAAAAATTAAACTTTCTTTTAAAATTTAAAAACTAAACTCAAAACATTTTTGTGCTGGTGGTCCCCAATCAAAGTTTAAGGTAAATCGGTCTAGGGTACGTACGACTTATGATTGGACAAACAAACAAACGTCAAATATGACTACGGTAATGTTCTTAGCCTGGTTTGAAAGCTCTACGTTGATTTTAAGGGATAAAGTTTGATTTCCAGACAAAGCTAGGTGCCCAAGGTAGTTACAGATACATATATATTCTGGTGACCCACGCATGGAGTTTTATTTTTTGGGGGTTCATACTGCATAGGTTTATTAGTGATGTGGCTCAATATGAGCATTTTGTGAAAATTTTAGGTTGATCGGAGCATTACATGAGGTGTCAATTGTTTTTGGCTTTTCGGCAAAATCTTGATTTTGGGCCATGGTCTACGACCTCCGATCCCAAATTTTCTTTGTGATCCGAGTAGAGGGCCACAATAGGAGGCTGCATGCAAAATTTGCGCCTTATATCAAGTTTTAGAACCAAATGCAGCCTGTACAAAATTTGGTGTTGCATCGTGTTAGGGTTGAAATCACCCAGAGAACCTATGCAGTATGCACCTTTTATTTTATTACTTTCACTTTAATGTGTCACCGTAAGATTTTTATATCTTCTTAAAATAAGTTTTCTATTGTTTATTTTGATAGTTTATTGCTGGACACAACACACGTATCTCAATCCACCTACATATGTTATAAATATATAAATATAGGTTTAAGTTTGATAATTTATGTTGTAACCTGACCTCTCCCCCTTTTTATCAAATACTTGATATTTTACTCTGCAAGTTGGTGTTAATTGATTATTGAGTAATATGTAGTTTTTGCTTTTTGCTTTAGGATAAATCATTTGAGATGTCTTAAAGGCAAGATTTTTGCTTCCTGGACCCGGATCCAATGACCAATAAAAATAAGCGAAAAAAAAAATCATTCAAACATTTTAAAACTCGGCTTTCATAAAAAATTCAGTAAATTTTAAATGGGTCCGGATTTATTTTTTTCCAGTGCGAATCCAAGATCCGGATCCGCATGAAAATTAAATCTTAAGTACTGTTTACAGGGCCGATATTTAAAGTTAAAAGTATGTCCGATCAACCCTGCTAACCTCGAAATCTTTGTTAAATCATGAATGATAGTAATGTCCATGTTTGTTGTCTTATTTTTTTGTTTGGTTTTTTAAAGCGACTTGCACATTTATTTTGCACAAATGACGGACAAAATTGTCGGAATTTAGCAATTTAACGGTGAAATATACGAGAATGGCTTTTACAATTTTGATCAGAAAAATATTTTAAGGATACCGTCATAAATTAAGAAAAAAAATTTGATACGAAAATAAATATCTAATATCTATATCTGCAGGTTGTGGGTAAATACTGTGAGAAGCGTGACCCCCACCTGGCCTGCGTAGCTTATGAGCGGGGGAACTGTGACAGAGAACTGATCGCTGTGTGCAATGAGAATAGTTTGTTCAAGTCTGAGGCTAGGTATCTTGTCAAGAGGAGGGATATGGAACTATGGGCAGAGGTAAACATTTTATATTTACAGAGTTGGGAACTATTGTAATGGATACTTTGAATCTCAATTGATTGATCTCGATATCCACTTTGGCCACTTATATTTGCCGATCTACAAAAACTAGTCTTTCCTTTTCTTCATGTTAGTTAATCCTCCAAAGATCAAAGCTTCCTTTAACCCCTGACTGGGTACGATAGCCATGCTGGATATCGAATAAAAAATAAATTAATCCGCATATTAATAAAAGATTGAGATCAAGAATTGATCTCTATATCCACAATACAACAGTTCCCAGCTCTGATGTTAACATTTGAGTAGCAATATTAGTATATTTAAATGTAAGTTTTCCCTAATTTCTTCAGATGGATAACTTTTGGGAGAGGGAAGGGGATTTTTATTTCACAATCAATTATGCTTTTCCCTCCTCCCCTCTTAAAGGAAGTAAGGATCTAAATTTGAACAATAACTTAAGAATCACTTCATATAATTTCTTTGTCGATTCATCTAATGAATCCCACTCTCTATATAATTTTAAATTTATCATATAATCTATTTGTCGATTCATTTTATGAATCCCTTATCTATAAATCGATAATGAATCCCACTATCTATAGAACTTTATAATTTATCATATAATCTATTTGTCGGTTCATTTTATGAATCACTTCTCTATAACTCAATAACTTATTTTAAGCTTATTTATCAATTCATTTTAAAATTATTCGTTTCAACTCATGAATACCCTTTTTAAACACTCAGTTAACCGGGAGGGAGATTCTCTCTGTCAGCATTTAAATATGTATTTAATACAACTGTTTGGCAACTAGCTGACAAAAGGAATCAGACCGGTGACATGGCTCAAATTTGGTCGTGTGTCCGACGTTAGGATCTAAACTGTCAGGCTGAAAAGCCTTCACCTATAGGGGATTGTGATGGCATACCCCTTGTAGGTCAAGGAGCTGTTGGACGCATCCCTAGCTGTATGATATGATATGATATGATAAGAAGATCATTACTCATTAATTAATGGTTTTGTTCTTTTTTAGGTTTTGAATGATGAGAACCAGTTCCGTCGTCCTTTAATTGATCAGGTTGTGCAGACAGCTCTAGCAGAAACTCAGGTAAGCAGAGTTTTAAACCTATGATGTTGATATTTGGGTAAGACTTGAAACTCAACCCCTTATTAAGGAGCCTTAAGGCTTGAGCCATCCCTGCAAAGTATGATCTGATTTGCCGATCTTTGATTTACTATTTGATCCATTGATTTGATATTTTGATCGAACGATTTTTTGATTAATTGATTTATTCAATTAATCCTTGCAGCTAATGATTTTTTAATATTTTGATGCTTTGTTATATAAAAATCTTTAAAGATAAATTAAGTATATGATTAATAAAAAAGAGTGATTACCCTATTGTATCATTGTCATCAATTGATTGACTGATTATTGATTGATTGGTCAGGATCCCGAGGATATCTCAGTGACCGTGAAAGCGTTTATGGCAGCTGATCTACCCAACGAACTGATAGAACTCCTGGAGAAGATTGTCTTGGAGAACTCGGTCTTCTCTGATCATAGGTAAACAATCATCTTAGGTTTAAAGTTTATTTTTGAAAATTGATTTAAAAAGGAAGTATAAATATTGGATTTATTAAATTAAAAACTCGCTAGTTTGGGCATCATTTAAAAAAGTCATGTGGAAAAAAATATTGCAAGAAGATGAGAGTATATCAGAAAACAAAAGATTAATACTGAAGATTATGAGGTATTAAGAGGATAATGCGAAGACAAGATGATGATTGGAAGACAAGAGGAGGAGAAAAGACAAGAATCCCTTATCCTGATTGCTTGTGTTAGAAGATGATATGACAAGAATCCCTGATCCTGATTGCTTGTGTTAGGTGTCTAGAAGAAGATGATGTGTATTCAAGAAGATCCTGATTGCTTGTGTTAGGTATCTAGAAGAAGATGATGTGTATTCAAGAAGATCCTGATTGCTTGCGTTAGGTATCTAGAAGAAGATGATGTGTATTCAAGAAGATCCTGATTACTTGTGTTAGGTATCTACAGGCTGGAGGTAGTTTATAAATAATATCACAGCCAGCAGATATCTAACACAGGTATATCTCAATCAACAACCAGACAGAGAACATCAGGGTTGTATATTTCTGTTCTAAACTCATTTTTTAGTGCTTAAATTCATGGGGTATATAGAACTGTCGTTGATCCTCCAATAAATGAGGGCATGGACATTTCACATCTGTACTCATTGTGTGTCTGTAGCAGAATTCCACCAATCACTTATGCTACGAAACTACAAATGAAAAGAGTCAAATTGCTTAATTAAAATCAGTGTTTCGGATCCATATCATTTTGATTCGGATCCGGATCCGCGGATCCGCATCCGTGATGATGGATCCGGATCCGGATCCTGATACGGATCCGGATCCGAGGTAACTTTTGATTCTGTGAATCGGATTTTCCCTATTAAATGTTATGCAAGGTTATAATTTATAAACTATAGTAATCCTAAAGTTAAAAATGTCGTCATTACTATTATATAAATGTAAACATTAAATTATTAAAGATAATTTTGAAAAATTTTCGTCATGTAAATAATACATTTACGAACCATTTTGATTTATCTATTCCATGGTTTTGGTTAATTTTTGGCGCTACCCGGATCCATATCAACGTTTCCTGATACGGATCCGGATCCGGATCCGAAACACTGATTAAAATCATGCAATTTATATTGGATCAGACAACATATGCGAATTGGACATGCTACGTCACAAATACAGTATAAATTCAATTTATGATGACAGTTTTTAAGACTTAATTTTTTATCAAAATTACCTTTTCTTTTATTTAATTTAATTTTGTTGAAGGAACCTGCAGAACCTGCTTATCTTGACCGCCATCAAGGCGGACAAGACCAAGGTCATGGAGTATATCTCCCGCCTGGACAACTATGACGCCCCTGACATTGCAAACATCGCCATCGGAGCAGAACTTTACGAGGAGGCTTTCGCCATCTTTAAGAAATTTGAGGTAATTTTTCAAATTATTTACTTTTTCATTTTAATTCATTTAAATATACTTTTTATAAAATTCAATTTTATTTTATTTTAGGAATTTCGATCATTAATTAGGCGTGCACCCAAAAAATTGGAAGATTTGAACCAAAAATGAAGGCAGGGCCCCCCCCCCCCCCCCCCCTCCGTCTTACAAAATGTTTTTTTTACAATACTTGTGTTCTTAAAGGAAGACCAAAAGAACTGTCTAATAGAAGACGGCTGTTAGTTAAAGTTATGATTTTAAAAAGTCTAATGAACATGAATCACGGCAAGTGTGAAATGAATAAAGACCTATTTCACTTGATTTTCAATCGACTAGTTTAACCAAAAGCTCTACAGCATCAAATTTACATAAGACTGATGAATAATGAATATCGTGTTCCTGTTCCTCAGTTCTATTGCTTCCTCTATAATACCGCCTAAAAATCAAATCTTTCTCTGTTGCTTATTTTAGAATTAAATTCGGAAATAATATAATAATTTGTTCCAGGTGCAATGAGCCCGCGGTCTGGAGTCAGCTTGGTAAAGCTCAGCTTCAACAGAATCTTGTGAAGGAGGCAATTGATTCCTACATTAAGGTGAGATCAAATGTATTTTAGAATAAGTATACTATTTGTCATTCTTCATTTCAATTTGAACCTTTATTTGCATTTTTCTCTTTAAGTAACTGATTTTTCGCATCCTTCTCTGTTTCTCTTACACCATATCTTTGCGATCTTTGATATTTCAAACTTACTATTAGATCTAGAAGAAGTTTAGTTAAAACAAAGTGCACTGCAACATCTTCTAGCAATGATATGGATTAGAAATTTAAAGTATAGGCCGAGTAATCAGTTCTTTCAAATAAAAAAGATTTTTTTAAAATAATTACATTAGGCCTAAATAGAATAGTTTTACTTTTAAAAAAAAACGTTAAAAGTTTTTCAATTTTTTTTTTTAGGCCAATGACCCAAGTGCCTATCTTGACGTTGTCGCCACGGCCTCCAAAACAGAGTCTTGGGAGGACCTTGTCCGTTACCTCCAGATGGCGAGGAAGAAGGCCCGAGACACATATGTCGAAAGCGAACTCATATTCGCGTACGCCAAGACCTCAAGGTTCGCGGACCTGGAGGAGTTCGTCTCGAGTCCGAATCACGCGGATGTTGGGAAAATCGGAGATCGATGCTTCGACTCTGGTATGTACGAGGCCGCTAAGCTGTTGTACAACAATATTTCTAACTTTGCAAAGCTCGCGATAACCTTGGTTCACTTGAAGGAGTATCAGGGAGCAGTCGACAGCGCTAGGAAGGCAAACAGGTAAAATATTATGCATATTCGTTTCTCATTAATCTGCAACTTCTCAAGAATAGAAACTTGCCCCCATTTGTTAAATTAGTTAGGATTTCTTAATCCCCCTTTTCAATATATGAAAGGGGTGTTATTCTTTTGTCACATTTGGGAAAGTAGTAATTGTAAAAGGAAAATACATGATTTTTGTTTTAAAATGGGGGGGGGGGAACATGCCAGTTGTCCCCCCTCTACCTTTGGTAATTTATATTTCTCCTTAGTTCGGTTATCTCTCTTGTTTGAAGGTTGCCCTATTTTTTAAGTATCTAATATATTTAGTACTCGGACCTGGAAGGAAGTATGTTTTGCTTGTGTTGAGAACGAGGAGTTCAGGTTGGCGCAGATGTGCGGTCTCCACATCGTGGTTCATGCTGACGAGCTGGAGGACCTTATCACCTTTTACCAAGACAAAGGTAGCCCGATCAGACAACATATGCGAATTGGACATGCTACGTAGAAAGAAGTGTCCAAATAGGTTACACAAAAAACATTCTTTTGATGTCAAAGTCTTATTTTTACAACTTTTAATCCGTCCGTCTGTTAAGGGTATTTCGAGGAGCTGATGAGCCTCCTGGAGGCCAGCCTGGGGTTGGAGAGGGCCCACATGGGTATGTTCAGTGAGCTGTCCATCCTTTACTCGAGATATAAACCAGAGAAACTCAGAGAACATCTGGAACTTTTCTGGAGCAGAGTCAATATTCCCAAGGTCAGAAACTTACCAAACAATGCAGGGGTATATTATCCGGGGGGAAAAAAACATTTTTCTTCCCCGGAAAATATTTTCTTGAAAATATTTTTTATTTTTATTTATTTTTCAGTAAACATCTGTGCTTTTGGGGGGTTTATTCGTTGGGATAATCAATTAATTTTTGGGTAAAAAATTAGCAAAAAGAATGAAAAAGGTTGCCTTTTGATGTCCAATATTTAATTTTATTTCCTCAAATCATCAAAAATGATTCTGAAAAATACTAAAATTATGATATTCAGAGGTTGGGATTAAAGAATATGCGAAGGTAGTTGAACCGTTTTCTCTAGCGTGGCCAATAGTTAACTAGAAGAATAGTTTAATTATCTTTTCTTCTTTCACCTGTAACTTCACGCTATTCATAAATTTCTACTTCAATTTTAAAGAGATCGCCTGGCTCAAAACTTTTTTTTTAATGTATCGCCATTTAATACCTTAATTTTCAATGTCAATTATAATATGTTAGTTGGAAAATTGTCAATAATTTCAAAAATCGCACTTATGATTCATTGAACCCCACAGAATCTAAAAATTTTACTTTTTTTGAATTTTGAAAATTTTTGTCTAGGTATTAAGAGCAGCTGAACAGGCGCATTTATGGGCTGAGTTAGTCTTCCTTTACGATAAATACGAAGGTAAATTTCAATTTATCAATCATAAAAAAGTGTCTTAATTCTGGAATTCATGACAAAATATGTTAATTTTGGAATTGGAGTGATTTCCCTTCCATGATTTTCGAAATATTAAAATAACTTATTCGTTTCTGTTTAGAGTACGATAACGCTGCTCTTTCGATGATGGCGCATCCAACCGAAGCCTGGAGAGAAAGCCATTTCAAGGATATAATGACCAAGGTGGGTCACAGTACATATTGAATATTTGGGTTCTGAACTGGGTGAATTTCTTAGTTCACTGAATCTACTGTGAAAACTTGTTTTTTGATCAGTTGTGTTTATTTCAGGTTGCAAACATTGAATTGTATTATAAAGCAATCCAGTTCTATTTGGATTATAAACCAATGCTTCTTAACGATCTTCTTCTGGTGCTTGCGCCTCGGCTAGAACACACCAGGTATACATAGACATATGGTACATGTACAGTACAGACACACGATACATGTACAGACACTAGGTAAATGTAGAGATAAACAGTACGTGTACAGAAACACTGTACATGTAAAGACAACCGGTACATTCACAATTGGGGTTTCCATTCAAAATATGCGCAAGAACAGCGCATAACATGATTTGTTGCTGGCAAACTTATCTCTACAAATTCTACAAGTTATTTTGTTGCAAATGCATGCCTCAACAAAAAAAAATTCAATGTCTCTGTTGTTAAAAATAAAAGTAAGGGTGACTCTGTGTGGCACTTCTTGATAGAAATGCTCAACCATCTTAAAACAGTCCCCACTACAATTTTTTGTCATAATTTGAGGCCTTTTAGTTTTTTGTTGTGCAAGCAAAAAAAAATATTTAGAAACACAAAATTCGAAAAAATTGAAATCGTTAAAAATTTATAAAAATATTCACCTATGATAAAAATAAAATAAATAAGTTAAATTCTCTTTATCAACATATTCATAGTTTGTTGTTTTTAGAACTGTTTCTTATTTCACCAAAACCAACCATCTCCAGCTCGTGAAACCATATCTGAGATCTGTACAGAACTTGAATAACAAGGTAAAGAATGTTTTCCAAGTAGAAGTTTTCTTTGCCCCAATTTCCCTCTTTTGAAATCTTCTTCTTTGGGGTTATAATCTTGCATTTTTTTTCAATTAAATATTTTTTCTGTTGTGTTCAGTTATTAACTATTGTATTTGCCTAGGCTGTAAATGAAGCCCTGAACGGATTGTTTATAAACGAGGAGGATTTCAACGCTCTGAAGACGAGTATTGATGCCTTCGATAACTTCGATAATATTGGGCTCGCGCAGGCGCTAGAGAAACATGAACTCATTGGTAAGTTACTTCATTTACAACAACTAACATAATTTTAACAGTTTGTAATCTTTCTTGTGTCTTTGATGAACCGACATTTTTAAGTACTGCACTTTAAAGTGACCCTCAATGTAAGAGGGGTATGCTAGGGGTATGAAATAGAAGGGAGATACAACTGACGCAGCCCGCCCTACCATATGTTTATACATGCTTTGCAGACGGTAATTCATTTGTATAAGAAATATTCAGAATAGGTTATTGTATACGCGGTAATTGTACATCAGACAAATATTTCTTATTCAAATGAATTACCGTCTGCAAAGCATGTATAATCATATCGTAGGGCGAACCGCGTCAGGTGTTTCTCCCTTCTATTCCATACCCCTTGGGGTATGTGGATTGTGGCAGAAAGTATTGTTTTTTTTCTAGCTTATTTATAATCATTTCTACATCATTTTGTAGAGAAATTGCAAATGTAAATAATTAGTTTTTTGGAACACATTAATTAATATCTAAGTCTTTATTTATCACACAACGCTTTTAAGGAGACTGTTCTAACTCAATCAATTTAGGGTCACTTTTATAGTTAGAATTTTTAGTTTTATTTGTTAGCACTATTTCTCTTAAATTTTGCTTTCAGTCTATTCCCTTTTTCGACTTTTTTTTCTAATTTGAGAATCCTAATTCCGTCTTATTTAGAATTCAGACGGATCGCTGCTTATCTATACAAGGGCAACAACAGATGGAAGCAGAGTGTTGAGCTTTGCAAAAAGGTATTTTATATTACAAAAATAAAATTATTTTTATTTTCTATCTGATGAAAACCAGCTACAGAAACAGTCGAGGGAAGTCAGTGTCTCATAGTCTACCGTGTTGCCATTTTAGAAATAAAGATATTAAAAATGTCTCTTTTTTCGTTTTTTTGACTGTGAAGTGCTTTCTTCCGAATTCGTGTTGAATATCACAACCCCGGACTGAGTTTACAAGTTTAATAAAAAAAATCATAGATTTTAGATAACACTGTTTGATACCAATCTTGTTTTAAGGACAACCTTTTCAAAGACGCAATGGAGTACGCATCAGAATCGAAGAACGCAGAGGTAATCCTTATCAATTTTTAAACTTGCAGAAGTAAATTTTTTGTAAACACTGAATAATTGTGAATTCTTGCTCCAAAAGTTAAGAACATTTTTTAAAACTTTTTTTAAACTAAAAATTAATCACATTTTGAAATTAAGTTTTTTAACCTAAACTCTAATATTTTTATTTATTTTATTTACTTGAAAATTTTAAAGATATAATTAAACTTGTTCTGTGTAGGTTGCTGAGGACTTACTGGCTTACTTCCTTGAACACCGAGCTTTTGATTGTTTTGCAGCTTGTCTGTTCCAGTGTTATGATCTACTGCATCCTGATGTTATTCTAGAACTAGCTTGGAAGCATAATATTATGGACTTCGCCATGCCCTACCTTATACAGGTCCGTTTTAATCATATCCCCGGGCTTAGCACCGTATAAAATATTTTTAATTACCCCCCCCCCCCCTTTATTTCAAAATTTTCATTAGCTTAAGTGTTCTGAATAATATTAAACCTCTTATTTCCCATAGATTGAATACGTTTCATTTTATAGCGTGGTTGTTGATAAACAATTATACTCTTTGATCCTTCGTCTGATATTTTGTAATTGCCATTTCTCTCCAAAGTTACTTGCGAATTTATACGACAAACTACGAAGGAATCACCCTAGTATAAATTACTACGTTTCTCAGAAAGAGGTTTAAATAGTACTGTTGTGAATCGGAAATGCCCATTTTTAAATGGGGCATTGCGTTACTTTAAAATACTGTGACAGTCCCTTTGTTTCACACGATATTTGAGGAATTTTTACACTATTTTCCGTCCTTTGGCTTTCCAATTACTATTATTATTTATTTTATTAATTAATCGTACTCGTGTAGGTGATGAGGGAGTATGTGACGAAGGTTGACCGTCTAGAGGATGCTGAAAATCTTCGGATAACTGAGAAGAAGGAAGAGGAATATACTCCCGTTGTTAGATTTGATTTGATTTGATTTGATTTGATTTGATTTGATTTGATTTGATTTGATTTGATTTGATTTGATTTGATTTGATTTGATTTGATTTGGTGAATGCAATGTTTAGGTTTGGTGGGTACAATGTTCAGGTTTGGTGGATACACAGTTTAGTTTAACTTAATACAATGTTTAGGTCTGGTGGTTTTTAAGTTTTGGTTTGCTAGACACATGTTTAGGTTTGGTGTATTCAATGTTAAGGTTTACTGGATATAATGTTTAGGTTTAGTGGATCTGGATACAATGTTTAGGTTTGTTAGATACGATGATTAGGTTTGTTGGATACCGTGTTTAGGTTTAGTGGATACCATGTTTAGGTTTGGTTTGGGTATCCTTCGGCTGAAGGATATTACTAATTGTATCACAGCCAGATGATACCTAAACCAAGCCTTTACTAGTCACAGATTCAGCATAGACGCCTTTGAGGTAGACGGGCGAGTTCTGGAAGATGATGGAAGATGATGGAAGATGATGAAAGATGTTGGAAGATGATGGAAGATGTTGGAAGATGTTGGAAGATGATGGAAGATGTTGGAAGATGTTGGAAGATGCTGGAAGATGATGTAAGATGATGCAAGATGATGCAAGATGATGGAAGATGATGGAAGACGATGGAAGACGATGGAAGACGATGGAAGACGATGGAAGACGGTGGACGACGATGGAAGACGATGGAAGATGATGGAAGATGCTAGAAAATGATGGGAAATGATGGAAGATGTAGAAAAATGTTTTTAAGCAATTGTTTCATTTTTGGAAATTTACCCCCCTCCCTCTAGTATTGCCTAAATGATTGAGTAATAATGATAATAATGGATGAATGTTTTTTGTGTTCTGTTTTGATACTTCTTAGAATATATGTTTTATTAATATGTTTGTTTTGTTTTTCTGTAGAAAGCAAGCCCCAGTTGATGCTGACCGGACCTGGTGCATATCCAGGTACACTTTTTAACCCAGTTCCTGCAAGTGATAACCGGAAAAGGAAGACGACATTTATATACTAGTTAAAGGTATTTAATGTTACAACGCAAGCAGTTTTTCTAGTAACTTATTCAATCACTTACTAAGTAAAATGGGTCTGATTATGCTGCGCAATTGCTGTATCTCACATTCATTGAACTTTTAAAAGTTACGAATTGAGGCTTAAAGTCGTCTTCTTACTCCAGAGTTTTCTGGTTCTCAATGTAGATGAAAAACATTATAAATGTTGTTTCAACTTTCCATTTTATTCTTAATACTAATTAATGATTAATGAGGAACTTGAACGATTAAATAAACTGACATATTCTGTTTTCAGGAGGAGCTTACAACAATGTTGGTGGTGTTCCCCAAGTAGGATACGGTGGTGCTCCTGGTCCCTACGGTATGCCTGGGCAGATGCCAAGCTACCAGGGGTACTCCATGTAGAAAATCCGCCAAGAAAACGAGCGGTCCGGAAAAATCCGTGAATCGGTGGACGTGGAAATCCGCGAGTTTTGTGGCTAAATTTAGATATCTTGAAACATTCCCGGCATTCTGCAGTGAACACTTGATAAAAAGGGAAACTTATATAATAAACACTAGATGAACCATCATAGGTTCAGGATAGGTTGCATTTAACACATCCATCAAACCTGGTATTTTATTTATTTTAGAAAATAAGTCTGGAGACGTTTAAAAACTGTTTATTTATTATTAAATTTAAAACTATGATGGTTTAATATTTCAACTATTTTAGATATAAATTATGTGATGTTATTATGCTGCTAGTTGATTCCTAGATAATCAATTACGTTTTATGTGATTACTTGTAGCCCAGTGCGCTGAATAAAATTGTTCATTAATAAATTCTTTTTATTTAGATTTGAAATAAGCTTGAGAGGGAAGTGAAAAAGTGAAAAATAAATTAACTGTTTCTAGTGCCCGGCTCTAATTAGTCTAACCTAAATTTTTTTTCTAAATAATTAGACTTGTGGGAAATGTGAACGTAAATTGTATTAATTCCAGATGTTAATAATACTATTAACGCACTTCAAAACCAAGTGTGCATTCATTTATACTAACTAATAATAAAACAAGACATTCGTATATATATTTATTCGTGGTTTTCAATTTTTATCTTTTCAAAATAATTCTCTTTTACATGGGCAACGCCGGACATTTCAGCTAATTAATAATTTGCTGGCCATGATAAGCCGTGTTTGGGAGGTTTCTTCGAGCAAACTGTCCCTTTAACAGGATAGGATCCCTTTGGACTTGTAAAGTGAAATGCACTAGTCCATGCGCTGTTTGTGTGCAGTGGGGAGGTGACTTCTGTCACTGGCCTAGACCTCGATGTCTCGATCACACTAGACTTGAGTCATAATCGGATATACATTAATTTTCACCCTTTGGGGGTTATTTTTGATGGGGTTTCGGCCTTGATTTCCACGGAATGATGGTTGATCTTTTATTTATTCATTTATTTTGGTTACTATTTCCCTCCACCTCGAATTTACGTAAAAGTGTTTTAATTAGACTGACTACTTTATACTCATACAATAAAAAGTTTGCCTATTTTCGTATGGTTTTTTAACATTTTTAAAAATTGATTTTGATGTTTATCGTTAGAACTGACCGAATCAAATTTTCACTAAAATGTGAAATTAACCTTGGTTCATTATAAATACCAAATTTTAAATACTCGCGTATGTAATAGTTATTATTAAAAATAAGTTCTTATACTGGACTCTTGAAATGGTTAAAACCTTATTGTGAGAGTATTAACCACGGCCCGCTTAAGTAATCTATGTCTGTATTTTGGACATAAAACAACAATCATCTAGGTCGGAATATGCGGCACCAAAACAACAATCGTTTTTCGATTCCACAGTTCATTGGGTCCTACTATATAAAATAAACTACTATAAATAAACTGATTTTGGCCTTAAAATGCCGAAAATGTTTAGCTTTTCTACTTATTTTCTTTATTTGGACATTAACCTAACAATAAAAAATTGTATTTTTCAAAAACAGGAAAACCTTCCCTGAAATTGAAAAATTTAAAAACATTCAGGCAGAACCACTGTCTGCAGACTGGTAGAAGTCGTAGAAGCAACCTTTTCCCGAAGCCAACTTTAAGTTTTTTTTGTACCTTACCGAACCCGCAGATAGGAAGTAACATTGTTTACGTGTATGAGACCATATAAGAAAGTTTAAACACAGAAAGGCACATGAGCTGGAAGAGAAGGATCTGATGGAGGATATTAACAAATGCATGCAGATTATTGAAAACCTTTTAAGTGGACAGTGACTGCAGTTTTCAAATACAAAATCCATAGATAAAGATAGATTGCGCATAAGACGACATTTTTCATCTTGAAAGATATAAATGTACAGAGATGTTTTAAAGATATTCCTATTATATAGATTAACTAAGTCGGTTGTGAACATTAGCTGTTCTTATGTCATTGAGTACTTGTGATGAACATGAGTTCTGTAGAGAGAAATTTAAGTTAGTTTAGTCCTTCTCATGTCCTTCTTCAGTTCTCGTCAATATGATAAATTGCTCAGTGAAATATTGTTGTTCAAATAGTTCCATTCCCGGAGTTATTATACACTCTATTATGAAATCCATTAAAACACCAAACCACCCCGCTTATCATTGAAGTACACTTTGACCTCCAGAAGTATGAGTTCGCGGACTGTACAATTCTAGGTGATTTTGCGTACATAAGCTATCTATGTTTATTTATTTATCTATGACAAAACCACTCTGGGCTTATGTACCAAGTGGCTGCCCGTGCGAGCATAAACCATTGCACTATGCTTTGCTAACGTGCTGGTCACCCCAATTTTTTTGCGAATGCCGGTGCGATGGGTAGTTTTCAGGAGCTATCGGGTGCCTCATAATAGATAAATAGATAGATATGTAAATAGTGACTAAGACGCAGTCCTATAGGTGGACAGAATCGGATCAAACAATACCTACCCCGATCAACACTACTAGGGTCGGCAGCTCCCGGCTCTTCATGGCTCATCAAAATCCAAAACCCAAAATCATAGCGAATTACTTCTAAACACTCTCTATTACTTTCCTAAAATGATCATCCTAGGTTTTATACGTGTCTCATACTTCATATGGATAATATAATCTGAGAAAAACCAATATTCAAAATATTAAAATATAAAAAAAAAACTAATAAATAAAACAATATTGTAGAAATTTAACTATAAATGAGCCAGGGGTTTGCCATGAAACACCTGGAAACTCAATATTTATCAAAGTTTCGATTGCTTCCAGATGGGTAAAAAATGCGTCATGACTGGATGAAACAGATTCCCCTTTACAAATTGCCTGGTTTGTTTGTTTTCCAAAGTCTAAAAAAGTGCCTTTTTTAGTTTATACAGACCTTGAAACTGAATTTTTAGTTATAGCGGCGGCCAGGAAAAGAGAAAATTTTAGACTCAAAAAGGATATTTTTTTACCTACAGTAATTTTGCACTCCTACTCTATACAGCGTAAGGTCATCTTTCCTACCCTTCCTCCCCTATTTAAAACCAGAGAAATATGCTGGAATTGTACCTCCATCTCCGACAAAGGAAAACATTGAATAGTAAAACGTTTTAGTCAGTGACTGCTCAGATCCTATATCTCTGAATAATTCTGCAATCCTTCTATTTAAACAACCGGGTTTTATTTTCAGAAGTAACATTCGAATGTTTAGAGTAATCCGATTACATCCTCTTATCCCAAATCCAAAGAGAATAGAATATATATTAGAGGGGAATTTACTAGAAAAAAGTGTAAAACGGCCATTTTGTTGTACTGTTTCCATACTGCAGGTGTACTTCACATATTTATGCCAGATAACCTTTTGGGCCCTGAAATATCATTTTATAGAAAATCTAAAATTAATATTAAAGGAAAACCAAATTATGAAATAGGCTGGTTTCATAATTGACCAATGATTATTTCACTTAGACTCTATGCGATGCCTTTCACTTTACAAACGATGATTTTCCATTATAACTATAAATCAAATGATGTTTTTTATTCACCTAATTCATTATAAAGTTTATTTAACAGCTTTAAAAATTTCGAAATTGAAATGAATAGTCTAGGGAACATACTGTATTAATGTACTCTACTGCACATAATTTGTGAACATTTACATGATTTGTACACTTTGAACTCCCTTTCAGGCTGAAAGGGACTGAAAAAATTCATACCGAGAGATTCTTTAAATTCCTCTCTAACATATATTCTATTCTCTATGCCCAAATCACTCCAATCCAGACACACACAAAGTTAGTAAGTTACCTAATTAAACATTAAAAATTATTTTATACCAATATTTATTTTACTAAAACTGTATTTTGTAGGTTTGAAATAAATCTGTTAATCTGTTTTTTGCAACTTTGTGTCCGAGTTAAGACGAGCCTCAGAACCTGATCTCCGATGCCTCGCTTTGTTTTAACAAGTAATTAATACCAATGAAACGTTTAATTCAGAAGACGACTTTTAGACTCAAGTTATAACTTTAAGTATAGTCCATGATAAATATGAAAGACAGAAATTGTGCAGTGTGCACGGACACATTTTACTTGAAAAACTAATTTGGATGTTACTTGTTGCAAAAAAAGGGAGTGACTGGTTATGTAAGGTAGTTGAACTAATATGCAGTGTTGTGGAAAACTTCTTTCAGATTCATTTGAGATATATTAAACTTTTTAAAGATCTGTAAATCCTGAGTTTGAGCGCAAATTCGACGTACAAAACTCCTACTTTGGGGGTGAATACGTTTTAAGAACTAGTTTTTGAAATTATTAAATAACGACGACATAAAATGTAAAAAAAGTTCTACAATAAACTACAGACGTCATGTATAGGAACATAAAAATTAATTAAATTAATTAAATAAGTAATCTTGTTCAATTATTAGTTTCTATTTTCTCATTATTCTGGTTTCTCATTATTCACAAAGATTTTCGAAGATTTTCTAGAATTATTATTGAAAAGACGACATTTAAAGAATTTGAAGAAATCTGCGAATAAATTCAAAGAAGATAAGAAATTCAATATAAAAATGAAAACGAAATAATCGATTTTAGCATTGATTTATTGACAAATTTCTTTTGAGAAATATGTTCCTAACCATCTAATTAGATTACTGTATACATTTTACTTTATTTTTCGTTGTCATTATTTAATAATTTTTAAAAAGCTAATTCTGAAAACGTATCCTTCCCCACAGTAGGAGTTTTGAACTTCTTTTATACTCTTTTTAAAAACCCCATTGTTGTAATCGAGATAATTTTTTTCAAAACTTTTCATCTCTCCTTTGTTCACAAACTCCACTGAAACAAATCATTTGAAGATACCTTTATTCCTGATTTAATCGTAAAATTTTAAAATCTACAGAAATGTTTTTGAAGATGGTACATACATATACTGCATAGAGGATTAAACAAATATTATTCTATAGAATTAATGTAAAGAGAGAAATATTAAATCAAAAAAGAGAAAATTTTCAAATTTTCAATATAATTAGTTTTTTGCTGGTTTATAGGCTGGAACTGGTGAGGGGTTTTCTTGCTTGCCATCTGCTCCAATTTGGAATCCACGCTGAACTTTGAACCTGAAATATATGAAACATAAAATATTAATTATGAAAGGAAAAAGAGGGGAGGGGGAGAAATAATACTGACTTGTAATGAAGAGCTGGATATGGTTCCTGACAGCAAGGATAAAAATCACTGTTCAAGGATTCCTCCTGGAACGAGTTCTCTGTGAAGAAAACTGGGGAAATGCCCTCTTCCACAGATTCATTGGTGATGTAGTTCTTATCCTCGCACTATAAAAAGAACATAACCATTACAATGTTGTTTTTGTTGCTTGTATCTATATATACAGACGCAATCTCTTTTATGTCTGTCTGTTTGGTTGTATGTCCAAGCATAACTCATGAACACCTCGAATGATTTGCCTCAAATTGTAATGTTCTTAGTATGGTTTCTAAGTTTTAAGTAATGTAGGTTAAATTTTACAGGAAAAACTTGGTTTCTAGGCAAAGCTGGGGTCCTTTAATATTTGATAAGAGGTTTCGAACTTTATAAAAATCGATGATGATACAATGATAGTTGTAGCTATGATTGAAGTAAAAAATTTTGTGTGAAATGGCGCTAATTTACAATTCTTGATCTCGATATTCAGAGTGACATCTTTTGATAGATAAATAATTGATCTCTATAATTTAGCTATCCCTGCTGTGTACGATTATCAAGGCTGATACCCAAGAGATATAAAACTAAACCGTAATCAGTGCTTGTTTGCTACACAATTTGGAAATCAGTGCTTGTTTGCTACACAAGTTGGAAATCAGTGCTTGTTTGCTACACAAGTTGTAAATCAGTGCTTGTTTGCTACACAAGTTGGAAATCAGTGCTTGTTTGCTACACAAGTTGGAAATCAGTGCTTGTTTGGCCTGAGATTCCCAGCACTAAAGTTCTAACCTCTATACTAAAATAAATTGGATGGAAATAGAAATATCACTGATCAAATATCCTTTAACATCATTAAATTTGCATGAACACTTCCATTAATTCTTGCCTTTTGTAGATTAATTAAATATCCGCTGTAAGTCCAAGATCCCAGCTTGATGGAGCAATCATATTCTCCCCACGGCCAGTCAGCAAACTCCTACGATAGTTGGCCATTATATCAACATATGAAGACGACTGTCGATTTCAATTTTAATTTAGATCAAGCTTTTAAACAACATTAATACACAAAAACATCTGAAGAAAAGAGAAGCTGTTAATTATAAGAAGCTTCTCTTAAACTACTCGTAAATCTTTTTTCGAAAAAAGCTTGTTAACAATTAAAACTTAAATAAAAAAGTCAAGTTTGCTACACAAGTTGGAAATCAGTGCTTGTTTGCTACACAAGTTGCGATGATAAAAGGTCGTCTTTAAAGGGCTAAAATCCACAAAAATCTGACTAAGAATTTTTGGGAACATCTTGGCACAATTAATCAATTAAGCAAATTGAGTAAAATGTTTTACGCAATTTGTTTGTTCTTCAGAATTTACGCAAAATTGCAGTGCAAACAGACATCTTTACAGACATTTTTGAACAGGTTACCTTATCATTACATGGAACAGTCAGCTTGGCAGCAGGAACATAGATAACCAAACCATTAGACATAATAACAGTATTGGTACTCCTGGACTTCAGAACATCATTGATATATTCTAGAAAAGATATTTATATCTTATATCTATATTATGGCTAGTTGGACTAGAGTGTCAGTTTGCTGGGTATGTGGAGTTAAACTCGAGTGTCAGTTTGCTGGGTATGCGGAGTTAGACTCGAGTGTCAGTTTGCTGGGTATGCGGAGTTAAACTCGAGTGTCAGTTTGCTGGGTATGCGGAGTTAGACTCGAGTGTCAGTTTGCTGGGTATGCNCATGTGGCTCTCCCGGGGGCCCCAATCAAAATTTGAGGCAAATCGGTTCAGGGGTTCCTGAGTTATGGTAGGACAAACAAACAGACAAACAGAATTTACAACTTATATATATTCCTGATGGAGTCAATATCATGATATTCTTTAGGATCCCAGGCTAAACGCTCATCTATCCATGAGGTCTTCAGCCACAGGTTCATATCAAGATGTCCTGGTTGAGAATTAGTTATATCAAGATGTCCTGGTTGAGAATTAGTTATATCAAGATATCCTGGTTGAGAATTAGTTATATCAAGATGTCCTGGTTGAAATTTAGTTATATCAAGTTCATCTGGTAGATATTGAGTTATATCAAGATGACCTGGTAGACATTGAGTTATATCAAGTTGACATGGTAGACATTTTGCTATATAAAGTTGACCTGGTAGACATTTTGTTATATAAAGTTGACCTGGTAGACATTTGGATATATCAAGTTGACCTGGTAGACATTGAGTTATATCAAGTTGACCTGGTAGACATTTAGTTATATCAAGTTGACCTGGTAGATATTAAGTTACATCAAGTTGACCTGGTAGACATTGAGTTATATCAAGTTGACCTGGTAGATATTAAGTTACATCAAGTTGACCTGGTAGATATTGAGTTATATCAAGTTGACCTTGTAGACATTGAGTTATATAAAGTTGACCTGGTAGACATTGAGTTATAGCAAGTTGACCTGGTAGACATTGAGTTATAGCAAGTTGACCTGGTAGACATTAAATCATATCAAATTGACCAAACAGACAAAATATCTTTTTTTTACATATTTTTTTGTAATTACAATGGCTAGTGGTGTATACTGTTGGGTAGCAGATGGGATTTTAAGTATTATTTAAACAAAATTACGTAGTTCATGAAAAGGGAATCAAATTTTAATCAATTTTATACCTTCACCAGTCATATCCATATAAACCATGTTCAGCCCAACCGAAACATTCAACCCAGTCTAGAATATAATATTTTCTCTCAAACTTGGCAACACATTGCACAAGCTTATTTTTTGTGTGAAACTAGAGATTAGCACGTTTTTTCATTTCGTCCGTTCATTGTTCATGAACGGCCCATTATGTTCGGTTTTTTTTCAATCGTTCACAAAATAATGGACTTTGTTTTTTTAAATGTTTTCTTTCACTGAACGATCTTTCATTAAAGTTGTCCGTTCAATAAATAGTTTGGTCCAAACAAATGATGGTTTTTTGAAATTTTTTTCTAAAAAATTGTTAGATTAGTAAAAAACTATTGTTCTAAAATGTGTGTTCGAAAAAACTTGTTAATTCAGTAAAAAACGAACGTTTTAAAAAAAATATTTGCAGAATTCGTTCGTTCAGTTAAAAATCGAACCAAAACAAAATTGTTCAAACGATTTAAAATCTTTTTTTCCGTTTCTTTTTATGAAACGATAATTTTTTCATTTCTCTAAACGATCCCTTTTGTTAATCCATAGTTCGTTTGTTCTCAAAATTTTCGTTCGTTAAAAAAACGATGTCCTATGTACAATTTGATTTTTCTGACAAAAAAGTTTTTCTTGAAAAACTCAAATACCTAGAATTTTATTGAGAAACTTAATTCTCAATTTTTGGATCACATAAAGAAAATAAAAAATAAATAAAAAATACACAAAAAATCAAAGGATAACAAGAGAACACAAATTCAAAATTAAATGATTTTATCTCCCATAAAACATGTACGAAAGTTATAAAGTTATACGTAAACCCCTATATTCAATAGAAACCTCGGAGCTGCTATAATAATGAAGATCTTTTAATCATTTTAGTTTATATTTTACAGATTAGAGAATAAATCTTTCTAGAAATTGATAAAAAAAACTTACCTTTCCGTCTAGGCTGTCAACCAGAGGAATAATTTCAGAATCATAATCTTTAAACAGATCTCTCTGTAACCTCCCGACATATTCAATCCTAATAATTTAAAACAACTAAACAAATGACAGGCCTAAAAATCTGATTATCTGGTCCTTATATCTTTGCAACATGATTTCGTAAACCTGTGATATGATATGTCTGTTTGAACAAATCGTAGAAAAAAAGTCAAAAATTTATTTATTTATCAGCACGATTTTTTTAATGGCATCTAATGGGAATTAGAATTTTAAAGATTTTTATAATAACGTTTTTTTTATAGTTTACAAAGGTACTAGCCGGACTATTTTATAGTTTACAAAGGTATTAGCCGGACTATTTTATAGTTTACAAAGGTACTAGCCGGACTATTTGACTAGAGTGTCAGTTTGCTGGGTATGCGGAGTAAGACTCGAGTGTCAGTTTAAAAGGGGGGGGGGGGTGGAATGACCAATGCTTGAGAAACAATGCATTATTCAAATGTTATCTTAAGTTTAAAAATGTCCAATACTGAACAACATGATTACCTGATCCATATCCTAGATTGTTATAAACCTCTAGATCAGGAATCCAGATATTATGAGCTGGAACTCTGATGGTGTATATTTTAAGTTTCAGAAATCAGAATATCAAAATATTTGATTCGAAAAAATCTAGTTATTTGAAAAAAGAACTGCTATGTAGAGAGATCCATAAACTATGGAATTGAAGGATTATATATTGGTCAATGAACTTGAAACACGGCATTTGTACAGTGCTCCCAGACCTTCTTCATTTAATGAATTTAAGCCACGCCTTAAATCCCCCAAAAACCGGTTTTAATTGACCGCCGGCATAAATCTTAAATAATTTAATACACATTTAAGTGGAACCAACCATATTTGAGCGGCGGCTTAAATTTAAACCGTGGCTTAAATTCTTTGAATTCGGCCTCGGTTGATTTTCAAGCTACAATAGTTAAACTATTTCAATTAGAACAATATTAATTACACTCTGTAAAGCTAAATGTTGTATGTCTTTCCCACATGTTTACGAGTCTCACTGTTTGATCGTTGATTATTAAAATAAATTAACTATTAAATATATTAATATACTAGGTTAGGAACCCAGCGTTACACAGGGTAAGCACTAAGCATAGTTACTCCTGCCGTATACCCGCATTTGAACGATTTTACAGGGACACCAAATTTTCGTTATTTCGACCAACTCAACTTAGAATCTCAAAAGCAAGCTAAGAACATTCATGTGGCTCTCCCGGGGGCCCCAATCAAAATTTGAGGCAAATCGGTTCAGGGGTTCCTGAGTTATGGTAGGACAAACAAACAGACAAACAGAATTTACAACTTATATATATTCCTGATGGAGTCAATATCATGATATTCTTTAGGATCCCAGGCTAAACGCTCATCTATCCATGAGGTCTTCAGCCACAGGTTCATATCAAGATGTCCTGGTTGAGAATTAGTTATATCAAGATGTCCTGGTTGAGAATTAGTTATATCAAGATATCCTGGTTGAGAATTAGTTATATCAAGATGTCCTGGTTGAAATTTAGTTATATCAAGTTCATCTGGTAGATATTGAGTTATATCAAGATGACCTGGTAGACATTGAGTTATATCAAGTTGACATGGTAGACATTTTGCTATATAAAGTTGACCTGGTAGACATTTTGTTATATAAAGTTGACCTGGTAGACATTTGGATATATCAAGTTGACCTGGTAGACATTGAGTTATATCAAGTTGACCTGGTAGACATTGAGTTATATCAAGTTGACCTGGTAGATATTAAGTTACATCAAGTTGACCTGGTAGACATTGAGTTATATCAAGTTGACCTGGTAGATATTAAGTTACATCAAGTTGACCTGGTAGACATTGAGTTATATCAAGTTGACCTGGTAGATATTAAGTTACATCAAGTTGACCTGGTAGANTTTTTTTTTTTTTTTTTTGTAATTACAATGTCCAATGGTGTATGCTTTTGGGTAGCAGATGTGATTTTAAGTATTATTTAATCAAAATTACGTAGTTCGTGAAAAGGGAATCAAATTTAAATCAATTTTATACCTTCGGCAGTCATATCCATATAAACCATGTTGAGCCCAACCGAAACATTCAACCCAGTCTAGAATATGATAATTTCTCTCAAACTTGGCAACACATTTCACAAGCTTATTTTTTTGTGTGAAACTAGAGATTAGCGCGTTTTTTCATTTCGTCCGTTCATTGTTGATGAACGGCCCATTACGTTCGGTTTTTTTTCAATCGATCACAAAATAATTGACTTTGTTCTTTTTTTATATGTTTTTTTTTTCACTGAACGATCGTTCAGTAAAGTTGTCCGTTCAATAAAGAGTTCGGTTCAAAAAAAATGATGGTTTTTTGAAATTCTTTTCTAAAAAATCGTTAGATTAGTAAAAAAAACTATTATTTTAAAATGTGTGTTCGAAAAAACTTGTTAATTCAGTAAAAAATCGAACGGTTTTAAAAACAATATTAGGAAAATTCCTTCGTTCAGTTAAAAAATCGAACCAAAACAAAATTGTTAAACGATTTAAAATATTTTTTTCGTTTCTTTTTATGAAACGATAATTTTTTCATTTCTTTAAACGATCCCTTTCGTTAATCCATAGTTTCGTTTGTCCTCAAAATTTTCGTTCGTTCAAAAAAACGATGCCCTATGTACAATTTGAATTTTCTGACAAAAAAGTTTTTCTTGAAAAAGAATTTTATTGAGAAACTTAAATTCTCAATTTTTGGATCACATAAAGAAAAACAAAAATAAATAAAAAATACACAAAAAAATCAAAGGAAAACAAGAGAACACAAATTCAAAATTAAATGATTTTATCTCCCGTAAAACATGTACGAAAGTTATAAAGTTATACGTAAACCCATATATTCAATGGAAACCTCGGAGCTGCTTTAATAATGTAGATCTTTTAATCATTTTTGTTTATATTTTACAAATTGGAGAATACATTTTTCTAGAAATTGATAAAAAAAACTTACCTCTCCGTCAAGGCTGTCAGCCAGAGGAATAATCTCAGAATCATAATCTTGAAACAGATCTCTCTGTAACCTCCCAACATATTCGATCCTAATAATTTAAAACAATTAAACAAATGACTGGCCTAAAAATCTGATTATTTGATCCTTATATCTTTGCAACATGATCTTGTAAACCTATGATATGATATGTCTGTTTGAACAAATCGTAGAAAAAAAGTCAAAAATTGATTTATTTACCCGCACGATTTTTTTTAATGGCATCTAATGGGAATTAGAATTTTAAAGATTTTTATTATAACGTTTTTATAGTTCACAAAGGTAGTAGCCGGACTATTTTATAGTTTACAAAGGTACTAGCCGGACTATTTTATAGTTTACAAAGGTACTAGCCGGACTATTTTATAGTTTACAAAGGTACTAGCCGGACTATTTTATTGTTTACAAAGGTACTAGCCGGACTATTCTATAGTTTACAAAGGTACTAGCCGGACTATTTTATAGTTTACAAAGGTACTAGCCGGACTATCTTATTATAGTTTACAAAGGTACTAGCCGGACTATTTTATAGTTTACAAAGGTACTAGCCGGACTATTTTATTGTTTATAAAGGTACTAGCCGGACTATAAGTACGACTTGGCCCTGTTTTAGAAAACGTGTTACAAAACGATAGTCTTTTAATTTTAAATATTAGTTTTGAAGAATGTTTAGTTAGAAAACGAAACGAATACCGATTTTTAAAAATTGTTTTTGGTGTTTCGAATGAAAAACGATTAAAGAAACGTTTTTATTAAGAAAACGAACGGTTTTAAATTTTTAAAGTCACCTTTTGAAAACTTTTGCATAAATATTATTTTGGTATCGTTGACAAAAGTTTAAAAGATTTCTGAAAAAAACTAAATTGTCCATCTTTAGCATAGATGCTACAAACCTGGATTCTTTCTTTGCATAACATGAAGCAAGAAGAGCTGAGAGACAGACAAGGATGAGCCCTCTCATTTCTAGACAAATATATAATATTTATATACAGGGTGTATCATAACATAGAATAAATACAGGGTGTTTCATAATATAGAATAAATACAGGGTGTTTCATAATATAGAATAAATACGGGGTTTTCATAATATAGAATATATACAGGGTGTTTCATAATATAGAATAGATACGGGGTGTTTCATAATATAGAATATTTACAAGGTTTTTCATAATATAGATTATTTACTAGGTGTTTCATAATATAGAATATTTACAAGGTGTTTCATAATATAGAATATTTACAAGGTTTTTCATAATATAGATTATTTACTAGGTGTTTCGTAATATAGAATATTTACAAGGTGTTTCATAATATAGAATATTCACAAGGTGTTTCATAATATAGATTATTTACTAGGTGTTTCGTAATATAGAATATTTACAAGGTGTTTCATAATATAGAATATTCACAAGGTGTTTCATAATATAGAATATTCACAAGGTGTTTCAAAATATAGAATATTCACAAGGTGTTTCATAATATAGAATATTCACAAGGTGTTTCATAATATAGAATATTCACAAGGTGTTTCATAATATAGAATATTCACAAGGTGTTTCATAATATAGAATATTCACAAGGTGTTTCATATAGAATATTCACAAGGTGTTTCATAATATAGAATATTCACAAGGTGTTTCATAACTTTGACACATTTAATTTTTTCTTTAATAACTTTTTAAATTTTTGTTATAGTTATATTATACACTTGCTTAGAGGGAAACTATTTGAAGTGCTATTAGGAACCTTCTCGTGTAATAGAATCATATTTAAAAAATTAAAAACCTTTTTAATGAAAGACCTCTCTAATCCCAAATTATACTTTTTTATTCACTTAGTATTTGTATAAAGCAGAAGATTTAGAATTATTTTAAGAACATGACAACAACAAAAAAAGACTTGTGTGTAACTCGATGCTGAATCCTTTCTATGCACAGTCTAATCTTGTGTAAAGTCCTATCTATGTAAAGTCCTATCTATGAAGACTCTTCTCTTGTTTAAAGTCCTATCTATGTAAAGACCTATCTATGCAAAGTCTAATCTTGTGTAAAGTCCTATCTATGTAAAGTTCTATCTATGTAAAGTCCTATCTTTATAAGTCCTATCCACGTAAAGTCCTATCTATGTAAAGTCCTTTCTATGCACACTGTTCTCTTGTGTAAAGTCCTATCTATGTAAAGTGCTATCTATGTAAAGTGCTATCTATGTAAATTCCTATCTATGTAAAGTTCTATCTATGTAAAGACCTATCTGTGAAAAGTCTGCTCTATGTAAAGTCCTATCTATATAAAGACCTATCTAAGTCCAATGTATGCACAGTTCTTTCTTCCGAAAAGTCCTATCTATGTAAAGTCCTTTAAAGTGCCCTATCGTTGAAATTAAGAGTTCATTATGATACATAAGAAATGTCACATTTACAAATATCCTATCTATGTAAAGTCCTGTTTTGTAATGTTATACTCCTATCTATAAATATCCTTTATAGATATCCATCTTTTTGCCAAACTTAGTAAATGTCAGTCTAATTCCAAATGTTTAAAATTAAGTCTCAATAAAATTCTTCCTACCGTGTTTACTGTGTGGTGTATTTGCTGTAAGTAAGGATGCTCAGACTATGATTTGTTGTGAATAAAGGCCTCCTCACTCCTCCCAATATATATATGAGATGTTAGGAACATTGTACGCTAACTTGTGTACTCAAACACACCTCTTGTCCCCATTCCCGAAAATTGGATGATTTTTCAAAATCTGAAAACCACCCTAAAAATCACATTTTTCATTGTAAAAAGTAAAATTTTTGTAATATTTCATAAAATAAACATTATACGCTAACAAGTGTACTCAAACAGACCTATTGTCTAATAATTTAAATAATTTTTTTGCCACTCTTTACATAACCTCGTAACTGTTGTAAAAATATACACTTTTGCTATTTTCATATGAGGAATATTGTACGCTTATTAATGTACTCAAACCCACCCCTTGTCTAAAAATTAGATATTTTTTTGTGAAATGTTTGTGGAAGAAGAAAATATTCTATTAGAAATTATTGTTTTTTGTTTTAAAAAAAACTTTTATTTTAGCACAATTGTACGCTCGCTTGAATAGAGTTTTTTTTCAAACGTTCAAAAAAATTGATATTGTTTCTTCTCAAAAGTATTCTTCATTTTTCATTTTTTTTGTTCTTTTTCTCACTGACCAGACCGATTGTTTGGTAAGGTCGATTTTAGTAAAATTTGTCTGTTAAAGAAAATTGTTCTGTCAGCAAAAAAAACGATTCCCATCTCTAGCTGTAAACCTATGATTCCCATCTCTAGCTGTAAACCTATGATTCCCATCTCTAGCTGTAAACCTATGATTCCCATCTCTAGCTGTAAACCTATGATTCCCATCTCTAGCTGTAAACCTATGATTCCCATCTCTAGCTGTAAACCTATGATTCCCATCTCTAGCTGTAAACCTATGATTCCCATCTCTAGCTGTAAACCTATGATTCCCATCTCTAGCTGTAAACCTATGATTCCCATCTCTAGCTGTAAACCTATGATGCCCATCTATAGCTGTAAACCTATGATTCCAATCTCTAGCTGTAAACCTATGATTCCCATCTTTAGCTCTAAACCTATGATTCCCATCTCTAGCTGTAAACCTATGATTGTGAAAGTAAAGAAATTTTATTGCTATTATTGTAATTATTATTATTACAATTATTATTACTATTAAATTTATTTTCATTATTATTTATTTGATTATCTATATCGATTTTACAAAACGTCTTATCTTCATTATCGTTTTATTTCTATCACTATGTGTATATTTACTTTTTTAAAATATTGATATTGTTTTGACACCATGTTGAGCAATACAGTATACATGGTACATTTCAGTTTATTTCATGTACAGTGCAGTACAGTACAAATACAGGCAAAACAGGATTGTACACCAAATGAATGATTCTAGTGAAATTTATGTATATAGGGCATTGCCTTCATCCAAGGTACTGATGCAAGGAAAGTTAGTTGCGGTCGTCTATACTCTGCGTACATATTGAAACCAGTTCTCTCTGGGCGGAATTTGTAAACAAGAATAGATGCATCGTCAGTGTTCGTCTGGTATCCGAGGAGGTTATAAGCATTTAATTTGATAATTTTGAAAATTCACATAGTATTTTCCTGTGGCTATAGATTATTTCATAGATTATTTTTGTGAAAATGGATTCCATGTCAGGGTGTGACATCCGTCTTGTGTTTACTTTTCCGCCCAAAGTGCATTACACTGCAGTACAGAAAATGCGTACACCTCTCTGAAATAACTTTCCTTGCATAAGTAACTTGCCTTCATCCATCCCTGTCCCTAATGCGTACACAATCTGTATACGGTGTAGAATGATCTCAACGGTTTTGCATCGGTCTTGTAATTTCTTACAACGATCATTTTCGTTTTTACACTTCAGGTTAAAAAATCCTTTTGGTTCTAAACGAAACCTTTAGTAGTAATTGTTTCAAAAATTACAAAACGGGGTATGTTTTTGTTTTGTTTTATGTGTCATCGTTAACAAAAAGTACAAATCCATGTACGAAAAAACGGAAGAAAATGGTATCCCAACCCAACACTTTCTATTATTAAAATCAAGATCTTGAGATGGTTGACAATAGAAAATCAACTTGCAGGGAAACAGCTGTAAATGTGTAATGTATAAATGAACGGGAAATAGCTGTAAATGAACAGGAAACAGCTATAAATGAACAGAAACAGCTGTAAATGAACAAGAAGCAGCGCTTTAAATGAACGGGAAACATCTGTAAATGAACTGGAAGCACCTGTAAATGAACGGGAAACAACTGTAAATGAACGGGCAACAGCTTTACATGAACAGAAACAGCTGTAAATGAACGAGAAACAGCTGTAAATGAACGGAAAACAAGCTTTAAATGAACGGGAAACAGCTGTAAATGAAGAGGAAACAGCTGTAAATGAACGGGTAACAGCTGTAAATGAACGGGAAAAAGCTGTAAATGTGCGGAAACAGCTGTAAATGAACGGGAAACAGCTGTAAATGAACGGGCAACAGCTGTAGATGAACAGGAAACAGCTGTAAGTGAACGGGAAACAGCTGTAAATGAACGGGCAACAGCTTTAAATAAACAGAAACAGCTGTAAATGAACAAGAAACAGCTGTAAATGAACGGAAAACAAGCTTTAAATGAACGGGAATTACAGCTGTAAATGAAGAGGAAACAGCTAAATGAAGAGGAAATAGCTGTAAATGAAGAGGAAACAGCTGTAAATGAAGAGGAAACAGCTATAAATGAACAGGAAACAGCTGTAAATGAACAGGAAACCGCTGTAAATAAGCGGGAAACATCTGTCATGAACAGAGATTTCTAACTGTCTTCAGTACTCCCCCCCCCTCCCTTATAGGCATGGAACCAAAAAATATATGTGTGATTGCAGGAGGATATAGTGTACATTAAAGAGCAAAGAATCAGACAAAAAATTGATGATATATATTTGAACATATTTAAATTTTCCATTCAGTACGTAGGGAAAATACTAAAAACATTATAGTTTTTATATATTTATTGAGACTGGGTGTGTGTGTGTGTGAATACACTAGTAAGCGTACAATGTTCCTAGTCCCTCCATATATATTATATATAATATATAATATATATAATAAATTTATTATTCAATCAAATAAAAGATTCATCTTCATACATGGTGTCCCATATCAAATCAGACCTCGTCAATGGGTCTAAATTACGATTTGGGGGATAAATCAGAAAATTTAAGAAAAATCAATCATTTAAAAAAATTTAATAAGGCTGAAAGAAAATTTTTTGCAGAAAATCCTAGATTTTTTAGTATTATGTGCGTATTTTGGCGTTAAAGATTGGATATAATCTAATATGATATGGGGCGCTCTGTATATACAGGGTGTCCCAAAAAACATGGGAATTCAGTGACGAATTCGATATCGTCTTTTTAAATAATTCTTTGATTTAGTATAGTGATACCAACTGAGAAAGCTTTAATCTGTAAGAGTTTCGTCTGCTATGTTTACATTTTGTTTGTTTATGTTTTGACTGCATACGGTTGTACTTAGTAAAACAAGAAAATTGCAGTATACAAACAGAGAAAACTTGTCCGTCTTCACTGTTCATCTTGCAGAGACATTATAGACACATCTTTACAGTCTTTTACCCTTTTCATAAAATAAACTCTAGCAGACATAATAATATTATGGCTTTTGAAATTAGGTATTACAATGCTAATTCATAGCAAAGACGATATACAATTCGTCACTGAATTCCCATGTTTTTTGGGACACCCTGTATATAAATCTTGGGACTAGGATCATTGTACGCGTACTGTGTACTCAAACACACCCCTTGTCCCAGGAAAAATATATAAAACTAGCTCTAAAAATTATAGGACAATATAAAATAATTATGCAATAGGTTTTTTTTGCTGGCCCCTCTTATAGATTTTTTTTCTCCGTAATTCTGAACTCAAAATTAAGTCTGTAAACATAAATATAAATTTTAAAAAATCCACATTTTTACCTGGTGAAATGTTTCACTTTTAACCATCGTTTTGCGTTGCTAAAAAATCTACAAATATTAATAAATTTGCTAAATTTTTTGTTATATTATATTTGTTTTATTATATAATATACAAAGAGAAAATGCTCCCTGACAGAGCAAACATATAAAGTTTAGAATAGACGATGGGCGTAAAGCGCCATGTGAGCCTCGTATATATGTTTATATTCAGATGGAACTAGTTACCATGTTCTCACCTCTAAAACTCTTTTTTGTAATTTTTTGTGATTTTTCAACACATTTTAGGCACTATGATTTACATCTTACCGGTCATCCATCTTAATTTAATCATTGGGAAAGATATTGAGTAGAATAGTGTTATAGATGTCTAGTGTGTAACCGAATAATATTTTCTCTCAGAATTGTGTGCTTAAAATTAAAACTAGAGGCGCTACAAGGTCCAAAAGACGTACCAATAATAAATTTTACAATCTCCTTCAATATTGTGGTGTGTCAAACTCTCCAATTTTTAAAAATTGAACATATTCTTTTTGTTGTATTTTTTCCAGTTTGGTAATTGGTAATCTATGTTTTGAACGTCTGTGTTGGGATTTTATACAAAGTTTGTGTCCTCTGTTGATAGATTTAAATTGTTATAATTGTTCAATTAAAAAGAATTATCTAAATTGAACAATATCATCATAATTCATAGTTTCCTTTCACTGTTCCCATTACAATTCAATATATTTTACAGTGAGAACCAGAAAACAACATTAAAACAATATTTAAATGTATTTGATGTTCCTATACAGTTTTAAAATGTCTAGTATCTTATTTATCAAATCATATTATACAAAAAAAAATATTTAAAAATTTATGTAGATACTATGTATATCACCTTGATCCTTGTAAGAATGTTGTTAAATGTTGTTAGACTTATGTTAGAAATATGTTAGAATGATGTTCAAATTTTGTTGGAATAACGTTAAAATGATGTTAGAATTATATTAGAATGTTGTTAGACTTATGTTAGAAATATGTTAGATTGTTGTTAAAATTTTGTTAGAATTATGTTAGAATGTTGTTAGACTTATGTTAGAAATATGTTAGAATGTTGTTAAAATATTGTTAGAATTATGTTAGAATTTTGTTAGAATTTTGTTCGAATTTTGTTAGAATGTCGTTAGAATTTTGTTAGAATTATATTAGAATGACGTTTGAATGTTTGTTAGTATATTGTTAGAATGATGTAAGAATGTTGTTAGTATTATGTTAGAATGTTGTTAGAATTATGTTAGAATGTTGTTAGAATGATGTTAGAATTATGTTAGAATGATGTTAGAATTATATTAGAATGTTGTTAGAATATTGTTAGAATTATGTTAGAATGATGTTAGAATGATGTAAGAATGCTGATAGAATTATGTTAAAATTATTTTTTTCTTAAAATTTTTTTTTTTTTCACGGTCAACGCCGGGACCTTCAGCTAGTATTTTATAAAGTTACAATTTTGTTTGTTTGTTTGTTTGTTTGTATGTCCGACCATAACTCATGAATCCGGCCCTTGACTGATTTGCCTCAAATTTTAATTGGGGAAACTCGGGAGATTGACAGGAATGTTTTTAGCTTGGTTTTGAGATTCTCAGTTAAAAGGGCAAAATAGCAAAATCTTTATTTAGGACCAAGCGCGGGTAAACGGCGGGAGTAACAATGAGTACCCTGGGCAACGCTGGGTTCTCAAGCTAATTGTGCGTAAAAACATTCTTCTCAAATTTTGCAAACTTTTAAAGATTGATTTAATTTCAATTTAATGTTGGAGGAAAGTATAGAAATGGGTTGCTTGCGTGCTGGTAAAATATACACTTTCCAGGTTCAAGTTTGGACTTTAATTAAATAGATCTTATTCAGAGGCGGGAACCTTTGGACCGAGTTTCGTTAATCCTGAGCTGAGATTTAAAAAACTTAAACCCAAGTAAAACCCGGTATTATTGCCTCTTTAAACATAAGTAGAGCTCAAGCCAAGACTCGAGTTTATGGTAGACTTGGGGTTTGTAAAAACCTAATCGACTTGGGTTTCAACTCTTGAATAATCGGAGTCTCCTAAACCTGAAGATTGTAAATTTCGTAAATACTATTTTATTTTTACATTTAAAATATCCGGAATTATCTGAATTGCTAAAATTGTCTAGATTTCTAAAATAATCAAACTATGGAAATAATATAAATATGTGACGTTTAGGTTTTTAAAATTTACACTGAGCCAATTAATTTCTATCAGCTGATTTGCTGATTGCATTTAGCAAATATCCAGCTCTCTCATTGGTCCATTCAAAACCAATTAGAATCATTGGTTCTAATTGTTGACCCGAGCTGCCAGACGGAAGGGTCAATGTTAGGGTTTATTTTTAAAATTTCAGCTCTGAACACTTGATCTCAACATCCAATGTGATCCTAATTCGTATTAACGGTATATGACAATTGCGGGATATATAAAAGGGATTAAATGATCCTGTATGATCTGCATAAGATATAGATCAATGCTTGATCCCGACATTAACAAGAGTAGAGTTCCGCCGCTTCAGTTTTCTCACAAACCTTATTAAAGGGACTGCTAACGTAATTTCAAGTGATCATCCATGAAAAGATGACAATGCGGCCGATTTCCAACAGTAACCTCGAATCCTCTATCTGATTAATAATGTGGAAGATATTATCGTTATTCTAGTTTTTTTTTCTAGTGTTTGATTTTGATAGTTCCAATATATTTTTCTGCAGTAGAAATGTAGAGAAACCACAATTGAAAATAATCCGTTTTTAAAATTATAATTTAAACATTGCAAAATCTTTTTCATACGGGTTCAGACACAGCTTTACAAAATACCCTTGTGAATCGGGCATTGCCATTTTTGTTAGAGGGTCACTTAAAATTACGCTCACAGTCCCTTTAAGCATAGAGTCTGAAATGGCGAGGTTTATGAAGGGTGCACTTTAGTATACTATAAGGAGCAACAAACAAAGGTTGGATAATAATAAATAAGTGCGGGGAATAATATCAAGTAGATGATGTTTTCATTTATAAACCTTTATCACAGCTTTCTTTGAGTCAGTTTCGGTGTAGGACTGAACAGATAAAATATAAAGTTAAAGTTTTTTTCCCTTTTGTTAATTCAAGGAATTTTCCTACCTTCCCCTGTTCCTTATCCCTCTCCTTCCCTTGTTAATTATCCCTCTCCTTCCCTTGTTCTTTATCCCTCTTTTCCCCCTGTTACTTATCCCTCTCCTTCCCCTGTTCCTTATCCCTCTCCTTCCCTTGTTCCTTATCCCTCTCCTTCCCCTGTTCCTTATCCATCTCCTTCCCCTGTTCCTTATCCCTCTCCTTCCCCTGTTCCTTATCCCTTTCCTTCCCTTGTTCCTTATACCTCTCCTTCCCCTGTTCCTTATCCCTCTCCTTCCCCTGTTCCTTATCCCTCTCCTTCCCCTGTTCCTTATCCCTTTCCTTCCCTTGTTCCTTATACCTCTCCTTCCCCTGTTCCTTATCCCTCTCCTTCCCCTGTTCCTCATACCTCGCCTTCCCCTGTTCCTTATACCTCGCCTTCCCCTGTTCCTTATACCTCTCCTTCTCCTGTTCCTTATACCTCTCCTTCCCCGGTTCCTTATACATCTCCTTCCCCTGTTCCGTATCCATCTCCTTCCCCTGTTCCTCATACCTCTCAATTCTATGTTACCTATATCTCTCCTACCAGGGGGGATGCATTCGGTTTCTTCTATTTAAATTCAATTCAATTATATATAATTCAACTGTCTTTTTACTAACGTAGATGTCTTCTTATCCTTTTTCGCTTAAAACGCACCCCTTTAACTAAGTATATATAAGAAAAAAGACAACTCACTTTACCCTGTTATGTTTCTACCCTCCATTCTTTCTTCCTGATCCAAAAATAAACATGATTGAACTACACGACACATAGTTTGACAAAGTAGTGAAAGCTTCTTTTGAAACTTTATCATAAAGTTTTTCCGCTTTTTGCTAAAGTTAACCTGCGGTTCCCTGAAAGAGACTGCTGAGGAAATTTTAATTTACCCTTCTTTTTTGAAAATGGATATGACGGTGCCCTTGCAAATTTTATTTTATCTTTGTCGAATCTTAAAAATGGTTGAATTAAATAAATTGTCTATGTTTGCATAAAATTTGCAATTGCAAATAGCTGTCACAAAGAAACCACAATCAGTGTACTGTGTACAGTCCCTTTTATCTATTCTGTATTAGTTTTTTTAGACTATACAATTTCCAGCTAATTATAATCAGAGTTCACCGGTTAGTTGTAAATAGACTTTTCTAGTAGCAACTACAGGGTGTAAATTTCTTTAAATAATTGAAATTTTCATAAGAAAATACAGGGTGAAAAATATAATTTTCCCAGAAAAAATAATGCGGTGAATAATTAAATTCAAAACTACAGGGTCGAAAACAATTTGAATGCTGGATTTTTTATAAATAAAATTATAAGGTGAAGAAGTAACATTTTCTAGAAGATATTAAAGCGTACACATTTGAACTTTTCTGGAAGAAAAAACAGGACTAATACTGGAATTTTTTTGAAAAAACAGGGCTAGTACTCAAATTTTTCTCAAAAAAAAACAAGGCTAATACTGGAATTTTGCTGAAAAAAACAGGACTAATACTATATTTTTTTCTAGAAGAAAAAACAAGGACTAATACTGGAATTTTTCTAGAAGAAAAAACGGGACTAATACTTGAATTTTTCTGGAAGAAATTCTAAAAGGAAAATACCTCTCAGTTGTACAGGGGTGTATATTTTCTTCAAAAAAATAATTTCCCACCCCGAAAGAAGTTATCGGAAAGAATCTACAGAACAAGTGTTTTCCAGAAAAAAAAATATAGGGTAAGTACCTAAGATTTATTGCGAAAAAAGATTTGTGAGAAGGATTTGAACTACGTTACTGGGACAGTTCAACCGCTTATCTTTTAAGTGAATTTTGAACCGGTGATTCCAGATTTGAGCCAGTAGGCACTTGAGAGATAGTTGAAACGACGGTTGGTAGTTCAGCAACTTCTCTCCAATTCATAAAGTTCCGTGCTAGAAGAAATAATTGATTTTTTGTAAAAATGATAACATTATTAGTACTTAGTTCAAATTAATGTATCAGTTTTACAGGAACAAAGGAAGACGAAAATCAATTTATTGGTTTCTTGTTAGAACTACTGTATACATGTGTTTGGTGTAATTGCAGTACAAATACAAATAACCTTTAAAAAATGTTGATTTATGAAAATATATTCACGACACGGACTGTAGTAAATGCCGTACTCTTAAAAATGGTTTCAGAACTGTATCAATCCAGGTGCGACTTGTTAGCTATCAATGTCAACAGGGACGCAAGCTCAGCTATCAATGTTAACAGGGACACAAGCTCAGCTATCAATGTCAACAGGGACACAAGCTCAGCTATTAATGTCAACAGGGACATAAGCACAGCTATCAATGTTAACAGGGACACAAGCTCAGCTATCAATGTCAACAGGGACACAAGCTCAGCTATTAATGTCAACAGGAACATAAGCAAAGCTATCAATGTTAACAGGGACACAAGCTCAGCCATCAATGTTAACAGGGACACAAGCAGAGCTATCAATGTCAACAGGGACATAAGCTCAGCTATCAATGTCAACAGGGACACAAGCTCAGCTATCAATGTCAAGAGGGACATAAACACAGCTATCAATGTCAAGAGGGACATAAGCTCAGCTATCAATGTCAAGAGGGACACAAGCTCAGCTATCAATGTAAAAACTGACACAAGATTTCATGCGACCAATGCCAAACCAATGGACACGATTTTATCAGCTATCAATGTAAAAAAAGACACAAGCTCAGATATCAATGTCGAAACGGACACAAGCTCTGAAGTGATTAATGCCAAACCGATGGGCACGATCTTATCAGCTCTTAATGTCAACACGGACACAAGCTCAGCTATCAATGTCAAAACGGACACAAGCTCTGAAGTGATTAATGCCAAACCGATGGGCACGATCTTATCAGCTCTTAATGTCAACACGGACACAAGCTCAGTTTGTTTGTTTCAACGAGGACCAAATTGCTTCTATCACCGTAATCAAAGCAAAATCTATACTAACTAATGTGTATTTATATATATATATGTTACAAGTTAACGTTAATCGACGTAATTACAAGTTTTACGTCAATATGCATATATACAGCGTAGTTTAAGTTTAATGGACATATTTACAAGAGTAGCGCGGATGAATATAAACGTAGTTAAGCTAGCCACTGACATAGTTATAACTATAAGTTAATCACAATACAGGTTTACAGAGGTAACTAGGCTAATCACATAGCGTAGTTTATGATAAGCGCATTTAGATTTACAGACAATGTACAAGGTAATACTTCTGGACATGTAACAAATATGGGAATTACTGTATTTATTAGAGGACGACCTGGATTTAAGAAATCATTTAGTTTGTTTGTCTGAACATTAAAGTTTGAAATATTGGATTCGACTTAATAGACTTTTCTGGTAAAGACATTTTTAATAGGACCCCCTTCCCCATATTTTCATAGTTAAGGAAAAATTATGCAAATATAAATGAAGGTTGAAGGAGCCTTCCATACACAAACTTATTACACTGTTGTCTACAGTATACAAGGTTTTCCATAAATGATGAGACTTCAGGGACGACTGCACAGAAATTTCTAGTCTTCTTTCTTCCCTAAATATTGAAATAATTTTCCTTCAATGAAAGATTCCTGAGGGAAAGTTTAAGATCAACATTTGAAACAAGATCGTCGGGATTTTAAAGTTTTAGGTCTGCGGTAAAGTGTGGGTAACCCTGAATTAAACAAATTGAGATCCAAAAAAGGGAATAAATTGTTCCTTTATTCTGCTTTTTTGCTAATTCAAATTTTGAAACAAACACGTTCATGACTCTTTTTAAAAAAAAATTCAGTTGCAAATTTCTCATTTGTAGCAAAATTAAATTTTTAAAACAACAAGCAAAGACGGGGAGATTTCCATTTTTTTCTGGTCCTCACTGTATCAAAAACTATATATTCCCCTAAGCTTAATTCTCGTGCTAAGTTAGTGAAAAAAATTACAGTTCTAGTTTGAGCCTGAGTCATACCATAACATTGTTTACAAATATATAAACTACACAAGACACAGACAAAACAATATTTCAACGATTTTCAATCAAAGGAACTGTTTAAGGTATTGCAAGTGATTCGACGATTCACAATGCCGGTACCCAATACACTTGTTTTAAGTTCAACATGATTAGCGCCATCTTATAGTGTATTCTGAATAAACATCCTTAATATAACTAGTGTAGTAGTATATATACTCTTCATTGTAAATATTCCTCTTTATAAGTAGTATATATACTCATCATTGTAAATATCCTCAATATAAGTAGTATATTTATATTATCATTGTAAATATCCTCAATATAAGTAGTATATATACTCATCATTGTAGATATACTCAATATAAGTAGTATATATACTCATCATCCTCAATATAAGTAGTATATATACTCATCATTGTAAATATCCTCAATATAAGTAGTATATATATACTCATCATTGTAGATATACTCAATATAAGTAGTAAATATATACTCATCATTGTAAATATCCTCAATATAAGCAGTATATATACTCATCATTGTAAATATCCTCAATTTAAGTAGTATATTTAAATTATCATTGTAAATATCCTCAATATAAGTAGTATATATACTCATCATTGTAAATATCCTCAATATAAGTAGTTTATTTATATTATCATTGTAAATATCCTCAATACAAGTAGTATATATACTCATCATTGTAGATATACTCAATATAAGTAGTATATATACTCATCATTGTAAATATCCTCAATATAAGTAGTATATATATACTCATCATTGTAGATATACTCAATATAAGTAGTAAATATATACTCATCATTGTAAATATCCTCAATATAAGTAGTATATATACTCATCATTGTAAATATCCTTATAAGTGCCACAAATTAGGTCTTCCTTAAGTCCTTAAGTAACAGCATGATAATTCTGCTTATGCCACCTTGATAATTGTTATGTGATATATCGAAATATATTTTCAAAACTGAGTTTCCCAAACAGTCTAAACGTCTAAACTTTATACCAGTAAGGAATGAGTACAAATAATTCTTGTTTATTTCAAGGTTCGTATATATTTTTATGATTCCTTATAAAGACCAAGGTTTTTAAGTTACCTTTGTAAATATTTGATGACGCAAAATAGATTAAAAGAAACAAACGAATACATTGGAAATTCTATAAATTAGAAAAAGTTAGATCAGTTACATCGTAGTGTTTCCCCTGCAAATCAAAACTTCTTGCGCACAAATTACACATTCCAATATATACAGGGTTAACCACAATGCATGAGACTTCAATGACGACCCAAAACAATTGTGTGTTTTAATTGATTACTTAAAACTTGGCAAAAAGAAGTAAGTTTTTACCACAGTGAACATCGAATAAAAAAAGGACTAAAAAATTCCGTACAGTCGTCTCTGAAGTCTCGATCATCCATTGTGGGTATCCCTGTAAATCCTATCTGTAGGGTTATGACACAATATCATAATAATGAACACAGAACAGGTGGAGAAATGGAAGAAAGCTGTAGAAATGGTAAATCCTCAAAACATCAACGAAAATATGCATTTTTCATTTTTTAGTTTGGACTTTAAAATTAAAATAAAGGAACTGGAAATCTGCATCACACTTTAATTTTCTAATCTTTGCATTTTTGCAATCTCAGCGGAAAACTTTAGAATGGTGGATATCGAGATTAATGCTTGATCCTCTCTTTTTCTTAATATCGAGACTAACCTAATCTTGTAATCCTGAAAAGTGTATAAATTCAACCAATCAGAGTCGCGTATATGAAGCTGATAAATTTGAAATTTTCCGCGCCATTTAAGATTATATACAGAAATGGGAGGAACTCTCTAATTTAGAAAACCGGTTTTTGATTTTTCTCTACTATTTCCAAGAAAGAACGGTTTAAGAAGTTTGTCCATTGATCCATTGGATACTCAGATTAAGTAATCGGGATTAAGGATATCTCATTCTAAAGTTTTCAGCTCTGATTCTGTTAGCCCTATATAAAACTTTCACCATTCATAGATTGAAATATCAAAGTTATGAAAATCAGGTTGCAAAGAAAAAAATCCAAGAAAGTTAGAACCAGTGGCAAGTAATCAATTGATTGTGTATTTTTGATTTTAACCTGCGATCAATAAATTAAAGGGACTGTTAGCGTAATTTCAAGTGACCCTTCATGCAAAGGTAGCAATGATTAATTCACAACGATACCCTTAAAACATTTACCTGATGAAAAACGGGGAAGATACTGGCGTTAAAATTTCTAGGTTTAAAAGTGTTTGATTTTAACAATTTCTATATGGCTTTCTAGCAGTAGAAATGCACAAGTCAGCTTTGTAGAAACCACAATTGAAAACAAATTGATTTTTTTTAGACTTAATTAGACGAAGCTGTCAATGGCACCATTGTGAATCAGGCATTGTCATTTTTACATGGAGGGTCACTTGAAATTACTCTTACAGTCTCTTTTAGGCGACGAAAAACAAGAACCTAGGTAGTGTGGCAACTGCAAATGTTCTTCTTTCTCAAACCAATGCAAAGCCAGTGAATAGTAAGTATTACTTTTACATTGATGTTGATTTTTTTTTATATTCTATCCTACACTTTGGGATAGATTGTTAGAACTTTGAACGTTCGTTCACTACATACTATTCTTTTTCTAAATGTCAAAATGGTTTAATTTTTAGTTTCAGAATTTTTCTTAAAATTGTTGCTGAGTCGGACGATTTATAAAAATCAAAACGATTAACACATTAAAAAAACTTTCACATTTTGTAATATGGAAATAACAGAAGCACTTCTTTTTTAACTTTAATAATTTATTTTTGGATAAGGGTTGTGGGCACAAGCTCACGCATACACATAAAACGAAATATCAATAAATCTATTTCCAGTTTGTTATCAAGGTCTTTCTATTATTTTGTTCTGCTCAAGATTAGTTAAAAGTCATACATCCCAACGTTTTGTGTTGTGCCATTGTCTAAAAAACTTGACTATGGGTAACCCTGTAAACCATAGTGAACACTTATTTTGCGCGGGCTGATCTTGCTTCCTTTTTTTCCTTAGGCTTAACTATTTGGTTTGGTTAATAATATGATTTTTAATAATCGCATGAAGCGTTGATTTGCCAATGACTTGTAGAAAGCTGGATTTTCAAACATAATTGAGTTATGTTCTTTTGTCCTTTTCTCAGTCAGTCATGAAAAGTAAAAAGAAAGAAATAAGAAAATTTTTTTTTTCCTTTTAAGAATTGATTTTGTTTCTTTTGTCTTTTCTCTTCCATCTAACCTTTCCTATCTTTTTTGTTCTCTGTGTTCACTGGCTCCGTAGAAGCACTTCTAAATTACGAACATTTTATCGAAAGTATGAAAAATAATGTTAGATATATCCACAGAAGTCATATACTTTGACAACATTTTTAATATTTTAAACAAAAAGTTTTGATATGCTTCATGTTGTTTAGTATTCGAAACAAATTTTAATGTTTCCAAAAAAGAGTTTATCAATATAAAAGAATAATTCCAAAAAAGTATCATTTTGGAGAAATTTTTCGAGAATCATTTGAGACCTATGAGAGTTTTTACGGTGCATATTTGTTCAGCAAGAGCGCAAATTCAATCTTTAAAATCCACATAGCGATTTTGAGGGATGATTTAAAAAATCGGGTTTTTAAATATTATTCAATAACGACGACGAAAGATGTAGTCAAAATTCTACAGTAAACTAATTGTTTAGGAACAGGTTGAGAAAATAAAAATGAAATATTATTATCGAAAAGAAGTAATCTTATTCAGTTATTGGTATCTGTAATGTCTCACTGATCACAATATTTTCTGTAGATTTCCTGGATTTTTTCCTAAACATCTAGTTAGTTTACAGTTAATTTTTTTACATTTATTGTCGTCTTTATTTACTTATTTAAAAAAATTGATTCTCAAAAATCCAATTTTCGGATTATTATTCGCGAAATTTTCGCATTATTATTTTGCGAAACAGATTGAAGCAAAATTTCGCGAAAAAAGCAAAAATTTACGCATTTTTCGCGAGCGAACGAAATGCGAAAATGGTCGCGAAAAAATTTTTTCGCGAAATAACTTTTCCTTTTCGCTGGAAACCACTCAAAACTTGGCACAGTAGATGAAGAGCAATTTAATAGATAGTACAATTTGAAAATTAAGATTTCTTTACATTTTCCCAAATTTTGGGTTTGAGAGAAAATAAAATAGGTTAATACAGGGGTCCCTGCCATGCAACCTCTAGAAAATAATATAGATTAATACAGGGGTCCCTGTCATGCAACCTCTAGAAAAAAATATAGATTAATACAGGAGTCCCTGCCATGCAACCTCTAGAAAAAGCGTTTGCTCTTCTGAATTTACCAAAATCTTCATCAGTAGCTGAAGCTAAAGCAGCATACAAGTAAGATAATTGGGTTGTTTATTTTTACAATGAGAGCCAGAACACTCTGGAATAAGAAGATTACTTTTATACTCAAGGTATGACTTGAAATAGTCCAATGAACATAAGCCACAGCAATTGTGCAGTGTAAACAGACCAATTTAACTTAAAAAGTAATTTAATAAGTTGCTTGTAAATCATATATACCTTGTAACGACACCAAATACACTTTAGCATTGCTGCTAGGTCGTCTTTTTATTCCACAGTTTTCTGGTTCTCACTGTATATTTCTTATACGTTCTTTTTTAAGGGAATGTATAAGTTATTTCAATTTTCACTCTATTTATAGAGTAGCATATGTTTTATATATATAAATTTAGAACAATAAATATATCTTATTCATTCTTTATTAGACAAAGGTTTCAAGGGTATCATTGTGAATCTGTTGCAGCTACTTTATTAACGGAGGAACACTTGGAATTAGGTTCAAACAATCCCAACTTAAGCGCAGTAACTGAAATGCTTTATTTTTTATCTTAGTTTTAAGATTTCTAGAACAAACATTACATATTTTGTTTCAAAAAAATTATGAAATGAATAACATGTATTGCATGATTGTCCAAATTCAGATTTTTTTTTGAAATTCGTGCAAATGTAAATCATAAATCTTAATGTTTCAAAAAACTGTTTTGCATTATTTCTTTTGTATAATTGTGCCCTGAGCTTAAAACTTTAGAATGAGATATCCTTAATCCCGATTGGTTAATCAATCTGGAGATTAATAACAATCGGAGAAAAAGCATTATTTAATCTGGAGATTAAGAAAAAGAGTGGATCAAGCATTAAACTCGATATCCACCATTCAAAAGTTCCCAGCTCTGAAGTCAAAACTTTTGAGAGTGACTCTCGGGATTAAGCATCTGATGCAGATCTACGGATTTATTTAATTCATATTCGATATCCCATGGTAGTCATACCCTGTACGGTTAACTTTGATTGAGGGATCAAGCATTTATCCTTAAATTTAAACTGGCCACATTAGATATCGAGATCAAGAGTTTAAGATTAAATAATAGGTCGGAACTGTGGTTTATCGGAAAGGAATTGAATTGATCCGTCTGTAGATAAATGCTTGAACAGCATAAAAGTTCTGAAAATTTAAAAACATATTAGTTAGACATATATTTATGTCTTTTCATTGTTGAATAATTAAAATTTTCATTCCTTGGACTTTTGATAATGATGAGAATTTTAAACATTTAACCCTATTCCTGCTGGGGGGGGGTCAATTTGTAGTTTTTTTTACATAACTCAAAAAGTATTGGCTTGAGGCTGTTGAAATTTTCTGACTTTTCTTACATATCCACAGCCCTCCCTTTAGACCTAAAACCGGGCTTTAATACTAACTGCCTGAGTCCTCAGGCACACTGCCTGAATGACTGCTTTTTCCTGTAACAAACTAAATCTTTGTTTTGACCCACTTCCACTTGTCAGATTTTGATAAAATTTAGCTTTTTGGAAAGCCTTTGACATAAGGAAACGAATTGCACAAGTTTTGCGAAAAAAATGGCAAATTTTTTGCAAACAACCTGTCAAAGGAAATTTGCACATGTTTAGTTTTTCTTGATTAAAAATCAGGTTATTTAAAATTTTGCAAAAATATTTGCATATTTGAAAGGGCATGGTCAAGGGCTTTTGAAAAATGTATAATTTTTCATTTTTTGGACAAATTTTTTTTTGCAAACATTTTTACTATATAACTGGATTTTGCGATAAAAAATTCAATTTTTGCAAATTTGCAAATTTGTTTGCAGATTCTAAAAGTAGAGCACAAGAGCTTTCCAATGATGTAGATTTAGAGGGGGGGGTCAAATTGACCCCCCCCCAGCATATCCTGGTTTTCAAGTGCCCCAGCAGAGATAGGGTTAAAATGGTCTCACATTTTTAAAATAATTTTACAAACTGAAATAAAAATGCGAATCTTCATTAAAATTAGTCCCGGTTTTTTGAAAGGAAAAGTTGTGTTCCCCAGTTTCGACCTTGTCTATTTGCGGCAAAGTTGTAAAAGTTGTAAAATAATGACAAATAATGATATGTTAGATATTAGTCTATATATATATCATATCATATTACACAAACTTTATTATATTTTTCTTGGATATATATTAGGACTGTAGACCTGAATATTTCACGTGATCCTCCATTTTAAAAAGAAAGTGACATGTTTGATTCACAATGGTACGCCTTAAACCACTCTTTGAGTAACAATAAGATAGTTATTTTTAGAAAATTATTGAATTTTCTTCTCTCCACTATCAATGACAACGAATTCTTGAAAAGAATAATTCATTTTCAAATTTATAAAGACGTATATCTTATTAATATTTGATAAGACATAGGTTATCAGGGTACAACTGTAAATCGAATTTGCTTTTTTTTTCTCTAAATGGAGGGTCGCTTCGAAAAACGTCGTCTGTACCCTTAAATAAAAATTAAATTAAATGAAAAACGATTTTTCCTTTGACCCAAAAACTGTCATAAGTATTGAAATCTTTTCATCGACAAATATTTGTAATTAAAGGAACTGTAAGCGTAATTTTAATTTAATGCAAAGATGACAATACCCGATTCACAACGGTACCCCATATAGCTTTGTCTGGTCAAGATTGAATTAGATATCAACGCTTACCGTCCCTTTAAGAAGCAATCAATACTCATTGTCGTTAACAATCCATTTAAGAAAAAAGGTGATAGCCTACGCTTCCTCTGCTTCTGCATCTGGTAAACTGGAAGAGATAAACGGAGCTTTTGTAGAGGTAATCTCTCTGTTAAAGGGAGTGTAGAGGTAATCTCTCTGTTAAAGGGACTGAAGAGGTAATCTCTCTCTTAAAGGGACTGTAGAGGTAATCTCTCTGGTACAGGGACTCTATAGGTAATCTCTCTGTTAAAGGTACTGTAGAGGTAATCTCTCTGTTAAAGGGACTGTAGAGGTAATCTCTCTGTTAAAGAGACTGTAGAGGTTATCTCTATGTTAAAGAGACTGTAGAGGTAATCTCTCTGTTAAAGGGAATGTAGAGATAATCTTTCTGTTAAAGGGACTGTATAAGTAATCTCTCTGTCAAAGGGACTGTATAGGTAATCTCCCTCTTAAAGGGACTGTATTGGAAAATGTAGTGACCCTTCATGGCATGTCTGATTCACAATTATATCATTAAAGGCTTTGTCTACTCAAAAAGGAATTCAATATTAATAATTTTGTTTTTGAAAACTGTTATTTCCATTTGTTGTTTCTCTCTTACAGTAACATGCGCATTTCTTGCTTCATAAACAGTAGAGAAATTATCAGAATTAAACACAATTAAAAATTATGAGATTTAAAATGGGGAAACATGGATGGCTTTTCCATTCTGGATGAGAGAAAGCTTTTAAGGGTACTGTTGCAAATTAGACATGCCATTCTATAATTGGAGGCTCATTTTAAATTATGCTTGAATTGATGTTCATTGGGAAAATTTGCTTTTTAACTTTTACAAGGCATAAATAATATTATACTTAAGATCGTGTTGATAAGTATGTTTGGTGAGACACCCTGTAATTGAAACCTCACAACTTTGTTTTAATCAGTATGTTTGGTGAGACACCCTGTATCTTCGACCATGCACACAAAATTGATTTAATGATGAATGTTTGGTGAGACACCCTGTATTTGCAACCTCAACCTTGATTTCAATAGAATGTTTGGTGGCCCACCCTGTATTTGCAACCACAACCTTGATTTGATTAGAATGTTTGGTGAACCACCCTGTATTTGCAACCACAACCTTGGGATTAAATAATTATCTTTGCTTACTTTTCACTTACATACTTTTCTTCTATAACCAGGGACATTAAATATTTCATTAAATATTTTATATATTTTTATTAAATCTTTGAAAAGTTAGTTTGAACCTTGTAAACAAAATTTCTAAGAAGTTGGAAAAAATTCTCAATATTTTTTTTTTCTCTGATTAGAAATTGATTAGTCCAATAAATCCTGTCTATCACACCCCTGCATTGCAGCATGAAAGCATGGCAAGAACCAATATATTATTATTTGTGAGCTGATATCTGATCAGTCAATATATTATTATTTGTATGGCAGTATACAGCGTTACACTTGATGCTATCTATTGTTTTAGTGTTTTATATTTTTCATTTTTTGAAACAGTTATTGTTAAAGTTTGAACCCAATCTCTGTTCATGAAATTGTAAATATGAATAAGTTTGCGTTCTAGTGCAAGCCTTTCTGAACGGGATACGACGTTAAAGTCTTGTTTTTTAAAAAAAAGATTTTAGGTAAGTTCAACAATAATATTTCTGCAAGATTAGACAGTCACACAGTTGTTCAGCGCTCCGTAAATAAAAAAACTTAATATTTTTGCTCGGATTTTAACATACAATCTTTTAAGACAAAACGGGACAATGTCCCTTTTTAATGAAAGTTTTTTGAGTTCAACATCACGTTAAACTAAGGTATATTTCAACATCACGTTAAACTAAGGTATATTTCAACATCACGTTAAACTAGGGTATATTTCAACATCACGTTAAACTAAGGTATATTTCAAGAAAGATGGAATTCCAAATGATTTAATCATAACTCCTCGTATTGGAGAGCTATTGTAAAGAAGAAAAATGTCCTTTATGTCTGTGATTTCTGACTAGCTTACTAGTTTGTATTGACAATAATATGTTGTTCAGATTATTGAGTATTTCCAACAGAAGGCTCTACAGCAGGGGAGTGAGGATCCAGAAAGTGCCGAGATATTACAGAAATGTGAAGAATATTTGCCAGGACAGGTCAAAACTGATTTAAAGGGACTGTTCGGGAATTAAAAAAGATATTTTCAGAAAAATTAAATTTAAAAAGGAAATCATACAATTGTAAAATAGGAAGACGACTGTCAGACTTAAGTTGTGATGAACATGAAACAGAGTAGCAGTTGTGCAATGTACACAGACCCATTTAAAATTTTTAATTTTACAAAATGTGAAGAATATCTGTCAGGACATGAAATTACACATTTCATGGTTCTGTGTACACTGCACGTGAATAATTTGAAAACATAACTTGATTTTGATTGTCGTCTTCCTCGTCTACAGTTTTCAGTTTCCAACAGATTGGTTTTTATTGTAATTGAAAATCAGTTACGATTGATTGATTGCGTTTTAAATTTGCATTTTAAGAAAATATTTTGAACAAATGAACCTAAAATGTGAAAAAATCAAATATGCATAATTTTATTGAAGGTTAAAGCTAAGAGTGGAACCCTGGTAATAAAACTAAAGCACAATGGAGCAGTTTGGAAGAAAGCAATAAAACAAAAGTTTCCCGGGGCCATTAATGTTAATGCTTCAAAAAGTAGTTCCAAGGCAAAATCAAGAAAAATACGATCGGAGAGAGGTAAACTTAGAAATATATTATTTCATTTATCAAGAAATGGGTGAATAACTATTTGTAACCTTTTCATAATGGTTTTTAGACAGAATTATTCTCATTAACAAAAAGATTCAAGACTTTTTTAGGGTAAACTTTGTCCCAAGCTTTAGCAAAGAATACAAAATAACAATCTTTTTGTAAAAGCAGAAGTCAAAGAGAGTTAATTTAAATTTTATAATTATTTTAATTATTAAATATTCCATAACACAGCGAACTTGAAATTATAGCACAATGATTACATTATGCACTATAGCAATGCAAATTTTTCAGTCGTTGAGTAAAGCTTTAATATATTCGGTATCTGAACTATCGTTCTATTATTATTTTATTTGTTTTTGACTGAACGTATACTCAGCGCAGTATAGTTAGTCTAGTAAAAACGCTAACAAACGATTTTAAAGTTGCTTTTTCTCGGTGTGCGTCTGACAAAAATAATAACGATCGTTAACGTTTTTGTTCGTTTTGAAAAAAGGATCGTTCGTTTCGAAATATCGTTTGTTAACGCAAACAAACCAACGATAAACGATTGTTTGGTTTAGGGAATACAGAATCGGCTAAATTTGTTTTAACTTGGCGACCCTCAAACGATTATATTCATCTTAAAGTTAATCTTCAAGTCACCGAGTCTACACTTTTGGTAAGTCTATCATTCTTTTTTTGTGAAATCTTTTTTGACATTTTTGTTTTAGCACTCTTTTTTTGCTGTATGAAATTCTAATTTGATCACTTTTTATTTTAGAAGGATCTGCTAAATTTTTCCAAATCAATAAAGAAGAAAATTCGTCTTTTTTGGTCGGAAAAAGAAAAAAAACCTTTGCTGTAAAATAAAAAATTTAAGTGTACAAAAAATAACAAAAAATACTCCAAGAAAAAGCAGGCACCAAAAATGTGAAAGCGAAAATTCTAATTGATAAGAATTTTATCCATTTTTATCCACACTAAACATCCTGAAATTCATTTGACCAAAACCAGCGGATAATCTAGTTATATTTGTACATGAAACATTGAAATTAAATATGATAATTTCACTTATTAAACTACTTCAATATCGTCTTCTTATTCCATAGTTTTCTTGGTTGTATTATCAGGTATCTGGTCAAAGCTATATCCTATGGGCTACAGAGAACTATGGATCAATGTGTAAACTAGCAGATGATATTGTTGCCAAGGAAGGAGAAATCAAGGTTAATTTGTCATATATTTATTGTTATATTTATAAATATTAAATGTACATTTGGGAAATGGAAAGATTATGGCTATTCAGAGATCATTGTTTCATCATTGATATTTGTAAAATTAGACTGTAAAGTCGTCTGGTTAATTGTAAATTATTTGGGTCTTTCTGATCATAACAGTTAATTAGGAGTTAAAACCAACTGCCCTGGTCCCCAGGCTACTGCCTGAATACATACTTATTACCAACTAAACTAAATCTCTGTTGAGACCCAGATTTCAATTTTTAAAATCTTGATAGCAAATTGTATTTGATTGTAATAAATCTGATTTGATCCAGGAAGAAATCCCCGAAATTGATGATTCGGAGAAAATGGATGAAATAATTAAATGTTTAAGGTTAGTCTAGATTATCCTTTTTTATTTCAAAGTATATTTTTTCATTCTAAATAACTAACTGCATGCATTGAATATAAAACAATAAAAAACTAGAAAAATTACTTTAAAAGGAGCATTGAAGGAAACTTGAATCAGTTGTCCAGAAAAACTGAAACTTTGGAGGAAACCCAAAGGTAGCTTTAAATTAAACCAGAAAACACAATGATAGGTTGAAATTAAACCTAAAAACCCAAAGGTAGGTTGAAATTGAACCTGAAAACACAATGATAGGTTGAAAATAAACCTAAAAACCCAAAGGTAGGTTGAAAGTTTACCTAAAAACCCAAAGGTAGGTTGAAATTAAACCTGAAATCCCAAAGGTAGGTTGAAATTAAACCTGAAAACCCAAAGGTAGCTTTAAATTAAACCTAGAACAAAGGTAGGTTAAAATTAAACCTGAAACCCCAAAGGTAGGTTGAAATTATACCTGAGTGAAAACCCAACGGTAGGTTGAAATTAAACCGGAAAAACCAAAGGTAGGTTGAAATTAAACCTGAAAACCCTAAGGTAGGTTGAAATTAAACCTGAAAACCCAACGGTAGCTTTAAATTAAACCTGAAAACCCAAAGGTAGGTTGAAATCATACCTGAGTGAAAACCGAAAGGTAGATTGAAATCATACCTGAGTGAAAACCCAAAGGTAGGTTGAAATCATACCTGAGTGAAAACCCAAAGGTAGGTTGACATTATACCATAAAACCCAAAGGTAACTTTAAATTAAACCTGAAACCCCAAAGGTAGGTTGAAATTAAACCTTAAAACCCAAAGGTAACTTTAGATTAAACCTGAAAACCCAAAGGTAGGTTGAAATTATACCTGAAAACCCAAAGGTAAGTTGAAATTAAACCTTAAAACCCAAAGGTAACTTTAGTTGAAATTAAACCTTAAAACCCAAAGGTAACTTTAGATTAAACCTGAAAACCCAAAGGTAGGTTGAAATTATACCTGAAAACCGAAAGGTAAGTTGAAATTAAACCTGAAAACCCAAAGGTAGGTAGAAATTAAACCTGAATGCACAAAAGGTTATAATATAACTCAAAGCTAACCTTGCAATCCAAGTATAGTTTGAAATTAAACCAGAAACCTGAAGTTAGTTTGAGCATAAAAACATAAAGGTAACCTTACAATTTTAAATTAAACTTGAAAACCAATTAATTAAATTGATTTTTTTACGATCCTAGTCGTGTGTTGCAACTTTCTGAAATTGTGTGGTCGCTACGTTTTTAGGTATGAGCCTTTTTTAACAAGTTTCTCCTTATTTACGCAACCGATAGAAACAAGATTAGTAGCATCACCATCGACAAATTTTTCATTTTTTGCGAACACTCCCTTTAATTAAGTGCTTGTTAATTAAAACTAATTTTCTTGGTAAAGAAAGAAAACTAGCAACAAATTGAAATTTTGTAACCCCTATATCTTATCAAACTGATGTCCTTTTTTTAATTCTGTGAGATCGAACCGTTTGAATTTCTTTGATCTAAATAAATCAGTTCATTTTACTTTATTTAACTGAACAAGTTTTATGCATTCAATGTTGGTACTTACAAGTTACAGAGACTGTTGTGTACTGTACACTGTGGGAGGAATGTAAACAAACCCAGTGCCCCCACAGAAGTTGAAAGGAAAGGACTAAAGCTTTGATGTTATATTACAGTCCAACAAAAAACAAGTTAATATATAAAGTTAGAACGAATACTTATGATTTTTGGCATTCTGGTCAATATGGAAAATACAATAGCAATATATTTTTATTCCACCCCTTACGCCCTTTGATGTTTTGCGGCGCCCCTGAATTCCTTGCTTTGATCTCCTCCCACTGCAGTACACAGATTTGACGCATCAGCTATGGCGGTTCCTGGTCTATATATTTCTTGGGCGTAACTTCGAGAGGCCCTTTATTCAAACCGTTAATGGTTGTTTGAACAAGACAAAGCTGAATCTCGAACATTCTATGCATAAGTTTATGAAAGTATCTATTTTCTATGCTAAATATTAAACAGCTTGTAAGCAAATACTTTAATATTCACAAAGGCTTCTATTGTTAAGTAAGTCCGTCATCATTGATCTCTCAAAGATTAATTCTAGGACTCCTAGAAACCTTTTGTCACACACTCAAACTTTCTAATCCTTAATAGTTTGAAATATCTAAGGTCCACAACATTGGGTTGCAAATATATAGGGATTAGTAAATATGAGTTTGTGACAAAGACTTATTTCCTTTCTGAAGTATTTACATGGGTTAAATAAGAACTGCATGATAATCGTAAACTTGGATGATTTAAAGTATTTCACAAGCCTCACTATTGAAGGATTCTTGAAGTTGATGTAAAACAATTAAACAGCCAGCTTACTAATCTTTCCGAACATAATAGGTATTCAATTTTATGATTTAAAAATATCAAATGTCCTCTTGGCTCGCCAAAAAGATTTAATTTTCCTTGTAATATATCTTTGAGAACTGCAGACACAAAGTTTAAAGAGCATTGCTGTGAATAGGACATGTCTCTAGGTCCCTTAACATTATGTCTACAGTCCCTTTAAATAGTCCTGAAACTTAACATTATGTCTACAGTCCCTTTAAATAGCCCTGAAACTTGACATTATGTCTATAGTTCCTTTAAATAGTCCTGAAGTTTGACATTATGTCTACTGTCCCTTTAAATAGTCCTGAAACTTAACATTATGTCTACAGTCCCTTTAAATAGCCCTGAAACTTGATATTATGTCTACTGTCCCTTTAAATAGTCCTGAAACTTAACATTATGTCTATGCAGTCCCTTTAAATAGTCCTGAAACTTAACATTATGTCTACTGTCCCTTTAAATAGTCCTGAAACTTAACATTATGTCTACAGTCCCCTTAAATAGTCCTGAAACTTAACATTATGTCTACAGTCCCTTTAAATAGCCCTGAAACTTAACATTATGTCTACTGTCCCTTTAAATAGTCCTGAAACTTAACAGTATGCCTACTGTCCCTTTAAATAGTCCTGAAACTTAACATTATGCCTACAGTCCCTGTAGATAGTCCTGAAACTTAACATTATGTCTACAGTCCCTTTAAATAGTCCTGAAACTTGACATTATGTCTACAGTCCCTTTAAATGTTCTGAGTGTTTCAGGGACTATTTAACCCTATAAAGGCTGGGGAGTCTGAGTCTATGTATAGCATGTGGTAGGGGCGTCCGATACCCCCCCCCCCCCCCCCAAAAAAGGCCTTAAAGAATAGGTATAGGGTTGAAATGCATGTTCATAGCCCAATTTGTCAAGGCCTTCCGTTTATTGAGAGACATGTCCAATTCACAATGGTACCCTTTAAACCTTTGACTGGACAACGATGAGGTAGATCCCTCATTTGTAGAGCTAAAGATTGAGAGCTGGAAGACTTGAGGTTGCTAGTACGTATACTTGCGCAGTTCTTTTATACTTAATTTCCCACTAAATAAATAAGATTATCAGAAAAATCCTTGATCAACCAAAGGTTTAAAGGCGGTTGAAAGGGTATCATTGTAAATCGAACATTCCACTCATAAATGGAATATCCCTACAAATTACACTTACAGTTCCTTTAACATGTTTTTTGTTGTATTTGAAGAGGAATGAGGGTAGAGGTTGACAGAATAAACACAAGACTGGACTCAGTGGAACTAAACCAGGAAACATCAGCGCAGGTTATCATCCGAACATTTTTAAGATTGTATTTTTTATAGCGAAATTTAAATTCAATTTTAAAAATTCCGAATTTAAAGAATTTGAGCCGAGTCTTGAGACGTGGCTCATACATGGTTGGTTCCACTTGAACTTGTATTCAGTGTTTCGATATTTGAGCCAGCGCTAAATTGGAACTGGATTTTGGCGGTTCAGCGAAACGGTTTAAATTCTTTAAATTTGGTCTTCGACTTTACAAATTGACAGTAAAATGTCTATGTTTAAAAGGATAACACAACGTGGTTGGATATAAAAATCAAGCAAGAATATGACCAAAATTAGTAAAAAAATAAAACGAAGCATTTAAATAACGTTAGATTATATGTTGTATCATTCTATGAAAATAAATTGTTCACAAATTTTTTGTCCAAAGTCCAAACAAAACATTAAGATTCTAGAAAACGTTCATATATTGTGTTAAATATTCATAATATCGTGTTTAACAATCATAAGATCGTGATTAAAGTTCATATTATCGTGATTCAAGTTCATAATATCGTGCTTAACATTCATATATCATGTTTAACGATCATAATATCTTGTTTAACTAGTATAATATCTCGATTAAAGTTCATATGGTGTTAAACAATCATAATATCATGTTTAACGATCATGATATCATGTTTAACAATTATATAAGCATATGTTTAACGATCATAATATCTTGTTTAACTAGTATAATATATCGATTAAAGTTCATATGGTGTTTAACAATCAATATCATGTTTAACGATCATGACATCATGTTTAACAATTATATAATCATATGTTTAACAATCAAAATATCGCCTTTAACGATCAGAAGAACATTTTAAATGTTAATAATATCGTTTTTAACGATCATAATTTAATGTTTAACAATCATAATATTTTGTTTACCGTTCATAGTATCATGATTAATATTCAACAAACAGTGTTTAACGATCATAATATTAGTGCCTTTACCATTTACAATATCATGTTTAACGATCCCAATTTCATAGTTAATGTTCATAACATCGTGTTCATCCTTCATCATATGGTTTTTAATGATCATGATGTTTAACAATCAGAATATCGGGTTTAACGTTCATAATATTGTGTTTAACTTTCATAACACCGTGCTTACCTTTCGTATTATCATGTTTATTTAGTCCCAACTAAAAGCGCATGCCAAGCTGGATGATCTAACTGTGAAAGCTCATGAAATTAGGGAAGAATGAATTAATGAAAAAAAGTTTAGAAAAATGTTTTGCATAGATACACCCAGTAAAAGTAAATTTGCACATTTTCATCTTTTTCTTGATAACAGATTTTGAAGATTTTGGAATTTCATAAAGAATTTATTTTTTCAAATTGTAGTTGCATGATCTAGAGCTTTCCAAAGTTATATGTACAGGGTTACCCATAGAGAATTAGACTGTACAGACGACTATAAGCTTGTTAAATGTAACGATTCCCAGGTTAAAAAACTCTTTGGTCTTAAAGATGATTTTTTATGGACTTTTAATGGTTACAGAAACATGTTTGCAGTTCCAGAGAATCATAAATGTAGGGTAACAGACATCAATATAACGTCTGAATTCTCATCCTCTGTGGGTAACCCAGTATACCTTTCAATCTACGGAGTTCAAGGATGGGCCGGGAGCCTCGAGGTTACAGTGTACACTCGAGGTTACAGTATACACTCGCCCGGTCTTTTGGCTCTTAAACATTTGCAGTCCCTTTAAAGCTCATTTTACAATTTATTTCTCGTCTTGTTAGGCAACTAGCAGGAGCGCGTACACTTGCTGAAGGAAAGAGTGCCGCGTTCATCATTAACAAAAATCCTCCTCCCGCCCATCTCATCAAGTCGTCTTCAACTATTGGACTTTCAAAGAAATTTTCAGGTTTATTCAATGTTAGAAAATCTTAACATTTTTTTAAAAATATCGATTTAATAATTTAAGATATTTCGCAGATTTTCCGTATATTTTTTCACTTGACACTGGAAATTATGTTGAATATTTTTATGTTACAATCATAAATATCTACATCAAAAATGTTCATATATTGGTAATTTCGAATTTATAAATTTAGAAACAGTGTTGTTAGAGTTACTGATAAGAAGATATAATGTCAAATTTTAAAAGTTACCAGATCTACTTACTACAAAAACATTTAACATAAAGTCTAAATGCTGTATTCTCTTCTGGTTGTAATTAAAGGCTGCGTATTTATTTATTTCACATTAGCAAAGGACTCCAGATAGAAGTTTTTGCTACAACCCGATATTTTCTATTCCTTACATCTATTCCATCAATAGAACATAATTTTGTGAATCTTTGATATTGTTAATTTTTATTATTTTATTTGATATTTTGTAAACAATTTCTTTTAAACCCATGAAAATGTTTACTAGAGACTGGAACGGATGAATCCAATGGAAGAAACTCCAACCTACCGAGTCCGAGAAGAAAGCAAACGGGATCTTCCAAAAAAGTAGATTTTTAAAATTACACTTTCTGACAGCCAAAATACAGTGGTTACCAAAAAGTGTGGAATAATTGTCGTCTTCTTTTGCTAAAGTTGTATCTGAAAAGAAATAAGTTACAACTTACAAGAACATTTCTCTTTTAATTAACTGGTTCTCTTTGTTTACATATTTATTTGTTTCCTTGGATAATGGATATTGGATATAGGATATTGCTAATCAAAGCTATTAAAGAAAGTCGTCTTCCTTGCATTGATATAAACGCCGTTCATGGTAAAACAGAGTTACCCACAAAGGATGAGACTTCAGAGCCGACTGTATGGATGTCCTGATGTTTATATTTCCTTGTAACTTAAACGACTATATTCAAGAAAGAAGACTTAATCACCATAGTTTCAATAGAAGTAAAAATTTGCATTTACTGATAGCGCCGATTGAAGGATTCATAACTAACTCTAATTGGATAATGAAATAGATTGAAAGATAGATTTTACCGCCATACTATTTCTATTGGTTCAGAACAGACAACAAACACATTAATAAACCCTAACTGGATCAGGCCCTAATGGACTCGGCATACAGGAGTGTAATTTAACCTTTGGATCTTTATAATTACAAAAATCAGGTTGTCTGAACAGTCTCATCCTTTGTGGCTAACCCTGTAAAACAATTTCATAGCACAAAATAATTAGAAGTTTGAAGAAAGATGGTAATCAATTAAAAGTTTTCTACTAACAACTGTATCATCTTAGAAAATATTTGTTTGTTTAGAAATCAATATCAGATTCTCCAAGTAAAAGACGAATATCTGCTCAAGAGCTCAAAAAAACAAATAGGTTAAACATTTTATGTTATCATCTAAAGAAAGCGATAGTTTCTATAAAAAATCCCATAAAGTTTATATTTCTAATATATTTTAGTTTTTGAAAATTAAGTTCTACTGTTGAAAACAACTTCCTGAAATTAGGATTTTTGGTAATGAAGACGACATTTTCATATTTTGCAGGAATGTTTGAAAATCCAGCGAAATATCAATCAAAGAACAAGATAATATGTAAAATTTATTTTATTAAGGATGGAAGTGGTGGAATCTGAATCATCAGGATATCATACAACTTACTCAAAGGTCTGAAAGGAACTGTAAGCGTAATTTCAAATGGTCCCTGTATTTCAAACAGAGTGGCATGTCCGATTCTTAATGAAAACCGTTGAACCTCAATCTGATGAACAAAATGCGAAAATTTCTTTCTCACTAACATTGAAACCACAATTAAAAATAATTGAATTTTCGAGATAAGAAGTCGGATAGCATGCTACTTTATTACGGGGCATGCATGGAAAATTACGTCTGCAGTCTTTTTTAACTTGAATTCAATTCGTATTTTTGTTGGTTTACTGCATGCTTACTGTCAAATTACACGATTAGTTTTGGTTTCCTGGAATATTTTCCTACAGCCCATCTCACATATAAGTATACATAGCAAGATCTTATGAAATGTCGTCTTGAAATTTATTTAAAAACTTATGACAGATGTAATGCTTCATCATTGGTCTGCACAAAAAGAAATCTGCTGAGATGTTCGCAGCTTCAAAGGGTTGAATAGGATTTATTATAATATATCCAAATATCATTGTAGAGTCAAAAGTTTAATTTTTATAATTCTTAACAATAATTTTTTTAATTTGAGGTAAATTAATAGCCCTGAAATATGCAGGACAGCAATTGATATGGTAAACTCGTTTTTCAGCGGCATTTGATCCTAAATATGTTGAGAATACGATATTATGAAAACATTTTCGCTATGTATTCATATATCTGGGATTCACTAACTCAACTTAGAGATTTAAATGTTAAGAAAAATCTCATGATTCTACTATTCTATGATAGGACATCAATACAGATAAGCAAACAAATATTACTACTTTATAAATATAGACATTTAAAGAAAAGGAGGGGGGGAGTTTTCAGTTTTTAGCTTTAAAGTGGCGCAATGCACCCTGAATATCTGTGATTATTACAGGAGAGTATGCATGATGTAATGAAGAAGATGGAAGATGATTCTGATGAGAAGATAGAAGAGATGATTGATGATATATCAACAAATGAAATGTTCGGAAGTAGTATTTTGTCAATGTAAATACATTTTAGATTAGAAATAAATACAATTGTTTGATAATATAAGAAAAGCTGTTTTTAAGTTTGTCTGTAACCTTATGAATTACACACTTTTTTCATGTTTTACTGGAATGTCCTATGGCAGGCCCATTTAACCTTCAAGATAAATAAAAACCATAGACAGGATTGCTTTACTGTCGTCTTTCTATTCCTAAATTTTACAAGTCTAACTGTAGTTGTAGTATCTGGAAAGACTTGTATAAAAAAAACAAAATCAAATATAAAGGTTTAATATTTAATATTTATTTTATTTTAACACAGGTTTTAACGAATTTCTCTTCTTTTTCCTGAAGACCATCTAAGATTAGGGTTGGAATAAAATATAAATAGTGAAAATATACAAATTAATATTTGATTTATTGATATATTTTTTTTTTGAAAATAGGTCTGCTTATAAATTTCATTAAAAATCAAGATTGGAATAAAACATAAATAGGGAAAAGAAGATTAATATTTTATTTACTCAAAATATTTTAGTTCTTTATTTTTTGAAAATAAGTTGGCTTAGTTTGTGATGGCTTTAAAATACCTTAAACTTTTTTCTTTTTGGGCCTAGGAAAGGTTAGTATAGAAAAAGGGGTTATTTGGACGTAAGCTAACTAAAACCTTAAAAGTACAGAGCTGAAAACCTTAGAATGGAGGATATCGAAATAAATGCTTGATATCCTCTTTTTCTTAATCTCCAGAGCTGAAAACTTTAGAATGGTGGATATCTTATCTTTATCTTAATCTCGAGATTAAATAATGCTTGCTTTCCTCTTGTCATCAATCTCCAGATTAATTAACTGATCGGGATTAAGGATATACCATTCAAAAGTTTTCAGCTCCGATTAAATAATGCTTGTTCTCCGCTTGTTATTAATCTCCAGATTAATTAACCGATCGGGATTAAGGATATACTATTCTAAGTTTTCAGCTCATGCAGAGCAAACAAACTTTAGAATGGGATATTCTTAATCCGGATCGGTTAGTTAATCTGGAGATTAATATGATTAATATCAATAGGAGAACAAGCATTACTTAATCTAGAGATTTAGAAAAAGAGGAGATCAGGCATTGATCTCGATATCCTCCATTCTATAGTTTTCAGGTCAGAGCAAACAAACTTTAATTTGTTCCAAGTTTCCAACATTAATGTTCTTTCCTGAAAACTCCTTTAAGCTTCGCATTCCGTATATGCATATAAAGCATTTTCTCCAACGGGTTTCCTGGATCGAACAGGAACTTCTAAACAATTATGAAATATTGTAGAGAGTGAAAATCCCCCAAAATGTAATATAAAATCCCCAAGTCAATTATAGAGATGTGCATCGTTTATGTCAACAAACGAAGTTTTTCGTAAGCGATTATGTCGATCAGAAAAAAACGATATTTTTTTATAGCAAGCGAAAAAAACTACTTAAAATCTTTATCGTTAATAAACAATGTCTAAATTGTAAGTTTTACCGAACTTAAAAAAAACTTTTTTTTACTGAACAAACGAATTTTTTTAAACAAACTTTTCAAAAAACAATAGTTTTTTTACCGAAAGAAAGATTTTATTGAGCAAGAAAACGAACAAAATAGATGGGACATGTACAACATTTTTGAGAACGGACGAAATAAATTTTTTGCTTCTGGAACCAGAGAAGACCTTCTTATCATACTCTTTTTAATATTCCATTGTGCATATTTCTCTATAATCTAGCTAATTGGGATCCATTAAATAAATTTAAGCAATGTAATCTGTAATGCGAATATTTTTACCATAAAGTAAACTTAAAACTTAGGTTAAATAGGCGTGTAGTGTGTATACTGGATGATTTATTTGTGTCATGTTCTACAGTTTAGAATAATATTTTTAAATTGCATTCAACTCCCTATTTCACAGTTTATTGGGCCTTACTGTACTAGCAATAATTGTCCTTAAAAATATACAATTTTGCCAATTCTTAATTTATGTGTCACCTCTTTATTTGTTCTACTCCAAATAAAAATGATCTTGATGGTGTTTGCTACTATTGTCCAATGTCTCCTAAATTATTTGATTTTGGAAATCCACTATAAACGCAAATAGAAACTGTTGCACAATTTTTAGTTTTACAATGTACGAAGAAAAAATGGCATCTTTTTAAAACTAACGTACTGAAAGTTAAAAGAATTGAGCCTTTTCCACAAACTCGAATTTTTGGATTAAAAAATCTAAGGTCAAAGACTTTGGGTTGCAAAGATATAAGGATTAGAAAATCAAATGTTGGGGCAAAGAATCAATTAATTTTCTCTGAGAAAAAGAGGCGCGAAGCACCCTTATTCCTTACCTTGCCATATATTTCCTCATCAGTGTTGTATCAACATTTGAGGTTTTGAATAGAGTTGCCAACCCATCATTCATCTTTAACCAATTATGTTTCAGCGCCTGGACAGTTCAAAATAAAAAACTGTTGCAAACATAGATAGTTAAAGTCCAACTATTATATCGTATAGTGACCCTCCATTTATAGACCGGTGTACATGACTCACATTCTAAATGAATAAGACTTCTTCTTGAAAATCGATTAATACAATGTGGGAACCCTAGAGTGAGACCCATTAAACATTGTACTAGGAAGACGATATTCAAGCAATTTATGCTTATTTTATTTGTTATAAACTTATAAGACAAAAATCTTTATTGGTGTAGCTTAAAAATCAATTAATCAAATTTTTAATACTTATTGGTCATTTTGACAACATTCTGTTACATGAAAGAAGTAATTGAATGGATTTGCAAAAAATAGCGCCAATAAGCAAAAACATGGCTTTATCTGATAACTACATGCTTAAATTGTAAAGTTTTTAAAAGCCTAACTTGAGTAAAAAGGTAGTATCCTTATTTCTCAGTGTTGTGGGTCTGTCTGTACAGACATAGAAAATATTTTGATTATTTAGGTTTTTCCAGAAAATTGCTCAAAATTTATTTTTGTCATTTTGCTAAACTGCTTCAAAACAGATTCCTGCCAGTAACTCAAGAGGCATAGGATTAAATCTGTAGTTGTGGGGGGGGGGGGTCCAAAAATCGTATACTAGGACAGAGCCCAAAGGTCGTGCATTGCAAATTATTAATGTAGAGAGAGTACTGAGGGAGGTGGGACAGACATTTTTTCAGGTCACTAATTAAAAATCTTACAAATCTTATGAATTTGTACAAACCTTATTTGATCCCCCTAGTTCTCTTGATAGACCTAGATCTATTAGTTTAATTTGAAGGTTTCCAACTTCACTGCTGGCAAACATTATATTGTTGGGTTTAATGTCCAGATGTACCAACCGCTTCTTATGCATGAAATCTAAAGGGTGGCACTTTAAAGGGATTGTCGACGAAATCTTAGGTGACCCCCCTAGCATGTCTGATTCACAAAATTACCCTTTAAATTGTGATATGAGTAGTATTGAGGAAGAAAATGTCGATTATCAATATAAAAAGCTTGAATTTTAAAGATCGTTAAATTTCTCTGAAAATCCGCCGCATGTCACTTTTATAGGGAAACTATCAATATTTAGGAAGACAAACTATTATATCCGTTTTTCCTCCAGACAAAGGAATAAAGGGAATCCTTGTGAAATGAAGATGGAGGGTCACTTGAAATTACGCGTACAGTCCCTTTAGATATGGGAATTAAGTTATTATCTTCAAAAAATGTTTTTAACAAGTTTTTACCTTCAAGTTGACGGAGATAAAAATATATAATCCCGGTTTAAATTCATACAATAATCTCAGAGATATATACTTTTCCTATCGCATTAAAAGAAATGAAAATATCCGGTATATTGTTAAAATTGTTATAGTTATCGATTATTTTTCTTTAAATTCTTTTATAGTTGATATTTCATAATATTTTGCATTTGTTTCATATACAATGCACTTAAAACGCCCATTATAGTTTGTCCACAAGGTGTCTCTGCTCTCGATGCTCTTAATGATTCCACAAGGCAGAGACACCTAGCGGAAAAAATCGTTGTTTTAAGTGCATTGTATAAAAAACAAATAAAAATATTATGAAATATCAATTGTATATGAATGCGTCGAAAAATAATCTATGATTGTAGATTTTCATATCTAAATGATTTGTTTGATATTAAATTGATCTTTTTACGATCAGAGTCGTCTGTTGCAACTTTCTCAATTTGTATGGACGTTACGTGATCAATACGGTACAAGTCGTTTTTAACAATTTTCTCCTTATAGACGCAACAGATAGAAGTAAGATTAGTAGCAATCAAAAGCGATTATTTTTCGCGGTAAGCCAAAACCCCCTTTCAGTTTTTGCGAACACTTCCTTTAAAGATGTGCACACTCTGACACAAAAACTTTTTTGTTGTTATTCAATTTGCATGTGTTTTGGGACCCCCATATGTATTCCTGAAAACACAAAATGAAAGGTATTATGATTTAATAACAAAAATTAAACAAAAAGTTCAATAGATTTGCGGAAAGGAAATAATTACTCTCCACTTAATCTTTCTTTCTAATTCTCTTGTTCAACATTGCCACTAACTAAGATTTCCTAATCCTCAAATCTTTTCAACCCAATTTTGTAGACCTATAAATATTCAAACTATGATTTCTAATGAATCAAATGACCTAATTTTGAAATATTATCCTTTCAGATTGCAAAGATATAGGGATTAGACAATTTGAGTTTGTGGCAAAGACTTTATAATAAAGATAAAACATGATAAAGACTTTATAATAAAGATAAAACATGATAAAGACTTTATAATAAAGATAAACCATGATAAAGACTTTATAATAAAGATAAAACATGATCAAGACTTTATAATAAAGATAAAACATGATAAAGACTTTATAATAAAGATAAACCATGATAAAGACTTTATAATAAAGATAAAACATGATCAAGACTTTATAATAAAGATAAAACATGATAAAGACTTTATAATAAAGATAAAACATGATAAAGACTTTATAATAAAGATAAAACATGATAAAGACTTTATAATAAAGATAAAACATGACAAAGACTTTATAATAAAGCTAAAACATGATAAAGACTTTATAATGAAGATAAAACATGATCAAGACTTTATAATAAAGATAAAACATGATAAAGACTTTATAATACAGATAAAACATGATAAAGACTTTATAATAAAGACAAAACATAATAAAGAATTATTAACCTAAAGCGTTTAAGATCTGGGAAGCAAAAACTTTACACTTGTTCTCTGTGAGACTGAAACTACAACGAAATTTAATGAATTTGAGCTAGGTTGCTGAACTATAACCTACAGCCGGTTCAAATCCTGAATCACCGATTCAAAGTAAAAGATTCAGGAGTATTTGAATAGGTGGTTTAGGATTTGAACCATCTGTAGTTAGTTCAGCGACCTCATTGATTCATTAATTTCTGTTCCTGGATTGAGATAGAACTCTGAATAAATCAGCTCCGGGTAAATATTCCGTCACTAAAATCAATTTTGTCAAAGGGTTAAAGGGAGTGTCTTTGTAATTGTAAGTTGCAATCCATAAAAAAGGGAACGATATCCTTTAAATCTTTATCTGATCAATAATGTGTAAGATATAGTCGTTTTTCTAATAATATACTCCCATTGTGAGTGCAGAAGAAATGTGCAAGTCACTTTTTAGAATAAATTTTAATCCATTGTTGATCAGACAAAGCTTTCAAGGGTACCGTTGTGAATCAGGCTTGTAACCAATCAGTAAACGAAGAGATGTTTTGACAGTGAAGCCCATAAAACGTTGACAGAGGAAGACTAATTTTAGCTTCATGATTTAAAAAATTGAATAAACACGAAACGTACAGCAATTGTAAAATGTGCACATTTTAAATTTTAAATTACATCAAATACACATAAGATTGATTTAATGTCGTTATCCTAATCTACAGTAGTATAATGAGTCTCTCTTTAGATCCTAAAAAGAGAAAAGAGAAAATTTTTGCAAAAAACGATCATTTAAAACTACTATTTTCATTCGGGTTCGGTTCGGGGTTTATCTTCTCTAGAAAGGATTAAGCAATAATGTTTAAATTAAACGATTTAAAATTTGTTTAAAATTCTCAGTATTTTGTGGAACCTTCTAAAAGTACAAAAAAAACTACTCGTTACTCAAAAAAAAATTAAGCAATTTATTGTCTAGAGAGCACAATTTCGGAACAAAGAGAGGAATAAAATGTTTTGTTTTAAACCCATTGATCAATTGTAGACATTTTGAAAAACCGATAATTTAATGAAGTTTAACTTGTCAAAATCTGCACATCCTGGAAACTATAATGATGTTTATCTGATAGAATTCCAATACTTTATCGAGTTTTTGTCCAGAATTGCATTCTGACTTTGAAAGCGAATTATGCATTTTTAAAAGTGGAGAAATATCGTAAAATAGAGAAAAGATTTTTTTCCGAGGCAATTTCATTTGGAATTAATTTGAATCACAATCAGAGTTTCTAAAGCGTAATTTCAAGTGACCCACCATGTAAAGATTCATTCACAATGGTGCCATTTAATCAAGTATGAGGAGGATATTGTCGTTTTTCTCGGTGGAAAAGTGTTAAACTCGAATAACTCCGAAAAATACTTTCGTATCCAGAGAGCAAAATAGAAAATAATAATAATTCGAGCTTCAAGAATGGTGAAACAAAATTCTAAAAATTTAAATGGCAATGCCATCTTCGTATGGAAGGCCACCTAAAATGACGCTTTAAATGGTTCAATTAATTTGATAAAATTCCTATGATGCTTTCACTTCCACCTTCGTAAAAATCCTAAAAAATACATTCATCAAAAACATTCCAAAGACATTTAATGAAAATTGAAAACCAAAGTATGTCTATACTAAAGGTTGGAAGGGGGGGGGATTCACTTTACTAAAGGTAGGGGGGGGGGGGATACACTGTACTAAAGGTAGGGGGGGATACACTTTACTGTGAGTATTGTTTTAATAAAACTAGTCTTTTGTGCAGTACACTACTATAGACAAGACATTTCCCAAAAGTACACAGTACATACCTTGATGAAACTGAAACCAGCTTTTCGTAAAGTTCAAGAGCTTTATTTTGAAAAAGAACTACTAAGGTTAAAATAATTCATGTTGAAATAAATCAAAATAGTGATCTTGCAGGGAATTTGATATTCATTTAATAAGTTAGATGCCCTGTGCACAATGTAAAAGTAAAGTTGTGGATTAATGTAACAGTGATAAGAATGAAAACTATCAGAACTATCCCTTTTTAAAGGGCACTGTTGTGCATGAAGGGTATAGGAGGGTCACTTTTACGCCGACAGTACCTTTAATTAACAATTGTTTACCTGGAACTGAACTATGTGAGGACACCCAATAGATTTGTGTAGAAGAGCTACCTCTGTCTAAACAATAAACAAAATGACCTTTAATAATTTTTATTTATTTGACGGATATACAGTGATAGTGACATAGGAAGACGACTTTTAGAGTAAAGTTATGACTTAAAAAGATCAATGAGCATGGGAAACATCAATTGTGCAGTGTATTAGGACCCATTTCACTTAATAAGTGATGTAATTTAAGTAACTAGTTAAACTATTTGCTTTGTAACACCGTCAAATACACTTAAGATTTGCTATAAAGTCGTCTTCCCTTTTTTCGAGTTTTCTTGTTATCACTGTATATTACCCATCTCGATTTATTTTGATTTTGAAAATATAGCACTGGAACATGATGAATTTTGGAAGATTTTTACAAAACTTTGTTCCGTAACTTCATTGTTATTAGAATATACTTGAAATACAGGGTTATACATAACGAATGAGACTTCAGAGTCGACTTTATTCCGTTGCATATCTTTACTTTAACCTGTAGTATAGTAGGAACCAGACAACTGTGGAATAGGAAGAGGACCTTTTACACGGTGCATGGTCCGAGCCGGTACAACATGTACTTTATATGCATTTAGTCGTACCGTCCAGTCTGGACTATCCAGTGTAGAGTCGGCGCAGCACGTTTTATGCAACAAACATCTAGCCTGGCAAGATTACAGTGAGACTCAAGTTATGATTTTAAATAGTAAAATAACATTCCAGTTAATTTCGTGTACCGTGCCAAATTTCGACTAGCCAGGGCAAGCAGTACAGTACAAATACAGACTATACGAGGCAAAACGTGACTGCACGCCAAATGAGTGATCCCCTTCTAGTGAAATGTATGTACAGTGTACACAGACTCATTTCACTTAATAAGTTTAGTTTCCAGCTAATTTAAAGTTTTTTTCTGCTTTATGAAAACATAAAACCAAAAGAATGCTTGAAGATCGTCTTCCTATTCCACAGTTGTATGGACTCTTCTGTACTTTGTGTGTAACATTGTTGTGTATCAAGTTAGTAACCGCGTTTGGTTCTATAATACATTTTCTTATTTATTGTAGGCTTGATCCTCGTCTCTTGTTTTGATGAGAAAGAATACAACATTGGCCTATATGGGGAATTAAAAAAAATGATAAAAAAATCTTATTTACCCTGGCATTGAATTTTTCCTCTGTATCTTTTGTTCTCTGGTATTTAGCTGCGTAGAATTTAGAAGGGTTCTACAAGAAACATACAATACTTTCGTCTGATGCCCAGAATCCCATAAAGCTTGATCTCAAGATCTACGGTGGATACTTTAGAATATTACGCGAGAACCTGCTTGATATGTTGATTATGGATATTAACAATTTCTCCGTTCTCCCATTGGTTCAACGCTAAATTCTCTTGAATCTGATTGGCTGTTCAAGGGATATCTAATAAAGATTAAACTAATCTGCAGATTAATAAAAGATCATGCTCGATATCACCAATAAATTCAAGAGTTTCCACCACAGAAGATAAAAGCAAAAATAATCGTTTTTTAACGAGCTAGTGAAAACAAGTCAGAAATCATAATTACTTTTTTTCCATAGTTCAATAAAAAAAACTTTATAAACAAATTGACAGTTTTAAAATATGTCAATCCTTTCAGATTTGACAAAATCTGTCTACAACATAAATCTGAATACAACATATTTAGAAAAAAAAACATTCTTAAAAAGATTGTCCTTCATCAAAATTATTTTTTGGTTTATAGTTTTATGTTTAACGGGTTAAAGTGATTATAGTTGTAATTCTCAGTGACCATCCATGTCAAAAGAGGGTCATGTCCTATTTACCCTCAAAATCGTTAATCTGAACAATTATTGGAAGATACGTCGCTTTTCAAGCTTAGTAAAAAATACTTTCTCCATTGCTTCTAGAGCCAGAAATGTGCAAGTCGCTTTCGCTGAGAAGCAAAAATAAAATTAATTCGATTTTAGAAACCGAAACAAGGATATTTAATTTATACTTTATCACTCAAAGTTTTATCAATGGAGGGTCGCTTGAATTTTTGTTTACAATCCCTTTAATCATTTGCGACATTTTAATTTTTGAATTTGGAGTCCCTACTACCCAAATATCGTAAACAATCCCATTAACCTTGATTGCTGTGACAAGATAAACAAAAGCAAATCCACCAGTTCCCAACTTCCTGGGTCAACATTCAATCAATCAATTCATCAATCAACTAACAAGTCAATCAATCAATGAATCCATCATTCATTGGTCCAATCAATTCATCAATCAACTAACAAGTCAATCAATCAATGAATCCATCATTCATTGGTTCAATCAATTCATCAATCAACTAACAAGTCATTCAATCAATGAATCCATCATTCATTGGTTCATTCAATGGATCAATCAATCGGTCAATCAATCGATAAAATCAATCGATCAATCAATCGATCAACCAATAAATCAATTGATAAATCAAACGATCAATGAATCGATCAATCTCAACCATTTTAGAATAAAAATGTGAAATTATATCGAAAACTAGCTAAAAAAGAAAAATATTGAAAAAATATTCGATTCTTTTTTTAGCCTATGTCACCCTCAGGCTACACATGAGTGTCCACAAAAAATTTCAGCTCATTCGGTACAGATGTTTAACTGGCTATAGGGATCACATAGTTACTGTGGGTGAAAAGTTCGTTAACGATCATTAACGATCGTTAACGAAGGTTTGTCATTAAATGCTATTAACCAATGGTCGTCATTATAATGATCGGTAACAATTTTTAATGATCGTAAAAAATTAAAAAAGTCAATTCTTCGTTTTTTATCCTTAACAAATGGTCTTTTTAAAAATCGATAGTTTACAAAACAATCTTTTAGTTTTTTTGGGGGGTTTCTTCGTCGTTTTAAAAACAAAACGATCGTTTTTCAAGAAAGTGAAAACGATCCATCCTTTACTTTATGAATAAGTTGTTTAAAATTATGCAAATTTATTTTTCCTTACAAAAAGTCTTAAAAATAAAGATAAAAAATGTCAAAAACAAAAATTGCGCGCATCTATATTTATTATTCAATTCTTGTGTTCATCCTAAAAAGTTAAACTAAAATCTTTGTCAACAAAGAAAGTACAATCAAACGAAGTTTCACCGTGAAAACAAAGATTTAATGTGTTAAATTGAATAACCTGCCTTGGCTTAGTATCAAGCTAGCAGGCAGTAAAAGAACAAGTATCTCAGTACAGGACTAGTTACTTGTTTTAACTGATTGATTTATTCCTGATGAGTTTGTAATCGTTTTTGAGCTGATTTACAGGTTTAGATTCTACAGTCACCATTTTCAATTATTCTAGATTTTTAAGAGTTCATTCTTTAGTTTATCTTTTTTATAAAATGTTCATAAACCTCCTCCTACTCCTACTCCTACTCCTACTCCTACTCAAACGTGAAGAGGAACGTGAAGAGGAACGTGAAGAGGAACGTGAAGAGGAACGTGAAGAGGAAATACATTATGTCCCAAAGTTATTCGTTTCCATACTTTTAACAGCATATGGTGTCTCAAGAAACCAAAACATAATTTTTTCTTTGTCGCTCTGATTAAATTAACATAAAATTCATTAGCAGATTATACGAACATAGAAACACTAAAAATCCCTTTACATTATCATGAACATAATATCTATGTTATAACCTGAAAATCATTATCACAAAATAATTTAAATAAATAAAAACAACATGAGCAATTAACAATAACATGGATATTTTTCATGAACATAAAAATCATTTAACAAATCATGGAATTTGTAAAAATACATCAACAGTCAAAAATAAGAAGTTTCGAAAATTTCGTGAACGTTTTCTTTTGTTAAAACATGGCCCAAAGCATGTTGTATCTCTTGAAAAATCCAGCTATCCAAACTCTGACTCGTCATAAAGTCGTCTTCGACAAAATTTCTATTTGTTGCGCATTTTCTAAAGTAGATAAATTAACAGCGTAATAAAAGCAGTGAGTTACTAGTTAGCTAAGCTAGGTGAAACTCTTAACATATTGGAATATATTGTCTTTTCTCAATGGGATTGTCCCAATAATTGTAAATTACCCTTCAAAGAGTTTAAAACACGATTCACAACAGTAACTGTTAAAAATCCGCCAGAGAAGTGATAGGTAAAAGAGTACACAGATGTCGTCTTCCATTTTCTAAAGTTTTGTTAACAACTCTTGTTTGTAAAAGATAGAGCAAAGGCGAAAGCGATAAAAGTTATGACTGCTGTAAAAAAATAAGAAATTAGCCGTGTTGCTGGATTTTTCACATTCAAGCATCAAATAAAAAGATTGCAATTTGCAATCATAATATTAGGGTTTCCACGAAATGGCTAAATCTTTTGCGCAAAATTTGCGCTATTTTCGCGCAAATTTTTTTTTTGCGAACTTTTGCGCTATTTTTGCGCATGAAACGCAATGAGTTTTGCGCGGTTTTGCGCTATTTTTTTTGCGCAATTTGCGCAAAACCGGAAATAATTTTTGCGAAAGTTGCGCATGAAACGAAATTTTAGTTTTGCGCAATTTTTTTTGCGCAATTTGCGCAAAACCGCAAGTTTTATGCAAAATGTAACTTTTTAGGCACATTGTCAAAAATTGATATTCTAAGCTTAGAATTAAACAACTGAAGATTTATTCCATACATAAAAAAATATTAACATACGAGAATGATAACGATTATACTACACTCAATTGGTTGCTTCCAGTAACAAAAAGTTTAAATTAAGGGACCAAAATTAATAAAATAGAAATTAGAGAGTGTGAAACTTGGCAATATTTTAATCCTATTAAATAATTTCAAGTGACCCTTAAAAAAGCTTTGCCTAATCAAGTATGAATTATGTTCTTAAATTTTTTTAATCAAATTTCTGAAATCTTTTTTATCTCATATAAAAATGCAAGAAAGTAACCAATGCCTGAAGAATCCACTTTTAGGAAATATGCATGTCCGAAACTAAAATTGTCGAGACTTTTACTGGACAATCTGTTTCGGATTTTGGAACGAAATTGCGGAATTGCGCAAATCTTGCGTTTCGCAAAAGCGGAATAGGGCAATTTTGCGCGAAATGACTTTTGCGAATGATTGCGCAAATTGTTGTTTTTTCTCGCAAAACTGATGCGCAAAGAAAGAAAAATTTTGCGTTTCGTTCCGCAAAAATTGCGCAAAAGTTTTGCGAATGGAAACCCTACATAATATATATAGCCTCTGCATGTTTTTTATTAATAAACAACCTTGGGATACCAGTAAAAAAATACTCAATAAAATCCATAATTTCACAAGTTCTTCCAATGAATGAAATCTTTTTACTTTCAGAAACATATAGATTTATTAAAATATCAGATAAAACACTATATATATATATGCTTTCAAGATTTAGGTTTTTTATTGTTCACAATAACCCTGAGACAGAAGCCCACAGGAGTCACGCGCATGCCGCGTTGAATTACAAGACAGAGAGAGAAAGAGCATGCGAGTAACTCCTTTAGGCTTACGTCTCATCGTTATTATTGTCAACGAAAATCCCCTAGATCTTGAAGACTTTACATCTATAGTGTTCGATATCTGTAAAGATCGGTGATGATGGACCAAACCTCTGTAGAGTAAAGAAAAGTAGTTCTACATTCATTAAAAATATATTTCGGTCTGGATTGACCCTCGTCAGTTCTTGAGATTGTTTCTGTCAGGAAGATTAACAAAGAAATTCGATATGTGTATTAAATATTGATCTACGTTTAGTAAGATGTTAGATGAAAGTCTGGAAAAAGATGAAATAAACACCTCTAAATCAGTCCAAGGATCAAGATTAGAGGTATATTTCTAATAGATGCAGGGTAACCCACATGTCAATATGAGACTTTAAAGAATACCTGAAATAAAAACACATTATAGCATAATACACAACAACAACCAAAAAACCAATAAAATTCAAAAATATTTTAATCATTTATTAAGAATTAAATGTACAGCACACTCTCGGTTATCTCCGATTTCAGTTGTCTCTTTGGTTTCTAAAGCAAATCAAAGCATAATTTGTCTTTTTGTTCATTCATCATTCAGAAGGAACGTAAACATGTCCCGGGGGGGTGGGAGGACGTCCAGGCACAAAATAAATGTTCTTCCCTGCCCCCTAAACAAACAAACAAATATCTTATCTTATAATAACATATAATTTTATTCATAATAATGTAATTTAATGACTTCTCACTTGTACAATGTACATATTATACCTTTAAAGTATTACCTCCCCCCCCCCAAACAAAAAAAATTATACTTAATAAATTTCTTTTATAAACCTGATGGATTTAAAAATTATTCTCTTGTCTTTAATAAAATCTACTTCAATTTATTTGAAAACTTACTTCAACCTTGAGTTCGTAATATTTTAAAAGTTAATTATGTCGTCTTTACAGTCTCATCCTTTGTGGGTAGCATTGTACATAGATTTTCCATTAATTTCATAATTCAAACACTAATTTTCAAATATATCTTATTCAAATTCAAATTTAGATCCCTTTAAAGTTTAAAGACGACATTTCATTAGAAAACTACAGTTTGTTTTTGCTTGCATTTCCCCCGGACCCGGGGGTTTGATCTCGGTTAAACCTTTTCAGCTAGGGCTTCCCCGAATATGTAATTAAACATTGTTGAAATATGCTTTAACATAATATATCCAAATTACAATCTTCATGGTTATTTACATTATAAGTTTCAACCCCAGTGAGGGAGGGAGTCCAGAGTTCCTCAAATAGTAATCACCGCCACCCAAATCTGTTTTGCGGCAAGCGCGCTCCTCAATTGGTAATCTCCACCACCTCAAATAGTAATCACCCCAAAAAAGCATAAAATTAAATCGTTTATTTCTTAGAAATAAGACCATATTGACCTCTTTTAAAGACCAAAAAAATCTGAAAATAATTTGAAAATTTAGTTTAAGTCAATACATAACCCCGATAGATGTCGAAAATTGTGTTAAAAGTGCATTAAATTCAAATCACATAAAACAAAATTTTACGGTGATTACTATTTGAGGTGGTGGAGATTACCAATTGAGGAGCGCGCTTGCCGCGAAACAGATTTGGGTGGCGGTGATTACTATTTGAGGAACTCTGGACTCCCTCCCTCCCCCAGTCAAGGGGACTTCAAATTAAAAATTTAAAAATCAGAAAATAAAGAAAAAATAAAACTGCACCGATTTCACTAAAAGATAAACACTTTAATACAGAATTATTGATACTATGATTTATAATTTTGTCAGACACAATAGGTAGTCAAACAATTTTATCAATTCTAGCTCATGGACCTTGCCTACGTCAGAACCCGGTACAGGACATAGAGCATACGAGTACGACATAGATATTAGATCCTAGAATTGTCTTGGTATAAGGTCTGTTGCTGGAGAGTTACGCATCATTGTGATTGGTGTTTCAGTCAATTCTCAACCAATAGTGTTTAACACTATTTAGTCAGACCGTTGAGACGGTACCAATCTTCCCCGAACCGTATCGACCTTTCATTCCTGCTCTCAAGCTTCACTGCGCTATACCTTAAGAACCTTATTGACTATCTTGCATAACACTGAGAGTGTTCACATTCTGCGTTGCCACCTATTGTACTTGATAATCTATTTGCGCCAACCTATTTGCACCAGCTATAGTTTTGCCTACAGATAGGCCAACTGTGTTTTCCCTTGCCAGAATATGCAATTGCAAATAAGATGAAGCAAATGAATAGAGCTACGCTGTATCGGGATGTTACTACGTTGTGAAGCAGTATTACTACGGAAATGTTTAGACTATTTCCCCCAGCTGTCACTTGGTATCAGTTCAATTTCTAACCGCAAGAGATCTCTTCTTCTTGAATTATTTTAATGTTTACAAATTAAAAACTTAATTCGATACAATCATATAATTTAATATAAATTTTGATATAAACAATTTCTTAGGATGAAAAAAAAAATGTTAGAAAAGTTCTTAAATTCAAATGATAATTCAAAAATTTGCTACGTAAATCATAAGACTATTTACGACTGAGTAGCACTCTCTATCAACGCCAAAAGTTCTACTAATACTTTTTCTTCCTCTCTATGTGAGATTATCATGATGACCAATTACCTATGATGTCATCTCTTTAAGATCTCAACTGTTTGATGTTGAAAGTCTAATGGTCATTCTTTCACAGTAAAATCCTCATAAGACGCCATTCGAATATGTAGATTCTTTGACACTGGTACAGTAATGGAAGTTATGCTTAATTGTTGTCAATTTAAGAATAATGAAATCGATAAGATAAATGAATGGTTCAATGCGAAATTTTCAACAGAGTATAGTTCTGATCAGATTTCATATTGCAATATTACTATGCTGAGTATATAGTATTGGTACTATATGGCTTGAATCTCTGATAGGATTATGAATAGTAATAATTCTATGGCACTGAATGGGACCATCACTACTCGGCGTAGAAAGTGTGCGAATGCGTCCGCTCCCATGGCACTGGCACTATGATCTGTAGTTAATTTAAAATCAGTGCAGGCAGGGCAGTAGAAAGTAACAAACTAGGACCGTAAGATCGGGTCAGCTCAGATTTAAATGTTCATGAGTTGTGTGTGCATTGTTTAATCTTTTAATTAAAGATAAAGCTAAAAATGTTTTACTTGTAACGATTAATATTACTAAGGGTTTGAAAATGTTTACAGAATATTTTCAAAGTTTCAGTAATTAATTTTAAAAAAATCCTTCAGCTTTTTTTTAATAAAAGATTAATAAAGACACCATTCATTCCACATTTTACCTTTACTTTACTTTACTTTACTTCATTCCACATTTTACTTTACAGTTACATTTTACAGTTACTTTGTTATAACTGTAGAATATGCACAAATACCTCTCACCTCTCTTACAGGCTCAGCCAAAGAAGAATAAAAAAGAAAGAAAAAAGAAAAACAAACAAGAAAAGAAACCGATCCTTCCTGAAAAGGGATGGCCAAATGTATTTTTAGCATTTCAGGTAATCAAAGAGCGTCAAAAAATTGTCCATTTATAGTAAATATTAAAATCTACAATAATGTACACAAATATTTTCTTTACAATCGTTAAAAAGAATATTCTTTTCAGATAAGGAATCCTGAAATTCACAAGGAAATAACAAAACTGAATTTTATTTATAGCAATGCATATATTATATACCCCACTTTCCGTGTAAATTTTTAAATTGCTGATATTATTCTGACAGCCCGTCATTATTCATTATGATTTTTTTTTACAAAAGTTGCACAAATTGCATTTTTCTGACAGGTAGTTATAAAATCGAATTAAAAATGTTTGATTTTTTTCTGTTTAAAAAAAAATACATTTTTCAAAAAAAAATTTTCAACTCATGATTTTTTGTTCATTTGCGCAGAAGCTTATTAATATTCAGTACTCTGCTGTAAACAAAAATAAGGTGAAATGTGAAAATTGTAAATTTTGTCATTGCTTTAGAGCTTAATCTTTTATTTCATGATCATCTTTAATTTATAAAGATATATTTAACCTGTTGGTTATGAACTTCATTTCTATCCGTCCATGCTGATAAAGAAAGAATTTCTTACAGTTAGAAATTACCGACAATAATCAACAGTACAGTGAGAAGCGTAAAACTGTAGATTAGGAAGACGACATTAAAGTAATAATTAAATGTATTTGATGTTGTTATAACAATCAATTAGTTTTTCTATAGTAACTTATTAAATCACTTTTTTAGTTAAAATGTTTCAGTTTACACAGTTGTTGTCTCTCATATTCATTCATTCATTCATTCATTGGACTATTTAATGTCATAATTTGAGTCTAAAAGTCGTCTTCCTATTTCAGTGATTTAAGGTTCCTTCTGTACCATTCATGATGATCGGTAATTCATTTTACAAACTTATTCCCAAACATATACACTGTAAAACTTTTTATTGTATATTTTATTCAATATTTGCACATCAATATAATATTAAATAAATTTTATCTGAATTTTGAATAATTTTGTTTACCAAATCGAATTCAATTGGATAGGAATATTCCTATTTATTGAATATTTTATTCAAAACTTCGGAATAGAATATGTAAATAACCACGCGTTGACATTGTGACTTGTGAGTGATTTTTATACAACCGTATTGAATATATTATTCAAAATTTAAGAATACCTCGGGTCGTACGGTGGTGGTGCTTTAACATAAAGGCAAAATCTGGAAACAAGCTATTACGTAATATTGAATAAAAACTAATTATAATAAGTTAATAGTAGGTTCTTTTTAATACTTTTCGCTAGAATTATTAGATTACAGATAAAAAACTCATACATAGCAAAAAAAATAATGTAAACAAATCTCAAAGATATCAAATCAATCCTAAAACAAAAGTTTTTATTTTAGAATTTGATGATTGGATACGAGTCGATGAAAAAAGCTCACGTGACCCTGTTTGTTGCATACGTCGAAGAGGATAAAATGGAACAGGTCTAATTTAAAATCTTTGTCTGATCAAGCCATGCATAAGATGACCAACAGATAAAGGTTTCAAGGGTACCATTGTAAATCGAACTTGAAGTGTAGGGAAGAATAAAACTACAACTACGACATTTGAATAATTAGCTTTTATTTAAACATACTGCTAATTAACATTATACAATGGTCACTGAAAACTGTGAAATTCTCTTTTCTATGTGTTTTTCTTTAAATACTTAACAACAGTTTATACTTAAATATTATTTTAATATTTAATTGTCAATTTTGATTTGGTTATTCTGCAGTTGTTTAAAGCACAGTTTTAGAAATACATTTCAGCTAAAAGTTACTAAAATTTTTTTTTCTCATTTTGTTCTCAAAAGAAAGATTGAAGACGACAATTCTACTTTGTTCTGTGAATAAAAAAACAAACTAAATTTTCACATTAAAAAGAAAAAAAATTTCAAAATCTACATTTTTTGTTTAGTTTAAGGGAATTTTGGAAGAATATTTCAACGGCAACCTGAAAAACAGATTTACCGAAGAACCCTTTACAATCAGTTTTCAAGGACTTGGACATTTCAAGGACAAGGTCGTCTTTGGTCAGGTACTATACAGTGGTTCTAGTAAATATGTACATTGTTGGATTATAATTTTGAAATACACCAGTCGATATACAGGGTTACATACATAGGATGAGACTTCAGCGACGACTGTACGGAATTTGTTTAGTCCCTTTTTTATTTCCCTCCAAGACTGGCTTTTTGGCTTTGCTGAGCTTAATCATTTATAAAACGTTAGAAATACTAAATTAAGGGTATTTAGAAACCAAACATTAACCTTCAAATCGTCTCAGTGTAAGTGTTTTGGGTCGTTTTTACAGTCTCATCCTTAAAAGCATAATCCTTTTAAGAGTAAAACTTAAGATTTAATTTGGTCTACTTTTTGATCCAGTTTATTCTGGTGACCACTGCATCAAATTCTGACTTTTTTAGCCTGTAACGGGAGTTGAAACTATTCAAAGAATAGCGGAGGAATTGAAGGGTAAAATTTTCTGTTATTATTTTTATAAATTTTGTTGTTAATAACATTTTTTTAATTCGTTTTTTTTACAAAATTAAAAGACATTAGTAAATACTTTTAGATTTTGACCATGCACCATTCTTTGATTTTAGATTGAAAAGCCACGGAAAGGGCTTGTAGACCTAATTAAAAGTTACACTTAATTTGTAGAGTTGCAAGTCCAATGTACAACGGTACCCTTAAAACAATCAAGGTTGACGTAGATATTCTTGGTTTTCTAGCGGAGAATTGAGTGCTGGGAAACTCGAATGTACACTGAGCTAAACTTGTGTGTTGGATACTCAAAATCCAGATTGCTTGATCTCGATACTCATGGTGGACACTTTTAATTTGAGGACTAATGTTTAACCTCATATATTTAAGTTCTTCCTCCCCTGATCAAAACTCCCTTCAACCCTTGCTGGATACGATTAGCATGCAAGATATCGAAATTTGATTAAATTAATCTACAGATTAACAAAAGATCGAGTTCAAGTAGTGATCTCGATATCCACAATACAAAAGTTCCCAGCTCTGGTTTAACTATTTTCTATAAAATAAAAGCTCTTCGCTGTTCCAAATTGGCTAACATTTTTTGAGGGCCAAAAAATTCAATTTTTTAATATATCTTGTTTTCTTCAAATATTTAAAAATAAATTTTAAGTGTTTTTACAATTCCACGGGCAACTCCGGGCACTTCAGTTAGTTTTCAATAAAGCTGTATTTTCTGTAGATCACTTGACAAAAGCTGGAATAGATGATAAAGCTGTATTTTCTGTAGATTACTTGATAAAAGCTAGAATAGATGTGAAAAAAGACGATCATCCTGTAAACCCTCATCTTACAATATTCAAGGTAGGGTTTCAAAATTCTCGATACGTTTTTTTTGCAAAATTTCGATTAATTTTGAAAATTTCATTTTCATATGATTACAAAATAATTGCAGAATAATTTCTTGAAATTTCTTAAATTAAAATGAATATCTGAATTTAATATTTTTTTTTTTGAAAACCAAAATATTTCGACATATGACAAATGAAATAAGTATGTAGAACAAATATCTGATGTAGCAAACAAACAAACTAATGTTGCATTTTTAACTTAATTTTTGAAAATTGTAAACAGATTTATTTTGTTTTATTCAAACTTATTTCATGAAATTTCTGGCCATGATAAACATGATGTTTTTAAGTGCAAGAAGCATTTACGGAATATTCCTCTTGAACTTTTTGAAGAATATAAAGGTAAAAAAGATAAAGTAATTGTAAAAAAAAAATCTTAAAAAGTTTTGTATATTTTGAAGTAAAGAAATGGTTTTTTTTTAAGATATTGATTAACTGTTTAGAAATTTTAATAAATTGATCTAATTTCATGAAATTTTATATAACGTTAAATTGAATAATAAATAAATTGTAAATTTGAATATTTCATCTTTATTAATCGTATTTTAAGTTTCAAGTTGCCAAAGGAATTGAGTTTTGCCCCAAGCTCAAATTTTCTAGTTTATGTATCTTTGCAACCTGCATTGTCGTAGACCATCGATATTTTAAACTACAATTTTGTTAGAATAAATAATCTAAGTTTGGAATATCAAAGGTTTACACCATCTGGTTGTAAAGATATAGGATTAGAAAATGTAAGTTTGTGGCTAAGACTGAATTCCTTTAACCCTATCCCTGTTGGGGTACTTGAATACCTCTAACTCCCATGTTTGATGTCCAAATATGACAAATGATACATCATTGAAAAGCTCTTATGCTCTACTTTTAGAATCTGCCAAACAATTTTCAAGTTAGCACAAATTTGCTAAATCCAGCTATAAAGTTTAAATGTTTGCAAAAAATGTCCAAAAAATGATAAAATATACATTTTCAAAAAGCCCTTGACAATGCCATTTCAAACATGCCAAAATTCCTGCACAATTTAAAATAACCTAATGTGTAATTAAGAAAAACTATAAATGTGCAAATTTCGTTTGACGGGTTGTTGGCAAATAATTTGCCAAAGTTTCTTTGCAAAAATTATGCAATCCGTTTTTTTATGTTACAGGCTTTCCTAAAAGCTAAAATTATTAAAATCTGACAACAGAAAGTGGGTCAAAACAAAAATTCAGTTTGTTACAGGAAAAATTAATCATTCAGGCACAGTGCCTCAGAACTCAGGCAGTTAGTATTAAAGACCGATTTTAGACCTATAATGAAGGCTAGGGGTATTTAGGAAACTAGCCTTAGAGGGCGCTTCGCGCCCATCTTCTAAATTAATTGTGAACATGTTCTCTTTGTGTACATCGTAAAACAAAACAAAAATAATTCGCGGATTTTCACAAAAAATTTCGCGGATTTTCAAAATATTCAAAAATTTAATGACGATCGAATTTTGATGGAGACAAATATTTAAAATTTCAATCATTCATCAACCTGCCCTGGGGTCCCTAGATGTCCCACAAAAAATTTGGGCCCGATCGGTTCAGCCGTTTTGACGTTTATTGGATACAAACAGACAGACAGACAAACAAACAGACAGACAGACAAGCCAAATTTATATATAGAAGTGAGAAAATTTCAACAGCCTCATACCAATACTTTTTGAGTTAGTTAAAAAAAAACTAGGAGTCAAATAAATGACTTTTTTGGTTTTTGTTTTACAATGTATACAATGAAAATGTTCACAATTGAAATAGAAGATGGACGTGAAGCGCCCTGAAAGCCTAATAACAGATAATTCACTTAAATGTTGCTATAATGTCGTCTTCCTATTCCACAGTTTTTTGGTTCTCACTTAAAAAAATTCACGAAAAAAATAATAATTTGTTTGTTTAGATTTAGATCTAGGTGAAGGCAGTATAACTTCTCTTCAACTGCTCAGTTTCAGAAAACCTAAAGGTGTCAAATTCGAAATAATTTTATTCTATATTTCAATATTTCTGAATAAATCGAATATTGAAACTTTTGTCTGCACATACTGTTAATCTTGGACCCCTCATTTTGATATCCAATGTTGGCACTTTTAAATTTGGGGATGTATGATTCATGGCCAAGGTTGTATAATAAAGTTGCTAACTCTCGAATCAGAGCTGATTCCGTCTGACGTCACTGATTATAGAGGCGAAAATAGGAGCCAGTGACGTCATATACGGATATTATCTATACTGAGACGACTTTTCCCGTAGATTGGAGCGCATCAAGACTCGAGAGTAAGCTATCTTTTTATATATAACAACCTTGCTCATGTCTGACATGCAGAACAACCTTGTTCATGTCTGACATGCAGAACAACCTTGTCCATGTCTGACATGCAGAACAACCTTGTTCATGTCTGACATGCAGAACAACCTTGTTCATGTCTGACATGCAGAACAACCATGTAAATCTTAATTATAAATATTCTAGAAAAATAATAAAAATATAAAATATTTTTTTTTCCTTCAGATGAATTTGGATATTTTCATCGTGAAGACGAATACTTCTTTAATACAGAAAGCTGGGTAATTTTTCTATTATTAAGGGACTGCACTGTACACGTAATCACAAGAGATTCTCCATTTAAAAGGCGGCTGGACCATGGAAAAGTACATATCTATTTTTCTTTCTTTTTAACTTGTTGAATTCAGAAAATTTCCTTTTTTGTCTCTGTAGTTTAGATCCGTTAATTACTTGAAATTTTACGTCGAAAAAAAGACACTTCAACATGATTAGACAATTGTTTAAAGGGTACTGCAATTAGACAATTGTTTAAAGGGTACTGCAATTAGACAATTGTTTAAAGGGTACTGCAATTAATCATACAATTGTTTAAAGGGTACTNTCATACAGGGAAATTTTCATCTTTCTAAACATCCCAACGAATGATTTGACAGGTTCTTTAAGTTAGTTTAGTCCTTCAGTTCTCGTCAATTTGATATTCTCAAAATAAAACTCACTCCTGAGTGGTTTAATAAAATTATGAAATCCATTAAAACACCAAACCACCCTGCTTATCATTGAAATACACTTTGACCCCTAGAAGTATGAAATCGCGGATTGTACAATTCTTGGTGATTTTGCGTACATAAGCTATCTATATTTATTTATTTATCTATGGCGGTAACTTTTTTCATTGCACTAAATATGCTGTGGGTTTTTCCTGAACATTTTAGGTCGACAACTTTTATATTTTAGAGAACAAATTAGACTATCAAATAAAAAAAAAACACCAATAGAGAAATTATATTTTTTAATTAAACCAATTTTGACTATCAATTTCCTTATATTGGATTAGGTAATTCGGATTCGGTTCGAAAATCCACATAAAATGGTCGATTTTAAGAAAATGTACGTTTAAGATTTTTCGTATATATCTCAGTCAAAGCTTCAGCAGCGATTTTATTCATATACGGTGATAACCAGAAAACTGTGAAATAGGAAGACGACTTATGTGTATTTTTGGTTGTTACAAAGCAAAAAGTTTTACCAGACAGTTATTAAATCACTAATTAAGTGAAATGGGTCTGTGGTCACTGTGCACTTGCTGTGTTCCATGCTCATTGGTCTATTTAAAGTCATAACTTAAGTCTGCAATTCTTCTTCCTATCACAGAGTTTTCTAGTTATGACTGTATGCTTAAAGATATTTAGCTAAACAAATAGATTAGTGCTCACGAGTCACATTACACATTGTAATGGAAAAAGTTTTTCAAAAAACATTACTCAAAAATTGCGTATAAAATAGGTTATTCTCACCCCTGGTAAAGCCAGTGGGAAAATGTGATGAAAGACTAAAATACAAAGTTTTAAAACCTTGAAATTTTAAAATTTTTACATTTTTACTTTCCAGGGATCATGTTCACCAAGTGGGCCTCATACAGAGTGTTGTGAAAATGAAGAAATGACGAAATTCTTCCAAAATTCCAAAATTGAAGCTTTGGAAAAGATGCCTTTTAATCATGAAATCAGACTAAGCAACGTGCCTGTAAACACTAAGAAGTCTGACTTAGAAAATATGCTAAAGTCCTTTGGAAAAATATCAGGTGTTTCATACTTTTTCAAATTCAGTTTTTCCAAATCTGATTTTTAAAAATTGCACTTTTCTAAATTGGATTTTTCCATAATTGGAAATTCCCAAATTGCACTTTTCTAAATTCAATTTTTCAAAATTAAACTTTCCCGAACTCGAATTTCTTATGTTGGATTTTTTACAAAATTTCCTTTTCCCAAACTGTAATTTTCCAAAATACGCTTTCCATAAATGGAATTGCCCAACTTAGATTTTCCCAAATAACTTCTTACCAAATTTGCTTTGCTCAAATGCAATTTTCCAAATTCAGTTTTTTCCATTTGCATTTTACCATAGTACATTTTAACAAAATGTAAGCTCCCAATTTGGAATTTCTCAAATTGCAGCTTTAAAAAGCTAAATTAAAAAAATTTAAATTATTAAAAATGATGTTTCAGATATACGCTTGGATGAAGATGCCAGTACTGTGTATGTAAACTATTGTAATGAGTCTGACACTGCAGCAGCAATAACAAGAATAGACGGATACGAATACAATCATTGTATTCTGAAAGCAGAATTGGTTTACAGAGGTGACAGAATAAAATACAAGGAGAAGCAAGCTTTCTCAACAGATTTTCAAAATGTCAAGGTATTTTTTTTAGTTTTATTTATTTAAAAGTACAAAAAAAAATTTATGTAATTTTATGTTTTTAAGTTGATCATCAATAAAATTTGCCTAAAAATTTAAATCCACTATTGATAAATTTTATTCATAATTATTTTTTTTTCCCGAAAACGTTATTTTTTTTTTTTTTGCAAAGCTGCAAAGAAGAAGTTGTAAATACAATTTTATGTTAAAAAATAACTTTTTATCTTATCGATGATTTTAAAAATTATTCCAGTAAGAAAAGAAAAAAATCGGAACTTGTCACTTCGTTTTTTTTTTGGTTGGTGGGAGGTCAAATAATTTTTTAAAGAAACAAATTAAACATTAAGCCAGTCAATTCAACTTTTTACTTGCCAACCATTAAAATACATTTACATTTACTTTTTTATTTTAAGTTAAAAAACTATTTTTATTTTTTAGACAAAGGCCAAAAGAGGCAAAAAACTGAAGAAGGTTAACAACACATTGCAGCATACAAGTGCCATTGGGTTGTCAAATAACAGCACATTGGAGAAAACAGGGGCCATTGAGTCGTTAAATACCAGCACAGGGGATCAGACAAGTGCCGTTGAGTCGTCAAATCAAAGCAGAGTAAACCAGACAAGTGCCATTGGGTTGTCAGATAACAACACAAAGGACTCTACACATGCCATTGGGACCACAAGTAACCACACAGACGAGGACACAAGTGCCGTTTAAGACATTTGTTAATGTGGCAACAAAGCTGGGGGACCAAAAGACCAAAAGTATAATGAAGTTTACAGACATTTTTTTATTTCAATGCACTTTTTGAAAAGTTGATGGGAAAGTTCCTGTGATCTTGCCAGGCTACATTTATGTTGCATAAAACGTGTTGGGTCGATTTTACACTGGGTAGTCCAGACTGAACAGTACATATAGAATTCCTGTTGTTCCAGCTCGGTTCATGCTTACCTCAAATTTGGTGATTTGGTAATTCAAACTTTGACATAAACTTGATTTAGTTGAATTTATAGTTTAAAATGTCGAAGGAATATCGCTTCAGGTTGCACAGATATAATGAGAAGAGTGTTTAGTTCCTTTAATCTACAACTTTTGTAAAAAAACATTTATGAATTTGCTTAAGTCAAAATATTTCCTGATTTAATTTATGTTTTCTATTTATGTAAAGAATTAATACCATAAATGAAAAATTAGATACATAACATTTAAAATTCGGTGATGGTAATGGACCAAACTTCTGTAGAGTAAAAAAGTAGATGTTAGTTCCACATTTATTGAAAATATATTTCGGTCTGGGTTGACCCTCGTCAGTTCTAACTATATAATTACCATAAAATAAAATTTTTTTTTTAACATTTTGCAAAAAATCACAAGAAAATAAACAAACAAAAAAGATTATTCAAAAGAAAAATTTGGGCTGTCAAATGGACATAAGGGAAACGAACTCAGATTATGAGATGGAAAAAAGATAATTTGCAAATATTCACTTTTAAAAAAAATGTTTAAGACAATTATTATTCCTTGAGATTGTTTCTGTCACAAAGAATAAAAACAAACTGTTTAGATGTATGTGTAAAGACTAGAGTAGTGGTGGGGGTCGATCCACGAACTCGGGGTGAAGGGGAGGGGGGACGGCTTGTTTAAGGAGGGCTATTTAAACCTTTTAAAGAATTGGACATAATTCATGACATGACAATCATATTGATAATAAAGCTTTGCTGACTTTTTTGTAGGGTTTTGAATTAGTCATTATTGAATGTTTAATTTTGAACTTCATTCAATTTTTAGTTGTTTTATATTTTTTAACATTAATTTCTTATTTATTGTATGATTTTTATTATTCAGTTGATTATTAAATTGCATTAAATAAAGTTTCTGGGGAAAATATTATTTCAGAAAACATAGATGTTGGATCAAAACAGATTATAACATAGATAGTTAAATAGATAAATAGATAGATAGATAGATAGATAGATAGATAGATAGATAGATAGATAGATAGATAGATAGATAGATAGATATATATATAGATAGATAGATAGATAGATAGATAGATAGATAGATAGATAGATAGATAGATAGATAGATAGATAGATAGATAGATAGATAGATAGATAGTTTTTCATTGCACTATGCACTTAATATGCTGTTTTTACTGAACAGTTTAGGTCGACAACTTTTATATTTTAGAGAACATATTAGACTATCGAATAAAAAAAGACTGTAAGAGAAATTGTATTTTTAATTAAACCAATTTTGATTATCAATTTCCTTATATTGAATCAGGGAATATTCGTATAAAGTGGTCGATTTTAAGAAAATGTACGTTTAAGATTTTTCGAATATATCTTAGTCATTTTTTGGAATTTTTTCAAAGCTTCAGCAGCGATTTTATTCAAATACGGTGATAACCAGAAAACTGTGAAATAGGAAGACGACTTTATAGCAATACTTATGTGTAATTTAGGTTGTTACAAAGTAAAAAGTTTTACCTGCAGACACTTAATAAATCATTAATTAAGTAAAATGGGTCTATTTTCATTGTGCACTTGCTGTGTCCCTGCAGTACAGTAAGGAGCGGGGGGAGAGAGAATATTCACACATTATGTTCAATTTCTTATGTATTGTACAGCTTGTACAACAAAACAAAGAGATTAGTTCTCACGAGTCACATTACACATTGTAATGGAAAAAGTTATTCTAAAACATCACTCAAAAATTGCGTATAAAATAGGTTATTCTGACCCCTGTTTAAGTCCCTGGGAAAATGTGATTGAAGACTAAAATGAAAAGTTTTAAAACCTAAAACTTAAAAATTTTACTTTTTTACTATCCAGGGATCATGTTCACCAAGTGGGCCACATACAGAGTGTTGTGAGAATGAAGAAATGACGAAATTCTTCCAAAATTCCAAAATTCAAGCTTTGGAAAAGATGCCTTTTAATCATGAAATCAGACTAAGCAACGTGCCTGTAAACACTAAGAAGTCTGACTTAGAAAATATGCTAAAGTCCTTTGGGAAAATATCAGGTGTTTCATACTTTACCAAATTCAGTTTTTCCGAATCTGATTTTTAAAAATTGCACTTTTCTTGGATTTTTCCATAATTGGAAATTCCCAAATTGCACTTTTCTAAATTCAATTTTTCAAAATTAAACTTTCCCGAACTCGAATTTCTTATGTTGGATTTTTTACAAAATTTCCTTTTCCCAAACTGTAATTTTCCAAAATACGCTTTCCATAAATGGAATTGCCCAACTTAGATTTTCCCAAATAACTTCTTACCAAATTTGCTTTGCTCAAATGCAATTTTCCAAATTCAGTTTTTTCCATTTGCATTTTACCATAGTACATTTTAACAAAATGTAAGCTCCCAATTTGGAATTTCTCAAATTGCAGCTTTAAAAAGCTAAATTAAAAAAATTTAAATTATTAAAAATGATGTTTCAGATATACGCTTGGATGAAGATGCCAGTACTGTGTATGTAAACTATTGTAATGAGTCTGACACTGCAGCAGCAATAACAAGAATAGACGGATACGAATACAATCATTGTATTCTGAAAGCAGAATTGGTTTACAGAGGTGACAGAATAAAATACAAGGAGAAGCAAGCTTTCTCAACAGATTTTCAAAATGTCAAGGTATTTTTTTTAGTTTTATTTATTTAAAAGTACAAAAAAAAATTTATGTAATTTTATGTTTTTAAGTTGATCATCAATAAAATTGCCTAAAAATTTAAATCCACTATTGATAAATTTTATTCATAATTATTTTTTTTTCCCGAAAACGTTATTTTTTTTTTTTTTGCAAAGCTGCAAAGAAGAAGTTGTAAATACAATTTTATGTTAAAAAATAACTTTTTATCTTATCGATGATTTTAAAAATTATTCCAGTAAGAAAAGAAAAAAATCGGAACTTGTCACTTCGTTTTTTTTTTGGTTGGTGGGAGGTCAAATAATTTTTTAAAGAAACAAATTAAACATTAAGCCAGTCAATTCAACTTTTTACTTGCCAACCATTAAAATACATTTACATTTACTTTTTTATTTTAAGTTAAAAAACTATTTTTATTTTTTAGACAAAGGCCAAAAGAGGCAAAAAACTGAAGAAGGTTAACAACACATTGCAGCATACAAGTGCCATTGGGTTGTCAAATAACAGCACATTGGAGAAAACAGGGGCCATTGAGTCGTTAAATACCAGCACAGGGGATCAGACAAGTGCCGTTGAGTCGTCAAATCAAAGCAGAGTAAACCAGACAAGTGCCATTGGGTTGTCAGATAACAACACAAAGGACTCTACACATGCCATTGGGACCACAAGTAACCACACAGACGAGGACACAAGTGCCGTTTAAGACATTTGTTAATGTGGCAACAAAGCTGGGGGACCAAAAGACCAAAAGTATAATGAAGTTTACAGACATTTCTTTTATTTCAATGCACTTTTTAAAAAGTTTATGTGAAGGTTCCTGTGATCTTGCCAGGCTACATTTATGTTGCATAAAACGTGCTGGGTCGATTTTACACTGGGTAGTCCAGACTGGACAGTGTTTAGTTTTTTTTTTTATTTTTTTTTAATCTATAACTTTTGTAAAAAACATTTATGAATTTGCTTAAGTCAAAATATTTCATGATTTAATTATGTTTTCTATTTATATAAAGAAATAATATCATAAATGAAAAAATAGATACGTAACATTTAAAATTCGGTGATGGTGATGGACCAAACCTCTGTAGAGTAAAAAAGTAGATGTTAGTTCCACATTTATTGAAAATATATTTCGGTTTGGGTTGACCCTCGTCAGTTCTAACTACATAATTACCATCAAAATCGATAAAAAAAATTTTTAAACATTTTGTAAAAAATCACAAGAAAATAAAAATTTGGGCTGTCAAATGGACATAAGGGAAACGAACTCAGATTATGTGATGGAAAAAAGATAATTTGCAAATATTCGCTTTAAAAAAATGTTTTAAGACAATTATTATTTCTTGAGATTGTTTCTGTCACAAAGAATAAAAACAAACTGTTTAGATGTATGTGTAAAGAGTAGTGGTGGGGGTCGATCCACGAACTTTTGCGTAAATCGGGGTGAGGGGGAGGGGGGACGGCTTGTTTAAGGAGGGGTATTTAAACCTTTTAAAGAATTGGACATAAACAACATGACATGAAAATCATATTGATAATAAAGCTTTGCTGACTTTTTGGTAGGGTTTTAAATTAGTCATTATTGAATGTTTAATTTTAAACTTCATTCAATTTTTAGTTGTTTTATATTTTTCAACATTAATTTCTTATTTATTGTATGATTTTTATTTTTCAGTTGATTATTAAATTGCATTAAATAAAGTTTCTGGGGAAAATATTATTTCAGAAACATAGATTGTTGGATCAAAACAGATTATAACATAGATAGATAAATAGACAGACAGATAGATAGATAGATAGATAGATAGATAGATAGATAGATAGATAGAATATAGATAGATAGATAGTTAGATAAATATATGTAGATAGATAGATATATAGATGGATAGTTAGATAAATATATGTAGATAGATAGATAAATATATATAGATAGATAGATAGTAAGATAAATATATGTAGATAGAAAGGTATTTCCAGGTCTAAAACGATAAAAATAGTGCTAAATGTAGATTAAAGAATATGGTCAGTCCAATTAAAACATTTTACACTCTTTTCCCAGAACTTGGGGAATTTCCATTATTTGCATAACATTAAGAATATTAGACCTGTATCTAAACATAACATTAAGAATATTAGACCTGTTTCTAAACACAACATTAAGAATATTAGACCTGTATCTAAACATAACATTAAGAATATTAGACCTGTATCTAAACATAACATTAAGAATATTAGACCTGTATCTAAACCAATTTTGCCAACTTTGAATAAAACATCTTAATATAAATAATAAATTTTACACCCAAAATTAAAATTAATAGAAGACTGGAATTTATCTAGACCAAGGTTGTATAATAAGGTTGCTTACTCTCGATGCACTCCAATGTTCAGAAAATGTCTTATAGATAGATAGATAGAATCCGTGTATGACGTCATAGTATAAAAGTCTCTTTATTTTTCTGCAACCTCTATATTATAAAAGTCCCTTTAAGTTTCTGCAACCTCTATAGTATAAAAGTCCCTTTAAGTTTCTGCAACCTCTATAGTATAAAAGTCCCTTTAAGCTTTTGCAACCTCTACAGGGATAAAAGTCCCTTTATGTTTCTGCAACCTCTATATTATAAAAGTGCCTTTATGATTCTGCAACCTCTTTAATATAAAAGTCCCTTTATGTTTCTGCAACCTCTATAATATAAAAATCCCTTTATGATTCTGCCAACCTCTTTAATATAAAAGTCCCTTTATGTTTCTGCAACCTCTTTAATATAAAAGTCCCTTTATGTTTCTGCAACCTCTTTAATATAAAAGTCCCTTTGTTTCTGCAACCTCTATAGTATAAAAGTCCGTTTATTTTTCTGCAACCTCTTTAGTATAAAGTCCCTTTATGTTTCTCTAATATTGCAGATTATGAATATTCAGTATGTTATATATTATATGTACCAACTCAACCATAATCAGACCATTTATACCTGGGGAGGGGCGGGGGTTGAGGAGGTGTCTGGTGACTACCAAGAAATAAGAGTGTTATGTTACATTAATTGTGGTTTGCAGAATGGTTAGATAGTTTAGTAATGAGAGCAAATAGTCGGGGGACTGAGTTAAGGGGGGGGGGGTATTCTCACTTATATGAGGGGTATTCATATGAAGATAAATTTCAAATTATTATAGTAAGATAAGTTTATGAATGTTGTCTTCAATGTGTTTTTTTTTATCGAGAGAAAAACCCTGAATAATTCTAATCTAATTTTTTTCTGATCGTTAAGGGGTTTCTGACCAAAAAAATGTATTTTGTCTAAAAAAGGTCGAATACAATCGTTAACGAAGGGTCTAATGGTCGTTAACTTTATTCTCACTTATACATATATCTTAAATAGAAATTTGTTATTTCAGACTTTGAATTCTGCAAAATCAAAAACTAAAAGTTTATAAAAGCTTTAACACCATCAGATTGCAACGATATAGGGATAAGAACACTAGAGCATTCGGAAATGGTCTTGAGTTTTAGTTTAAACAAAATAAAGGAAAAAAAAACTGACAGATGAAAAAATGATGGTTACAAATAAGTACAAGAAGGTTAAACGAGGACAGCCAAGAACATTTATAGAAGAAGGTAAATGCAGAAAATGATAATGGAATTTGTATAAGGGTAGATTTTTCGTTGGTGGCAGTGGCGAATACAGGGGGGGGCGGGGGGAAATTCGCCCCCCACCTGACAGATTCAGGGAGGGACGTAGCCCCCCCCCCTTAATTTGGAATTTTTTGTTCCTATTTTCAGAATAGCTTCTCAATAGCATGCTTAAGGGAAAGGAACCCTAGTGCAAAACAGGAAAAATATATGTCTTATTAAACTATAATGTGTGAAAAGTTAAAAATCTAGTTTTTTAGTCTTTAGTCATTAATTTTGACTCTTTTTGAGTCTTTTAAGTCAAAAATAATTTTCGCCAGCGTCGCGATTTTTTGTTCCTAATTATGAATTTTTTTGTTCCTAAAAAATCTTGCCCCCCTCTCACTTAAATCCTGTATCCGCCCCGGGAAATCAAAATTTTCACTTATCCAGAGGGGGGGGGGGCTCTCATAGCTCCCTCTGTAATTTTGAGTTTGAAAAGGATAAAAAATTTTAACTTATTAAAATCAAAATACAACATATATATGTGTAGATATACATATAAAAATAGATAGATAGATAGATAGATAGATATAGATAGATAGATATATAGATGGATAGATAGATAGATAGATAGATATATAGATGGGTAGATAGATAGATAGATATATAGATGGATAGATAGATGGATAGATAAACAGAATAAACATGATTAATTAATGTAAGGGTGGACGTTTTACCACAAACGGTCACAGAAGCTTTCACTCGGATACAATAACAGTTAGATAAATTGATTAAAGTGCCCGGGCCATAGAAATAGATTAAAAACTGTAGTGGAGATTAAATTAGATAACAAAATATGCATAGTGAGATAAAATTTAGATTAAAAGTTAAACATATGTATATGTGATTGTGGAGATTAAAATTAGATTACAAGATATACATAGTGGAGATTGAAATTAGATTACAAGATATACATAGTGGAGATTGAAATTAGATTACAAGATATACATAGTGGTGATTGTAATTAGATTACAGGATATACATAGTGGAGATTAAGATTAGATTACAAGATATACATAGTGGAGATTGAAATTAGATTACAAGATATTCATAGTGGAGATTGAAATTAGAATACAAAATATACATAGTGGAGATTAAAATTAGAATACAAAATATGCATAGTGGAGATTGAAATTAGAATACAAAATATACAACACAAGGAGATAAAAATTAAATTTTAAGTTATAGTGGAAATTAAGATTATTTTATTGAGGGGTGCCTCCCATCCTGCTGTGAAAGTTTAAAAAATAAACTATTTTGGATTACTCACATATGCATCATTGCAACTTGCAATTAAGATGTATATTTATTTACATCGAACACTGAGTTGAATGTACTAACCGAAATTGCGTAATGATTAGTTGATTGTCGTAGAGAACGTCGTTTTTGTATATACAGGTTACATGTACGTTTTAATACGAAAAACGTAAATTTATTGCTAACTTAAATATAAAAAGTTTTCATATTTTAGAATATAATAGCTAACACATAATGGCATTGAAATATGATGAATTTAAATTTGTTTGGGCTGCTGTTGCTAAAAAACGTCTAGTATAATGTTTCTTTGAAAAGTAAGACTAATACCAATTAACAGCTAATAGGCTGTTTAGTTTACCATGAAATTACCCAAACAAGTGGACGGTCCCTTTATTTTGTAAACAAAAGTTAGATTTATAAATGTTAAAGGGACTCCAAGTCGGTATAATTTCTAGAATTGTTGCCTTTAAAGAGCTACTACAGGTCCAATTCACATTTCCCATCTTATTAAAGTATCAATGAAAATAAAATTAATGTATAGTTCTTCATTGTCTCTGAAAAAATGAGTATATCTTCCTTAGACCAAAGCTCTAGCACTATAGTTTCAGTAGAAGTAAATATTTCCATTTACTGATAGCGCCGATTGAAGGATTCATATCTCTAATTGAATAATGAGAATGATAGAAAGATAGATGTTACCGCCATACTATTTCTATTGGTTCAGAATAGACAACAAACACATGACTGAACCCTGATTGGATCAGGCGCTAATGGACTCGGCATACAGGAGTGTTAGATGCAACCGTTGTTTAATTGGAGGATTTCTTTTAATTAAGTGAACAGTCTCTTAAAAGGTCTGAAATGCCTGGAAAGCCATGGTTCAGCTGGTTCCGCTCTGTTTAGTTTGCATTGTGGAGCATAGTGTTTAAACTCAACAAAGGAGAAATAAGAATTATAGTTCAAACACTTCCTAACAATTTTACAGGTTCAAAGAAACTGAGTCTTTGTCACAAACTATGTTAAAATTAGGATTCTGTTGGATCAAATCATATAAGTTTGAAATATCAAATGTTTACACCAATTGGTTGCAAAGATATAGTGATTCGACTCAATACATGATCAATACAAGGATCAAAGGATTTTTTAGCCGTATGTAATATTGCTTTGTCAGTTGATTTCTTTAAACGTATGTAATATTGCCTTTTCAATTGATTTCTTTAAACATATATATTATTGCTTTAAAGGTGTGTATAATATTGCTTTATCAATTGATTTCTTTAAACGTGTGTAATATTGCTTTATCAATTGATTTCTTTAAACGTGTAATATTGATTTATTAATTGATTTCTTTATCATTTGATTTCTTTAATCGATTTTATCCTTGGAGCGGTACAAGGTGTTAAGGAACGTATTGTCTTTGTTTTTGACTTTATAATTGTAAGTATCTCAGCGAGTTAGTGTTGTATATTAGATTTTAAAAATGTATTTAAGAAAATTCGTTAAAAACAAAGAGACTTTAAATGGTTACAAATATTTTGAGATTTTCAATTTAACTAAAGATTTTTATATTCATAAGTTTCTACAAATATACATGGGCTCCAAAATAATGTAAGAAAGAAGAACGACGTTGACATAACTGATTTACAATGTAAGTCCATTTACAGGGAGTGTAAACTAATTATATAGTTTTCTACTTTTACTCTAGATTCGAAATAAAAGACGTCCCTAGGGACTTGAATTGATATCGAACAATATAAATCTAATTTTAGGGACCACTGTACTAGCCTACAGGGATATATACCGCTAATAAAGGGATTGTACGCAGTTTTAAAGGTCGGTTTCCTCACAAATTAACAATGATTGAGTAGGGGGGGGGGGGGTATAAAAAGTATAAAAATTAAGGTATTTGCAGTGGAAAGTAAGGATTAAAAAAGCAAAAATATCAAAACATCAAATGCCAAATGATCAAATGCATAATTATGGAGTACAAACGCAGTACATTTCAATTAGGTCTACAAGCTAGAAATGTAAACAAATCAGAGAAAAATCATAACAACGGATCGTACTGCATTTTTCATCTCAAAACCGGTTAAATGTCAACAAGAAAGAGAAAACAAAGAGGAGACGATAAGAGAAGAAAGGAGAAGAAAAAATTAAGAGAAGAAAGGAGAAGAAAATAGAAGAGAAGAGAAGAAAATAGAAGAGAAGAGAAGAAAGGAGAAGAGAAGAAAATAGAGGAGAAGAGAAAGAGGAAAAAATAGATTGCGTGAAAGAGAGAGCTTGCATTTTACAGACGTTTTATCATAAAAATATGTTTAAGAATACCTTAAACTTTAAAATTAACTTTATTGTAAAATTGTATGATATTTTTGCAAAAATAATAGTTGTCCTAACTATTTAGCGTACATTTTTTAGATCATTTTAAGATTTTTGATCATTCGGCATTTGATATTCTAATATTTTTGCTTAAAAAAATACCATTTCATTTACCACCTTTTTATAATCAAGACTATTTCTATGTAGTTTGTCTCCGTTTTCGAAAAAAGAAGAGGGGAAAATCAAGAACTGTAAAAAATATTCATAGACAAATAAATTCCGTAAATAAATCACATATTTATATTTAAATTAAACAGAAAAAAAGATATAAGTTATCACAATAATACATTAACTGGTAGTTATTTGTACAACAAATTAAGGCTATGTACAGGGGATCATGTACAAAAAGAAATCATTAAATTTGTACATATTAATATAATACTAAGAATAGGAAATTTTATGTACTTTTGAAAAAGTCAAAGTAGTATACTCTACTTAAATATGTCTATTGTTAACGATTCTGCCCTATTTTCTCACTGGTTGATTTTTTTGCGTAATATCATCTTTTTTTGCGTAATATCATCTTTTTTTTCGTAATATCATCTTTTTTGCGTCATATCATGTTGTTTATTTTTTATTTGTTTACAGCAAAAATACGGAAAGAATGATGGTAAGTAAACCAGGATAGAACCAAACTCCAGTTCCTAAAAAACAGAATTTTGTAGTTTTTTATAGTTTTTTTGTGAATTAATTTTTATTCATTAGATACAATAACTGCAGTTTAAAAAAACCTGAAAAAAGTACAAAAATCTGCACTTTGCATAGAAATTGATTGCAGGAATTATTGCTCTGTAATGTTTCAAATACTGTTGTTCTGAATTTATAATAATTCAAAAAAAAATGTTGCACAAAAAAATCATTTTTACCTGTAACTGAATATTCTGCGGCCGCGGCTTCAGGTTCGGGTTTCTAAAACAATATTTTTATAACCAAATTTAGAAAATAAATTCAGAAAGCTTTGTGCAATGAATGTAAGGCAAGGAAAGTCAATTGCTGTTTTGTATACTTTGTGTACATATTGAAACCAGTTCTATTTGGGGGATTTTATAAACAATAATAGATGCATCAGTGTTCGTTCAGTATTCGAGGAGGGGGGTTCAATGGAGAATTTACTTCTATAAAGATAAATTGCGCATAAGACGACATTTTTCATCTTGAAAGATATAAATGTACAGAGATGTTTTAAAGATATTCCTATTATATAGATTAACTAGCTCGGTTGTGAACATTGGATGTTCTTTGTCATTGAGAACTTGTGGTGTACATGAGTTCTGTAGAGAGAAATTTAAGTTAGTTTAGTCCTTCTTCAGTTCTCGTCAATATGATATTCTCAAAATAAAATTCACTCCTGAGTGGTTTAATAATAATGAAATCCATTAAAACACCAAACCACCCCGCTTATCATTGAAGTACACTTTGACGCCTAGAAATATGAGTTCGCGGACTGTACAATTCTTGGTGATTTTGCGTACATAAGCTATCTATGTTTATTTATTTATCTATGGAAACAATACTTTTTTACTTGATAAGTTTATTTTCAAGCTACTAGTAAAAGTGTTTGCTTTATAAAAACACCAAATAAACATAAGATTGCTTAAATGTCGCCTTCTTATTCCAAAGGTGTATGGGCCCAACTGTACTTCGTTCCAATTGCTTTAATTGTCCTAGGTTTTTACATTTTGGACAAAGAATAAAGTTTACAGAGGTCGGAATTGATAAATGGCAAAAAGTATTTTCTCCATGTTTTACCTGATGAACTATAGTTGGTGGAGGAGTATTAAACACTGGGCAGTCCCTTAGCTCTAGGGTAGGGTGGAAGGGGGCCAGAACATCTAAACAAATAGGTTTTAGAACAAATATTTATATGCATTACTTTCACCCTTTTTATACAGATATAGAAACTGTTTTCTTCCCAAAACGTTGATTTCCTAAATATCCTTTTTATGCAGCAAATGTATGTAATAAAATATGCTACCATTGATTAATACAATCTTTATTATCTATGTTCCGTTATCTATCTTATCTATGTTCATGTTTACCCTGACCGGCCATTCCGGTGAGTTCTATTCACCTGTATTAATAAAGGAGTAATGTATGAAACGTTGATTTAAACGGACGTGTATAGAGCCTTGAGTTTTGGCTAGAGATATAGAGCCTGGAGTTTTGGCTAGAGAGATAGATTCAGTGAGACTGAAATTAGACTAAGAATCAAGTTATCTCGGAACCTAGATTTATTACATGTAACCTGGCAAGATTGAGCAGTGCAAGAAATCAATTTATTTTTACTCTTAACTTAATCAATTTAAAAATACATTAAGATTTAAAATCCACTTAATTTCTATGTTTGGAATATAATTGAACTTAGACCCACTATTAATACTCTAAGACACAAGGCAATATTAGACAGAATACATTCTGAAGTGTTTTTAGGTGTGATTATAAAGTTGTCAGTCGGGCGCATTATGTGGGTTAGCGGGGAATATAAAGTTACCAGCCAGGATCATAAAGTATTCTACAAGGATGATAAAGTTGAAATTTAACATTAACTTCATTAAGTCGTCTTGGGAAGCCTCGCAAGATTTGAAGATAAACTTAATGGCTGAATGAACTGCAGATCAATGGAATAACTTAAAGTTTTTTTTAATTTTGATAATTTATGTTATAAATTCCTATGACCAGAATAAATCATTGATTTTTTATTTGAAAGATGGATCCCATGTCAGGCTGTGACACCCCTACTCTTGTGTTTATATTAGAACCCAAAGACAGTACACTGCAGTACAAAAAATGCGTACACCACTGAAATGACTTTCCTTGCCTTACATTCATTGGCTTTGTGCCACTTTTCTAAGGGCGATCTTGACCAAATACAGTGATAACCAGAAAACTCTGAAATTGGAAGACGACTTTTTAGCATAATAAAATGCATTTGGTGTAAAAAAGCAAACAGTTTTGACATTTATGCATTAACTAGGTCTGTTTACACTGTACAATTACTGTGTTTTATGTTCAATGTTCTTTTAAAGCCACAAATTGAGTCTAAAAGTCGTCTTCCTCTTCCAGAGTTTTCTGGTTATCACTGTATTTTTTTTATTAACTTAATTCTTACAAAAAAAAATTAATTTTTTTTTCTTCGGAACAGTATGAACTACTCAGGCTAAATAATACTATCTATATATCTATCTGTCTATCTATAAGAAATGTAGAAAAGCGGCGTGACGAACACTAGATTCAAGTATCACATTATTGTATACTTAAATCAGTCTGCCTGTATGACAAACTGTTGACAACAACAAATTATATTGTTGTGTAAATATATTGATAAAAGGTTGGAATTCTTCTGCAACTATGCAAATAAATTACTTAGGTTCACATTTGTTTGATGACTGTATCTTCTTCCGTTTGAACAAATATGCGTTTAAACCGATCAGTGAGAAGACGACTTTTGTACGATTTCTATTTTAAATAGTCAAATGAACATGAAACAATCATAGATAAAGATAAATTGCGCATAAGACGACATTTTTCATCTTGAAAGATATAAATGTACAGAGATGTTTTAAAGATATTCCTATTATATAGATTAACTAGGTCGGTTGTGAACATTGGCTGTTCTTATGTCATTGAGTACTTGTGGTGTACATGAGTTCTGTAGAGAGAAATTTAAGTTAGTTTAGTC